TCTGGGTCGTGAAGATCTTTTTTGTACATTTCTTCTGTGTATTCTTGCCACCTCTTAATATCTTCTGCTTCTGTTAGGTCCATACCATTTCTGTCCTTTATCGAACCCATCTTTGCCTGAAATGTTCCCTTGATATCTCTAATTTTCTTGAAGAGGCCTCTAGTCTTTCCCATTCTGTTGTTTTCCTTTGTTTCTTTGCATTGATCTCTGAGGAAGGCTTTCTTATCTCTCCTGGCTGTTCTTTGGAACTCTGCATTCAAATGGGAATATCTTTCCTTTTCTCCTTTGCTTTTCACTTCTCTTCTTTTACCACAGGTCAATGATGGGTATTTCTGAACCTCAATTTCCTCACCTCTAAAATGGGGGTGCTAGCAGAAGTATCCCCTCCATAGGGTTAGTAGCACAATTAGGTAAAAAGACTCTCAAATTCAGACCTATGACCCTCTGCCCCTGTCCACATAAAATGAAGAAAGTGAAGCTAGAGTAGTGGGCATGGCACAAAATTTCAGATTGTTAAAATGGCTTAAGTTACTGGTCCATGATGTCCAGGGGTCTGGGAACTGCTGTGTGAGGTAAAGAAATGAGTGGAGAGAACTCCCTGGGGATCCAGGGGTTAAGACTCCATGCTTTCATTGCCAAGGGTCCAGGTTTGACACCTGGTTGGGGAACTGAGATCCCACAAGCTGCACAGCAAAAATAGAGAGAGAAATAAATGAAAAGCACTTGATACAGCAGCTGAAGGTGGTGCTCAGAGAGCGGCAGCTGCTTCATCATCGTCAGATGCTGGTGGTGATGCTGGTGACGATGGTGGTGATGCTGGTGATGATGGTGACAATGGTGGTGATGCTGATGGTGATGCTGGTGGTGATGCTGATGATGGTGAGGATGGTGGTGATGGTGATGATGGTGGTGGGCTCATTTGAGAACTCATGCAAAAGCAAACTTGATGACACCTACAAATAAGGCTCCAGGGTTGGCATAGCCTGGGGGCAGGCTGCAGTGAGCTTGTTCCCCGAGTCGGTTGGGTAAGCCCGAGTACACCCAAGGGTAGGGGAGGCATCCTAGGCACCAGCCCCTGGACCCTCAGAGCTCCCTGCTTCGCTAGTCACTGCCCAGATCAGCAGGGTGATCGCGAGGTGGGGGCCAGGGGAACTAGCCCCTCCATACCCAAGAGCACCCACCACCTGCCACGTCTCACTGCCCGAAGCTCCTCGCAGACAGAGCCTGGCCTCCTCCCTGCCCCCAGCCGGGTGAGCGCACCGCACAGCTGCTCTGCAGCTGCCCTCCCCCCGGGACCAGACTCTGCCGCTCTGGGGCCAGTGAGGCGCTCCCCGAGAGCATCCTCTGGGGCCCCCTTGGGGTCATGCACTCTGGCCGCGGGGCCACACGTGCAGAAAGCCACGCAGCCTGCCCAGATGGCTTTGCCCGGATGGCATCTGGAGTGCAGCCTCGCTCCCGGGCACCTGAGCCAGAGCCATTGGAAGGGATCTTCTTATAGGACCTTTCTCTGACCCCACGGTACAGCCGAGGGCTCCCTGGCACCCTTCATCATGGAAGAGGGTGATGTGGTGACCTCTGACCCCCAGTTTGACCCCTGCGTCCCCGAGGCTGCCTGACTTGCTCACCGGCTGTCTCATCTGCCCCCAGGTACATGATCACCAGCCTGGACCGCACCCACGCCGGCTTCTACCGCTGCATCGTGCGTAACCGGATGGGCGCTCTCCTGCAGCGACAGACGGAGGTCCAGGTGGCCTGTGAGTACTGCGCGGGGCCGGGGAGAGGGGGCCTGTGGAACAGAGAGGGTCTGCAGGGTCTTCACCCTCCCGCACCCGTCTTCGCCCGGCCACATGCTGGGTAGAGCCAAACCCCAGCTGTGGCTTTCCGTGCTCATGGCGGCCCTTCCCACCATCTGGGCTGGTGCCGTCCACTTACAGCCGATGGGACCGAGGCCCGGGCTTTCAAAGACACGCTGCTGACATGTGACACGCCTCTGCTGGCTGTGACTTCAGCACTCCTTTTTTTTCAATAGCTGCTCCTAGTGTGGGATCCTAGTACCCCACCCAGGGATCAGACCTGTGTCCCCTGCATTGGAAGTGCAGAGTCTTAACCACTGGATGGCCAGGGAAGTCCCCAGCACTCTTTAGATGGGACTAGTTGCTTCCTTTCTGAAAAGGAGGCCTGTCACCTGCTTTGAGGGTCTCCTCTGGGTTTGGCCTCCAACTTGGGGGATCTTCATAATGGCAGACTTCCCCAGGGTCTTCTTGGCAGATTTCCCCGGGTCCCCCCTCCCCACCACCATGACCTTCCCAGGTGGCGCTGGTGGTGAAGAAGCCATCTGCCAATGCAGGAGACAGACAAGATGCAGGTTCGACCCCTGGGTCGGGAAGATCCCCTGGAGGAGGGCATGGCAACGCACTCCAGTGTTCTTATCTGGAGAATCCCATGAACAGAGGAGCCTGGTGGGCTGCGGTCCATAGGGTCCCAAAGAGTCAGACAGGACTGAGGAGATCTAGCCTGCACACACCCCACATCCATGACTTTTCCATCCTCCTGCTTGCCCAGCCCTGGAGCAGTAAGAGCTTGGAGGTCCCCGCAGTCTCTGGGAGCGCTGGGAGATGCCTCGTGGTGGGTCTCAGCTCTAAGAGGAAGAGGGGAGGTGAGCGGTTGGAGTTCCGGGAAGAACCAGGTGAGCTGAGGGCAAAGGAATAGACCCTCGCTGCCTTTCAGGTGACAGCCTCCCCAGGTTGCCACCAGGACCCAGAAAAGTGTCCTCAGATGAGGCATGAGAGAGAAGCCTCGGGAGAACCCAGTGCACCAATCAGCTCCGTTCACCCCACCCCGTGACTTAGGACCCCTTCTCAGGCTCCCCATTCTAACGCAGCCGCCGTGTGCTAGAAAGAAGCCTCAGCATGGGCCGTTTCATTACGGGGTTTTAGGGGAAGACATCTAAGGTTGCCCAGTGGGCCGTGGGAGTGTGGAAAACCTTAATGAGCCATGGTTTTTTTTTTACAAAGAGGATCCCCTTGAGACTTCCCTGGCGATCCAGTGGTTAGGCGTCCAGGCTTCCAATGCAGTCGGGGGGCGGGCGCAGGTTCAATCCCTGGTTGGGGAACCAAGATCCCACATGGCGTGGGGCATGGCCAGAAATAAAATTTTAAAATAATAAAAATTTACAAAGAAAGTAGCTTGCCTTCCAAAAATGAAAAATAAACTAAAGACATCCTCTCATGCCGGGCCCACTAGGGCTTGACTTGGATTTAACGCAGAAAGAGAGCTTGTTACTTTGGAGAGAAGCAGGGGAGAGAAGTCGAGAAGAAAGACTCAGGTGAGGCGAAGCGTGTTTACAACAATTATGGAGGGCAGCCGTAATCAGGAGCAAAGGACCGACTGTCCCATAAATCAGCACTCGGGACAACTCGGCTGCTCAGAGAAACAGAAAAGCCCTGAGTTAAAATAACGGGTCAGGGCCTCGGCCACCGGCTGGAGGGCTCCCACGGAGCTCCGTTTAGCGGGTTCCCAGAGCCCAGCGGTGCAGGCGCGGTCGTGGGTCGGGCCACAGAGAGCCCAGGAGTGTGTCTGTGTGTGCTCGAGGGTGGCCATGGGTTCATGCATGTGAGTGTGCAAATGTGTTTCTGGATTGGCCTGCCTCTTTGTCACCTGTGTGCAGCTGAGGGCTCTGCCCGGTCTTCGTTGCAGCATGCGGGATCTTTAGCTGCAGCATATGAGGCTTTAGTTCCCGAACCAGGGATCGAACTCCGGTTCCCTGCCTTGGGACCAGCGGACAAAAAGTGCTGACAGCAGGCTACAGGGTTCTTCATGTGCCAGGTCGTGACCCTTGTGGGGATGGGGAGAGAAACCATGGATTCCAGTCCTGATCTAGTCACTGACTATCTTAGGGCTCTGGGCACCTGGGAAGTGGATGGGTTGCAGGTGGAGAAGGGAGCCCTGCCTCCGTCCCCCCAAGACCCTGAAGAACTGTCAGAGCCACAGGTCCAAGCTGGACACCGCATCCCTAAGGAGATGCTAAGGAAACACAGAGAGGCCTCCCAAACCCCCCGCCCTCCAGTGTAATTGTGCAAATGTCTTCCCTCCCTGGGTCCCCGGGGGCAGGTCTCTGAGGTAGGAAGGTGTGTCCCGGGAGCTTCATCTTGAGATGGGGAAACCGAGCCTCCCAAGGACTGGGCTTCCCTGGTGGTCCAGTGGTTAAGACTCTGCCTTCCAATGCAGGGGACGTGGGGTCAATCTCTGTTTGGGGAACTAAGAGCCCAAGTGCTGCCCACATCACAGGTAGGGCATATACGCACTACGACAAAAGATCCCACCCAATTAAGGGAGGTCCCATGTGCCGCAACTGAGAGCTGATGTGGCCGAATAAATTAAAAAAAAAGAAAAAAGTGGTCTGGTGACAACCCAAGGTCCCACAGCTGGTATTTCTACCATCCCCCTCCTCCTTCCTCCCCCCATCAACCAAAGACAGGAACTGTGAACCCAGCCTTGGGCCTGGCCGTGAACAAACGTTGAGCTCAAATTCCCCTTGCCTATCCCTTGGCTTGCCTGGTGGCTCAGTGGTAAAGAATCCACCGGCCAATGCAGGAGACCCCGGTTCCGTCTCTGGGTCGGGAAGATCCCCTGGAGAGGGGCATGGCAACCCACTCCAGTATTCTTGGCTAGAGAATCCCATGGACAGAGGAGCCTGCAGGCTGTAGCCCACAGGGTTGCAAAGAGTCGGACCCAGCAGAAGCGACTGAGCAAGCAAGCATGCACTTATCCCTAGCTGTGTGACCTTGGGCAGATTACTTAACTTCTCTGTGCCTTCATTTCCTCGTTGTAAAAAAAGGGATGCTAATGTTAGAGCCTACCTAGCCGGGGCTGTCACAATCAGCGCATACGAGGGGCTTCCCTGGCAGTCCAGTGGTTAAGACCCCTTCCAATGCAGAGGGTGTGAGTTTGATCCTTGGTTGGGAGCTAAGATCCCACATTCCTAGAGGCCAAAAGACTAAAACATAAAACAGAAGCAATGTTGTAACAAAATTCAATAAAGATTTTTAAAAAATCAGTGCTCACAAAGCATCATGAAAGGCCCCCAGCCCAGAGAACCCTCAGGGTGGACACTCGGGGTGGACGAGTACACTTTCTTCTCTGCCAGGCCAACCAGGGAAGGCTTCCTGGAAAAGGCATCCACAACCCTTCTCATTCTGTCTGATGGTGCCTTGGGAGGTACCATCCCCTGCTCTCCAGGGCTGGGGCTAGGGTGAGGCAAGGAGAATGGAAAATTTAAGGAGGCGCTCCCTCTCAGGGAATCACCCTCTGCTTGCAGGACCCTGACAGTGAGTACTGCCTTAATCGTTCCCCTCCCCCACCCATCGCAGTCCTGGGACTCTCCCAGGCTTGTGCCCGCATCTGTCTGTCCCTCTGTGGGTTTACACTGTCACACGGTGGTGCTTGCCATTCTGAGGATGAGTAGCCTTCTTGGCGTTATCTCATAAGATCAACGTGTGCACAGCCTGCAACCCTAGCGATTCCACCTTTAGGCACATCCTCTTGAGATTCTCTCAGCGACGAGTGCTGGCAGACCCACAGGAGACTGTTCTTAGCAGGACAGCAAAACCCCGATAACAGAGCCGGCCTGCAGCAGCACTGCGCTATCTGGATACATGGACGTCCAGGCAGCACTGAAGATGACCAAACCCAGTACCAGGGCAGAGGTGCGGCTCCCAACAAGCATGTTGCACAAAAAAAGCAAATTGGGGCGGATGACATACAAGATAATCCAGAGGGCTTAGAAGCAGGCTAAACTAACCATAAACTGTGCAAGGATGCATCTACATGTGGGGAAACTTGAAAGAAAGAAAAAAAAAGCAGTGGTATGATGGACCCAACATCCAAGAGGGTGATTAGACCTCTGGGGGGGCGGGGCAGTGATGAGAAGGAGGCTGTCGGGGAGGGAGGTGAGGCTGGTTCGTGTTCTGTTCCTTAAACTGGGTGGTGGGTTGTTGTTACTGTTCAGTCGCTAAGTCGTGTCTGGCACTTTGCGACCCCATGGACTGCAGCACGGCAGGCTTCCCTGTCCTTCACCGTCTCCTGGAGTTGACTCATGTCCATTGAGCCATCCAAGCATCTCATCCTCTGTTGCCCTCTTCTCCTGCCCTCAGCCTTTCCCAGTATTGGGTATGTGAGCGTTTATTCTTCTTCTTTGAACTATTCATAAGATTATGTTCACTCTTTTTTTATGTATGACATATTTCATGATAAAAACGTTTTAAAAGTGGGACCTCCCTGGTGGTCCAGTGGTTAGGGCTTCACGCCTCCCCTGTAGGGGACACAGGTTCGATGCCTGGTTGAGGAACTTAAGATCCCACATGCTGCATGGCATGGCCAAGAGAAGAAAGAAAGCGTTTTAAAAATAACTAAAAGCGGTAAATATACTCTGAAGTGGAATGCATGCTTTAGAAGACCTTTTAAGGTAGAACAAAGACATTAGGAATAATTTTTAGGCCCTGTCTAGCTGTGCCCCAGGCCTATACATCTTTGCTCTCAGGGGACTGCCTAGGGAGTTATATCAGTGCTGCAAGGGCTGATGCACCAGCATGCATCGCCGAGAGGAAGTGCAGTAAATAAATCCTTGTGTTTCTACCTCAGTGGGAGTGAGTTTCCCTAGGAGGTCCTGGACCCCCAGCCCAGCCAGTGTGCACTTCTCTCTAGCCTTTCTCAGGCAGTGGCTGGCTAAGCAGCCCCCTTGCAGCTGGTGTTAGGGACGCCTGTGCCCTGGGTCCCATGGGCAGAAACAAGGGGCTCCCTGGGCAGACCTAGGAAGCCCACTGGGCAAAGTGAGTGGAGGGAACCAGGAAGGTTCTGGGGGTCTCAGAGCCAGTAGTGAGGGGAGATGACTGTGAGAGGGAAAGGTGGATAGGGGCAGCAGTGGCAAGACTTGGAGCGAGGTCAGCTCTGCCCTTCCTTCACCTGTCCATCCTGCCACATGTACATACCGTCACCATCCCTCCACCCCTCACTTCCTCCCTCCATCCATCCACTCATGCATCTATTCAACCATGCATCCACGGCACAAACCCACCAGCCTACCCCATCGGCATTTTTCAATTCTAACTGGCCCTTCTCTCCTACCTCCTAGTCTTCACACTCTCTGTTCCTCCTGGACTTTTACTACTGCCAACCACACAGACACACACACGTGTGGCTAACACCTACCCTTTATGTATCTCTGCTTTAAGAAGCCTCACCCCAGGCTGCCTCGGTGGCTCAGTAGTAAAGGATACGCCTGCCCAGTGCAGGGGACGAAGGTTCAGTCCCTGGCCCAGGAGGGTCCCTCGTGCCTCAGAGCAACTAAGACGGGGAGCCACAACTCCTGGAGCCCACACGCCCTAGAGCCCCTGCTCCTCAACAAGAGAAGCCACCGCCTCGAGAAGCTCTCGCGCCGCAGCTGGAGGGGAGCTCCCGCTCCCTGCAGCTAGAGGAAAGCCTACCCGGCAACGAAGACCCAGCACAGCCTAAAGCCATAAATAAATCATTTTTTTAAAAAGCCTCGCCCCACCTCCCAGTCTGAAGTAGATAAAGCAGATTTTCTCTGATGCACCCCTCTCATAGAAAAACCCTGTTTCTCTGTCCTAACTGTTGTCACAATATGTCACTGTGTGGTTCTCGGTTGATTTTCTTGTACCTGTTCCCCTAACCCTACACAAGTTCCGCAGGGGCAGAGACCAGGGCTTTCTTCAGCACCTGTCACAGAGCCTGCCTGACCCATGGAGGGGACTCAGTAAAGAATCGTTGCATGACAGTACTGGCTGACTTGTTTTTAATTTTTTTTTATTTGGGTGACTTTTTAAATACGCATTTATTTGACTGCACTGGGTCTTAGTTACAGCATATGGGACCTTTAGTTGCAGCATGTGGGATCTAGTTCCATGACCAGGGATTGAACCGGGGCCCCCTGCTTTTGGAGCCAGGAGTCTTAGCTATGGGACCACCAGGGAAGTCCCGGTATTTGATGAGTTTAGAGAGAAACTACTGTGTGCAGAGTATGGGGCCAGGTGTCTTAGAGGGATTTCTTCATGAATGTAATTAAATAGAGCTGCCCCAGGAAGATTTCAGTGTAGCAGAAGGAGATAAAGAAGGTGTATGAAAAAATTGAATGCAGGGGCTAAGTCGTGGAGGAGGCGAGGGCATGCAAAGACAGGGACGAGTCTGGACGCTGCAGACAGGGACGAATCTGGACGCTGCAAAGACAGGGGCGAGTCTGGATGCTACAAAGACAGGGGCGAGTCTGGATGCTGCAAAGACAGGGGCGAGTCTGGACGCTGCAAAGACAGGGACAAATCTGGACGCTCGCTGGACGCTGGCCGGCCCCGCCCTAACTGCTCAAGCTGGATAAGCCACTCTATCTCCATGAGCTTTAATTTCCTCACTGACGAAATGGAGCTAATAAAACCCGAGAGAGAAGAAAGAAACACTATCACCATGAAATTGCTTTAAATTGTTCAAATATATCTTCAGAGTTCTGTGAAAAGTTTTTTAAATAGATAAAATTATTGTGAGGACTGAAATCAATGTGATTTATTGATGCAATTTTTTTATAGACAGAGCCAAGTAATAGAAATTAGTAAACAACTAAAAGATGCACGTTTAGGAAAACTGAGCTCTGTGGTATTATTACGCAGATGAAATGAAACAATCCATGTGAAGTCCAACTAGAAAGAAACCTGATGTAGGGTCAGCAACTATTTGGGTGGCAGGGGGAATCTTTGTTGGAGAGGTTGATGTTAAAACTGTGAAAAATGCACAGGATTCCAATATTTTGATACAATGACTATTAGATGCAGTTTTAGAAACACTTTAATATACTCTTCCTGTCTCTATGGCTACATAAGAGATTAACCCCAGACATCATGCTCTGCTCAGTCATGTCCAACTCTTTGCCACCCCATGGACTGCAGTCTGCCAGGCTCCTCTGTCCATGGGATTGTCCAGGCAAGAATACTGGAGGGGTTTGCAATTTCCCCCTCCAGGGGGTGGGCCGAAATCATTTGTCTTGCTCACAGATTCTGTGAGTCTGGACAGAACCTGCTGGGAACAACTTCTCTCTGCTCTTTAATGACTGAGGTCTCCACTAGAAGACCCAAAGGCTGGGGGCTGAAATTATCTGAGGGCTCACGTGTTCAGTCACATGTCCAGTGTTGATGCTGACTGTCGTTTGGGACCTTGGATCCTCTGCACAAAAGCTGTTCCTGTATCCGTGTGGGCTAGGTTGAGTTCCCTTACAACATGTCAGCAGGATTTCAAGCAGGAGTGTCCAGAGAGCCAGGTGGAAGCTATATCCTTCTGATGACCTCGCCTTGAAAGTCACATAGCATCCCTTCTGGCATATTCTACCGGTGTACTCACAAATCCCTCAGATTCAAGGGGAGGGGACATAGCCCCCATCTCTCAGTGGGAGAAGTGTCCGTCACAATGTAAGAGGAACAAGTTGATGGGAAGTAAATATTGATGCAACCATCGTTTTTTTAAATTGAAATATAATTGATGTACAATGTTATATTAGTTTCAGGTGTACAACAAAGTGATTCCGTTTATNGTTGTATTAGTTTCAGGTGTACAACAAAGTGATTCCGTTTATATACATATATATATATATATATATATATATGCTTCCCTGGTAGCTCAGCTGGTAAAGACTCTGCCTGCAATGCAGGAGACCTTGGTTCAATTCCTGGGTTGGGAAGATCCCCTGGAGAAGAGTGTGGCAACTCACTCCAGTGTTCTTGCCTGGAGAATCCTGTGGACAGAGGAGCCTGGTGGGCTACAGTCCATGGAGTCGAGAAGAGTTGGACACGACTGAGCAATTAAGCACAGCACAGCTATATGTGTGTACATATATATATATAAGGGTTCCCATGTGGCTCAGTGGTAAAGAATCCACCTGCAATATAGGAGATGCAGTGCAGGTTCAGTCCTAGGTCAGGAAGGTCCCGAGGAGAAGGAAATGGCAACCCACTCCAGTACTCTTGCCTGGGAAACCCCATGGACAGAGGAGCCTGGCGGGCTACAGTCCTTGGGGTTGCAAAGAGTGGGACACGATTCATGACTGAGCACAGCGTAAACACACATCATCTTTCTGAAATAAAAAGCCTCTGCTCTTAGAGTCGGAGCCCACCCTGACCCCAGCAGGCCGGTGAGCAACCAAAGCTTTCCCGCCTCATCTCCGCTGCTCTCCTCCGGGCTGATGCACCATCAGAGCTGGGACCCATGGTCCCCGCTCTGTCTGCCGATGGGGTAGACACGCTTCTAAAGGAGCAGCATGGTGTTGTGTCGACGCGTCTGTGCAGGCTCACACGCGGCACCCAAGGGTCCAGGAAGCTGGCCCTCAGAAGTGCCTTTCACCCCATGCCTAAGTACAGGGCAGGGGACCAGGGACAGACTCCGGGGTCTGAGTTCAAATCCTGCCCTGCCCCACCCCAGCCACGGACGTGCTTTTGGAGACGTCAACCAGCCTGTTTCAGGTTGTTTTTTTTTTCCACTGTAAACTGTTTGAAACAATGACTGACGTCTCATGGTTGTTGAATGAACCCACTGGTTCGTGGACATACAGATGTGAATGGATACAAAGCCCCAAAGCACAAAGCAGAGCGGCCGTCATGAGGGAGGGGGTGATGGGGCCACGGGAGGTGGTCCAAACCTGGCGGCCGTTCCCGCAATTGCCTTGCTCTCCCGCCGCTCCCCACCCAGGAGCCGGGCAGTCTAGGTTGCTGACCTCCGGTCGCTGATCCCTACATGTGCTCTTCCCTCCCACAGACATGGGCAGCTTCGAGGAAGGCGAGAAACACCAGAGCGTCTCCCACGGAGAGGCCGCCGTCATCCGCGCCCCGCGCATCTCCAGCTTTCCGCGGCCACAGGTGACCTGGTTTCGGGACGGCCGTAAGATCCCGCCCAGCAGCCGCATGTGAGCGTCCCCCTCCCGGACCCCCAGGGGCGGGTGTGAGAAGCCAGCCCCGCCTGGGAGAGGAGACCCGGGGTCGCACGGAGCCCCCAGACGCGGGGGACGCAGGGTCCTTTCCACTCTGGGGTGGAGCCAGGCGGGGGACGTCCCCACGGAGGGCAGCCGGGTTCCCAGGGGCCTTCCTGGGAACCCCCGGGCTGAGCCCTGGAACTAGGACCGCTCTCGGCCTTCCTGGGGAATCCCAGGGTGTTGGCCTCTCTCTCTCAGCTGGAGAATAATTCTGCCTCTCAGAGCACTCCAAAAGCTCAAGTTGGCACAGACAGAGGCTCCATCCCCGTGGCTCCAGGCCAGGGTTCAGGGCACATGGGCAGGTGCGGGCATCTCCCGGGCAGGGCGGACGGCGCTGGGCGTTTCTGCACCGCGGGCGGGTGTGTCTGGGAGTCCATCGGGCGCGGCTGTGTGTTCCGGCTGCGGGGAGGAGGGGAGGCCCGGGCAGGCCTGGCAGGGAGAGGAACACACGGTCCTTTCAGCGCTAACAAGGGCCCTTCTGTGTAGCCCAGGTCAGGGGTGGTGGCCACCGGGCTCGTGGGCAGAGGGATGGAGCCGACACCTCCCCGGAGGGCGGGTGAGGGGTCAAGGGTGGGACGCAGCGGCCCTCCTGACCCCCCAGGAGACAGCCAGCGGAGGCGTTCCTCTTTAGGACTCCCACGCTCCCCTGCTCTCAGCAGAGGAGGAAAGCCACCCTTGCCCTGGGCCACGTGGGCCGCAGGTCCGCTGTGGGCAGAGCCTGTCCAGTCTCTGTAGGAAGTGCCGGCGGAGATGGCCAGTTCTTGCCTTCGGGGAGCATGAGGTTCCATGCGTGTAGCCCAGGTCAGGGGTGGTGGCCACCGGGCTCGTGGGCAGAGGGATGGAGCCGACACCTCCCCGGAGGGCGGGTGAGGGGTCAAGGGTGGGACACAGCGGCCCTCCTGACCCCCCGGGAGACAGCCAGCGGAGGCGTTCCTCTTTAGGACTCCCATGCTCCCCTGCTCTCAGCAGAGGAGGAAAGCCACCCTTGCCCTGGACCACGTGGGCCGCAGGTCCGCTGTGGGCAGAGCCTGTCTAGTCTCTGTAGGAAGTGCCGGCGGAGATGGCCAGTTCTTGCCTTCGGGGAGCATGAGGTTCCATGCGGGATATTATAATCCTGTAACATAGTAATATCCTGGCAACAGCGTGGCCGTACGGAGCACCTGCCATGTCCCCCAGCCTCCAATACGCACAGCCCACATCACCCTCTGCTCCAGGACAGACACACACCTCCCGGGGAGAGGTGCTCTGCCTCGGTGCCTTTTCGATCCCCAGAAAGCACATTCGGGAAATATTTGTTGAATGAATGACCCGCATGAGAACCTTATGAGGCTGCTGATTTTATCCCCATCTTACAGACGGTAAAGTGAAGGCCCCCAGAGCTTAACTGCTCTGCCAAATCTCACGCAACTGGTTCCAGGCTTGCTGACTCCAGAGTCAGGGTCTTTTTTGTATAATGGTTTCAGTGTCTTTTTTAAAATATCTATGTGAAGTGAAAGTCGCTTAGTCATGTCTGACTGTTTGTGACCCCATGGAATATACAGTCCATGGAGTTCTCCAGGCTAGAATACTGGAGTGGGTTGCCTTTCCCTTCTCCAGGGGATCTTCCCAACCCAGGGATTGAACCCAGGTCTCCCACATTGCGGGTGGATTCTTTACCAGCTGAGCCACAAGGGAAGCCCCAGAACAGTGGAGTGGGCAGCCTACCCTCCTCCAGTGGATCTTCCTGACCCAGGAATCGAACTGGGGTCTCCTTCCTTGCAGGCAGATTCTTTGCCAGCTGAGCTGTGAGGGAAGCCCAGATATGCATGTATGTGTGCATTTTTGGCTGTGCTGGGTCTTCATCGCTACACGCAGGTTTTCTCTGGTTGCGGGGAATGGGGGCTACTCTCTGGTTGCAGTGAGAGGGCTTCCCATTGCGATGGCTTCTCTTGTTGCCGAGCATGGGCTCTGAAGTCACCGTCTTCAGTCGTTGCAGCTCGCGGGCTCAGAGGCTATACAGCACACGGGCTTAGTTGGTCCGTGGCATGGGGGATCCTCCCAGACCAGGGACTGAGCCCGTTTCTCCAGCATTGCCAGGCACACTCTTAACCAGTGGACCACCAGAATCAAGATCTTTAATTCTCTTTTGTGTGGAAATTATTTGAGAGCAGGGACAAAGACATGGGGGCTAAACAGGATAAAGTGATTGCACTTGTGGAAATTGACCTGATGATTCTCAACCTGGCTACCATCTGAGATCATTTGGCACCATTTAAAATACATTGATCTTTCGATTCTGCCCCTCACATGCTCTGATTGCATTGAAACAGTGTGTATGTACCTAGACGTCAGGATTTTTAAAAGCTCCCCAGTGATTCCAGCATGCAGCCACAGTTGAGAACCACTGTCCTGGAATGTGTCTGTTACCTCCAGGTACAAGAGTGCTGCATGACAAGTGATCCCAATGGCCTGATGCGATGCATGTATCATTCACATCAGCAGATTGGTGAGCTTGGCCTGGCTCACTTGATCGGGGCTGGCTGATGAGAATGTCTGGGTGAGTCCACTCTGCCCTGCCTGTCCCAGCCTCCAGCCAGCCGGCCCTAACATCTCCTGGCAGTCGCAGGAGAAGTAAAGTCAGGGTTCTGCTAACATCCCATTGGTCAATGCAGGTTACGTGGTAGAACTCAGCCCAAGACACAGGGAAATTAACTCTGCGCTTGAGAGGATGAGAGAGTCACCCGGTGGAGCTGCTGCTACAGAGCTGGTGATGACTGGCGGGGGGGACCCCATGTTCACAGGTGGACTCGTGCTGTGTGTGAGGACCAGGCTCCCGTAGGCCTAATGAAAGTTCAATAAAAGCAGCGAGTGAGGACCGTTAACACAGAAACCAAGGTTGAGTCGCAGGAGGGGGATCGCCCTGCCACATGGGTGCTGAGACAGGCAGCAAGTCCCAGCCCCTTCCCGACTCCCTTTTCTGAGCCGATCTCCCGGGCCCTCGCTGTATCGATGACAGTGTCCTGCAAGCCAGCCAGCTGGGAGTGGCTGCAGGAATACTGTGCTGAGGAGGACCCCCAGGGCTCAGACTCGGGGATTACGCCTTCATGGATGAGCCACGTGCCCCATGGCCGCCGGAGGGGCCGCGTGGACATCTGTCTCCGGGGTTTGCCGCATTAGATGCAGCTCTTTCTGCAACCTCACTCCCATCACCCTTTTCCTGACAGCTTCCCACCTCCTCTGGCCGTTCCTGTCTTCTGCCATCACTGCCCCCCCTTTTCTTTCCCAACAGTCACTGTCACCAGGACAGAATGCCCTCAGGCTGTGCGCGTGCGCACACACACACACACGCACGCACACACACACGCACACGCACACACACGCGCGCGCGCGCACGCACGCATGCACGCACGCACACACACATGACACATGCACACACGCACGCGCACGCACGCGCACACACGCACACGCACAGACACACACGCGCACACGCATGCATGCACGCACACACACGACACACGTGCGCGCGCACGCACGCACAGACACACACAGACACACACAAAACATANCACACGCACGCACACACACACGCACACGCACACACACCCTCCTGGTCACGCCCACCCCCTCCAGCCCTCCTACCAAACACACATGAGGACACAGGGCATTTTTATCTCAGCAATTACAGCAGATTAATATTCATAGCCCAGAGGAAAGGCCCCTGGAAACAAATCCTCTGGTGTCTGTTTGTTGGAGATACGCATGTGATGAGCGCTATCAACCGTCAGGGCGCAGGGGCTGCGCTATCTACAGAGGACCGCTCTCCCTCCCGGGGCGGAAGCAGAGATTAGCAGCCACCCCCACCACCCCTTCCTTGATACTCATTGTTGAAAAGGAGACAAGATTCCTAACAAAGATGCATGCTGAGGGTTTGGGGCAGGTTCTGGGGTGATTTATTTTACTCTTAATTAAATTATCAATTGCCCTCCACCCCCCGGAGCTGGGATAAAAAGGCTGGCTTCATGAGAGGGAGTGGAAGGTGGGAAGGACTTGGGCCAATCAGAGAAGCGGGATCGACCTAAGAAATTGAACCAGAGGATTGTGGCTGAAGAACCTAACCCAGCCTCTGCTGAGAGGGGAGCCCTGCAAGAGTCCTAGCGGCCTCCTTCAGCATGGGCGCCCCTGGGTGAGCCGACTGGAAGCTCTCCTGAGTGCTGCAGGGAGCTGGTGCACTTCGGAAGTGAGCGCAGGGTCGTGCGGGAACCATCTATCGAGGGGATGGTCATCCCGCTGAAGGCTGTGAGCCCAGGGACCTTTCTTATTAGCCTCCTGCTGAGGACAGACGGAGGGCGAGTCAACAGGCCGCTGGCCCCTCACTGCCCTCTGCTCACCCTGCTCACCGGGAACGCGAACCCAGGCCCCAGGGTTCCCGGACACAGTGCTCTCCCCTAGAGGCAGGCAGAGCCCCTCTGACTCACAGACAGGCAGACAGACAGACAGACCCCCGGACCCAGGGACTTAGCGCCATGGAAGTTGTTTCCTGCCAGCTTAAAGAGCTTTAGGGCTTCCCTAGAGGCTCAGATGGTGAAGAATCTGCTTGTGATGCAGGAGACTCAGGCTCAGTCCCGGGGTTGGGAAGATCCCCTGGAGAAGGGAATGGCTACCCACTCCAGTATTCTTGCCTGGGTAATCCTATGGACAGAGAAGTCTGGTGGGCTACAGTCCATGGGGACGCAAAGAGTCGGACACGACTGAGCGACGAACACTTTCACTTCCTTTTTTCACCCTAAGAGGGGGCTGAGGGAGACAGGTGAACTCCAGAAGGCTGTGTCACAGGCGAGCTGTGGCTTTTGAATCACCCTAAACAGATTCAGGATTAGGCAGCCTCCCTCCCCCACAGCCTTCACCCACCTCCACAAGCTGCATTAAAGGACCAGGGTCCCTGCAGGAGATTCCCACGTGAGGACATGGTCACCATCCCTGTCCCACTGTGTTGACCTTAAAATATTTTAGCCCGGCTCTGTCCTCACGCCCATCACCTCATTTCTTGTTCAGCGGCTCAGTCATGTCTGACGCTTTGCGACCCCATGGACTGCAGCATGCCAGGCTTCCCTGTCCTTCACCATCTCCCAGAGCTTGCTGAAACTCACATCCATTGAGTGGATGATGCCATCCCACCATCTCATCCTCTGTCGCCCCCTTCTCCTTTTGCCTTCAGTCTTTCCCAGCATCAGGGTCTTTTCCAGTAAGCTGACTCTTCACATCACGTGGTCAAAGTATTGGAGCTTCAGCTTCAGCATCAGTCCTTCCAATGACTATTCAGGGTTGACTTCCTTTAGGATTGCTGCTGCTGCTGCTAAGTCGCTTCAGTCGTGTCCGACTCTGTGCGACCCCATAGACAGCAGCTCACCAGGCTCCCCCGTCCCTGGGATTCTCCAGGCAAGAACACTGGAGTGGGTTGCCATTTCCTTCTCCAATGCATGAAAGTGAAAAGTGAAAGTGATGTCGCTCAGTCGTGTCTGAATCTTAGTGACCTCATTGACTGCAGCCCACCAGGCTCCTCCGTCCATGGGATTTTCCAGGCAAGAGTACTGGAGTGGGGTGCCATTGCCTTCTCTGTCCTTTAGGATTAGCTGGAGGCAAAAAGACCTCTTCAGGGAAAAAAAAAATAAAGGACATCATTAGGGTTCCTAGGCATTGGAGAGGAAGGCTTTGTCTTCCTAATTCCTGGAGCTCAGCAGGCAAAATAATACCCAGCACTGGAACCCCAAAAGCCAGGATAAGGGGGGACCCCGGCCCAGCCTGGCTGGGAGGACCAAGCTGGAGAGGCGTTCACAGGGATGTTTATTTGAGAGCCCATTTAAAAGTCTGTCACATTCACCTAATGGGAGAATCTGAAAAGAATTCAACTGGATCTGTCCTTGTTAAACTAACATTAAGGATGTTTAACAGCTGTCTCGGGCATATCACATTAAAATCCAGAGATAGACTCGACAAACTAATGGTGTTGCTCGTCATCAGGAGGATGGGTGAGAGGAGGTGCTGGGCAGAGCCGGTCGGGCAGGGGTCCTGCCCCCACACCCGGAGGGTGCCCAGCTTCCGCCTGGACAAGCCCTTCGCCCAACCTGTGGACGTGGGGACTGAGGGGCTATGTGACAGGATCCCGGCAGCAGGAACCAGACTGGCAGCAAACCGCCTACGTCTGCGCCCCGCTGCCCAGCCCGTTTCCCTTTTCCCTCTCAACCAGCCCTGACGGCCCCTTATTGGCTGGATTCAGGGAAAGGAAATGGAGGTGCTTCCCTGTGGCTCAGATGGTGAAGAATCTGCCTGCAATGCAGGAGACCCGGGTTTGATCCCTGGGTCAGGAAGACCTCCTGGAGAAAGGAATGGCTACCCACTCCCGTACTCTTGCCTGGAAAATCCCATGGACAGAGGAGCGTGATGGGCTACAGTGAACGGGGTCTCGAAAAGTCAAACACGACTGAGTGACTAACACTTTCACTTCCTTTTTTCACCCTAAGAGGGGGCTGGGAGGGACATGTGAACCCCAGAAGGCTGTGTCACAGGCAGGCTGTGGCTTTTGAATCAACCTAAGCAGATTTGGGATTAGGCTAAGGCAGTGATTCTGGAATGGATCTGCTCATTTCTAAGTGTATTATCATCTCTCATGATTCATTCATTCTGGGGAATGAATTTCTTCAATTCTGGACCCTCCTGGTGCAGCAGTGACCCGAAAGGGTAGAATTCTGGGGGAGCTTCGGCCCCTAGCCAGGCCTGGGCTGGACGCAGAGAAGCGTCGCCTGGACAGCCTCAGACCCCTGGACATGCTCTGTATCTGGTCCCCAGCGCTGGTGAAGAAGTGGGGTTCTCTGCAAACTAATTCTGGCTGGAGTTCAGGCAGCCAGTGTTTCCGGGGGTGGGCTGGAGGAGGGGCTCTTGGGCGCCTGGCTTCCTGTCCCGACTGGCATCGCATCCCTGGAGGCCCGCCCGTCAGAGGAACCCTTTTCTGCTTCCCAGAGCCATCACCCTGGAGAACACCCTTGTCATCCTGTCGACTGTGGCACCCGACGCAGGTCGCTACTACGTGCAGGCTGTTAACGACAAGAACGGGGACAACAAGACCAGCCAGCCCATCACTCTCGCTGTGGAGAGTAAGTCAGCGGCGGGGCCCGGACCGACGGCGAGGCGCGTCATTAAATCTTGGGAATGGGGCTCCCGGGGCTCGTGGGGAAGATGGAATGGCGTGGACTGGGGAGGCTGGGAAAGGGATGGGGAGGAGCCATCCCGAGCAGGAGGAGTCCCAGCTGCAGTGGGAGCGGGAGCCGGCGAACCAGGAGGGGACTGACCTCTGGACTCCATCCCCATGAGTCTGAGATCGTATCAGGAGCGGGGACACTTAGCTTGGCTGTTAGCGGGGCCCCCTGGACACCCGGGGAAGGCATGAAATGTTGGGAAAAGTGTGTGCTTGAGAGGATTACAGCCACCTCTGGGCTCAGGTGCCAGTGGCGAGAGCTGACCAGGACCTGGAAAGCTCATTTTTAAAGAAGTGTGCTGACTGCCTGCACTCAGCTGGCATGTAAAAGGCACCACTTACAGTTGGAGCCAAGCCATCCTCGCTGATGGGAACACAGGCTTTCTGCCCAGGCTCCCGCCTCAAAGTGCCGCTGTCCATCGGCAGAGACTGCCCCCCACCCTGGAGGAGAGAGGCAAGCCTCTCCTCAGTGGCAGAGTGCAGAGGGGAGCAAATGGAAAGGGTGACTCCTTGAGTCTCCTTGACGGAGAAGCGTTTGTCCAGCTGAGACTGAAGGCAAGTTTCTGGGCCTTGATGGAGATGCCGTGGTGGGGCGGGGGGGGGGGGGGCGACGTTCTCCCCAGCCCTGCTCCCCGCCCCCCAACGCACCATCCTCGAGAGGCAGAGGAAGTGGGGAGTCACCAAGTCCGTGGGATGGGGCCAGAGCTTCCTGCAGCGACCGAGCGCCATGCCGCCTGGGGAGCCAGATGTTCACGTCCTTCACATCTGCACAACTGCTGCTCCACAAGCCAGCTCATTTATCATCCACGGTCCCGCGGGGACGTCCCCGCCAGCAGCATGAGAAGGGTGCCAGCCAGCACAGGACCTTCCCGTGTCCTTCCTCTGATCCCAGCCTCTGTCTTCCAGGGCCCAGAAAGCCCAGTTGTTGTCGATGAGTCACTAAGACGCGTCTTTTGCGACCTCAAGGACTGTAGCCCTCCAGGCTCCTCTGTCCGTGGGATGCTCCAGGCAAGGATACTGGAGTGGGTTGCCATTTCCTCTTCCAGGGGATCCTCTTGACCCAGGGAGAGAACCCGAGTCTCCTGCATTGGCAGGTGGATTCTTTACCACCCAGCCACTTGGGAAGCTGCAGAAAGCCCAAAACATTCCCCAGTCCTGTCCTGCCCGCGCCTGGGCCTTCTGGCACCTGCAGAACCCCTTCCCATATATGCAGTGACCCCCTCCCCCAGACCAGGCTCCTGTCTGCCGAGAAAGAGACCTGGATGCAAGGAGCAGCGTTCCAGTCTGCATGCTGACCTATGAGGGTCACAGGTGTGACCTCTGACATTGACTTGAGCCAGGGTCTCACTCATCTTGGCATCCTGGGGGCCCAGCCCACAGTCTGGGGCTGCTGTTTCTATGGGAAAAGGAACCATCAGAGGGGGTGTTTTTCCCATGTATTTTCCAGCACTTTGAATACCTGGAGTCTTAACAGAATCGAGTCAAGGTCAGGCTTCTTCCTGGGTGGCTCAGTTGACTCTGGGATGACGGAGGTTGGAGCCTCCCTCCCCGGACTCTGCTCTGCCTTCCTCCCTCAGCACCCAGCCTCCTCCCGGCCAACCCAGGATGGTGGTGCTCCCTCCCCGCCCTCCAGCGCCTGCTTGTCTGCCCGAGCCTCCCCCACACCATTGTCTGTTTCTCCCACCCGGTCGCCCCTCACCCCCTGCTCTCAGGATTTGTACCAGATTGAGTGCAGAATCAGCTGATTTTCAGCTAATTTCTCCTCCCACGAGTGACTGCACTTCAAATCCTGGTGCTTGTCGCTGACACAAATCCCCCAGCCGCCGGCCTGCCAGCCAATTTCCTGGGAGCAATTGCGACTTCACCCACCGCCAGCAGTGTCTCCCTCATCTGTCTCGCCCTCTGCTCCCCACCCCCGCCCCCTCACCCCGTCTCTGCTCAGGGCAGGCAGCCTCTTCACATCCCTCATCCCTCGGGAAACATCCATGCTCTTTGGAGATGGAGACTGAGAGGGCAAAGGCCAGTGACCCCCAGAGTTGCCCCCTGCCCAGGTGTCAGCCAGCAGGTGACCTCACTCAGACCAGCACAGCTCTTGACAAGTTCGCACCTGGCTGGTGGTCCCACTGGGTGGTGATCAGAGCTGCACCATGCAATGGAATTATAACATGAGCCACATATGCAATTTAAAATTTGCCAGTAGCTCACTATTTCAGAAGGAAAAAGGAATTCGTGAAATTAATTACACTTTATTTAACCCAACATATCCAAAATATTATCAGCTGAACGTACAATCAAGATAGAAAATATTAATGAGATACTTTACACTGTTTTTTTTTTAAGTCTTTGAAAATCCATGTGTATTTTACACTTAAAGCACATCTCCTCAAATTTGGATGCTGGATTTTCATCTGGAATACGTGATCTGTATTTTGATTTCATAAAATGTACAGCTGGAAAGGTGGGATCGGAAGCCCAAGTTGTTCTAGACATACTTAGAAGTGTTCTAATAACTGACTCGGAGATCTGCTTTTAATCAAGTGTAAATTAGATAAAATTCAGTCCCACTACATAGGGACATCAGTCACTCAAGAGCTCGTGGCCACCTGTGGTTCTCCCCCCGCCCCCCACCCTGAGGGGGCAGGTCGGCCCTGGGCTCGTGGGCAGCTGGAAGCCAGCCCTGGGGAGAGGGCAGCTTGTCTCCCTGCCCTCCACCCGTGTGACCTGTGGTCCAGCCACGTGGTCCCCGAGCCGCAGTTTCCTCACCTGTAATGGGACGCCTGTGGCAAAGTACAGGCCTCTCCGATGGCTCACTGGGTAAAAAAACCCGTCTGCAATGCAGGAGACGGAAGAGACGGGGGTTCGATCCCTGGGTTGGGAGGATCCCCTGGAGGAGGAAATAGCAGCCTGCTGTATTATTCTTGCCTGGAAAATCCCATGGACAGAGGAGCCCAGTGGGCTACAGTCCACGGGGTCGCAAAGAGTTGGACACGGCTGAGCGACTAAGCACGCACGCACTACAACACCCACTCAATGCTCCCACTGCACCTGTTATCAAAACTGTCCTGGGGCAGCTGGCTGAGACCCAGCTTCACCCCTGAGTGGGGATCCCCAAGCTTCCTCCTGTCCTGGGGCCCCACCCACACACAAGCTCACCTGGAAGATGCCGGCGCTTGCTCCGCTTTGCCTGCAACTTTTCCAAGTGGTCCTTGGGGCCCCATTCACGCCACTGTCCAGAGCTGACACCCTGCATCCTTTGCCTGAGCATAGCTAGACTGCCCCCCACCCCTGGCCGGCCTCCCCGAGACCCAGAGTCGGCCCAGCCCCCCACCCCCGGCAGAGAGCCCCTGACAGTCAGGTGTGTCCTCCCAGGGCAGGTCCCCCCGGGCGGTCCCTCCGCTTTCCCATCACATGAAGAGCCTCCCTTTCCACCACTCCTGTGGGCCGGGCACCCCACCCCCGCCCCAAGCACAGCAGGCAGCTCCCCGGGGAGGGCCTGTCACCTGCTGAGCACCTACTATGTGCCAGGCACTCTGCACTAGCCCCTGACCAGCTCAGCCACACCCCCAGGACCCTCCTCCCAGGCACCTGTGGCAGGCACCTTTAATCTCATGAACATCTGAGCACCGATCTGACTTCTCCCCAGACTGTGCGCGCCGGGGGTCAGAGCCCTGCCCGTCTCCCCTTCGGGGGGATCCCCCTGCCTGGCACCCAGCCTGGCGCGTACTGAGCCCTCGGCCAGAGAAGGTTTGTCTAGCCAGGGGCTGAACTGGCACAACCCTGAGAGGCAGCGACTTCTAACCCCCATTTTGCAGCTGAGAAAACAGACTTGGGGGCTGAGGAGAGCAGCCAGAGTCCTGACCAGATGCCTGGGATTAGGGGGTGAGGGGTGCAAAACGAGCTTCTGGACCAGGTCTTCCTGAGCCCCAGGCCCTCCTTTGCTGAATCCAGAGCGGGGGGTGGGGGGGGGCCTTCCCTCGAGTCTTGCCAGCTGCCGCCTGGGCCTGGGCAAGACTCCAGGGCCCTCGAGGGGATGTCAGTCTCCTCTTTAACCTCCTAAAGCCGACAAGGCAGCCCAAGGTCCGGCGGGGCAGGAGGGGGCACCCTCATATTTCTAAACGCCGAGGGCTCTGTTTACCCATCAGGGCCGCGGGGCTCTGACTGTCTGTCTCCTCCACGAGCCCCATTAATCCGGGCCTCGGCACCTGTGCGGCCCGGCGTGTCATAAACAACGTGGAGCACACTTTTATGGATTCGGCTATATCAGCAGCTTTCAATCCGATCGCTCTTTATGGCACCTACATGAGGCTTTTATATTGTTGCAATTATTTTGGTTTATATGCTTCCTTTCTTTCCCCCTTCATTTTACTTTACTTTTTACATTTTATTCCCATTCTGTCTGGGCCTTTCCCAGCAAGGCCTGGGAGGCCCGGTAGGAAAACCTTTTCCTGGGGGGCTGACCGGGCGGCCTGTCTTCCCCATAAAGGATGTCCATTTGCCATCGCCCCGGGGCCGTGGGAGTCATTATGGCCTGCCACCTCCGGAGCCTCCTGGATAGGGGCCAAGTGGATGGATTTGTCATGAGAGAACAAGTCCTCTGGGTTTGTATTTTCAGGAGCCAGGGAGCAGGGTCACAGAAGGTAGTGCAGCTTCTATCAGTACGGGGCTTGGGCTGACCACAGAGAGAAGAGCCTGGCCCCTTCTCAAAAGACTCAAGGAATAAAGCAGGAAAGTCTCCTGTCTTTACTGGACTTCCTGATGGCTCAGCGGGTAAAGAATCCGCCTGCCAATGCAGGAGGCAGAGGAGATGCGGGTGTGATCCCTGGATCAGGAAGATCCCCTGGAGGAGACAGTGATAACCCACTCCAGTCTTCTTGCTTACAGCACCCCATGGACAGAGGTGCCTGGCGGGCTACAGTCCATGGGGTCACAAAGAGATGGACATGACTGAGCAACTGATGCTTTTGTTTCTTGTTATTTTTAATTGATTTTTCTTGGAGTCTGTAGTTGCTTTCCAGTCTTATGTTAGTTTCTTCTGTATGGCAAAGTGGATCCGCCCTCTGTATACATATCTCCCCCTTCTTTGGGTTTCCTTCCTGTTTGGGTGACCTCACAGCGCTGTGTAGAGGCCCCTGTGTGCAGAGCAGGTCCTCAGCAGTCATCTCTCTCATCATGCTGGACTTCGGGCGCACCCTGACGCAGCAGGACCTCCGCCTAACTTGACTGCACTTGCAAAGCCCCTCTCTGAAATAAGGGGGCATTCACAGCTGGACATGAACTTGAGGAACAGCATTCAGCCCAGTGTGGGGAGTTTGCATTCTGGTGGAAGAGGTGGCCAATGAAGAAGCGAGCTGACGAGATGTTGTCAGCTTACTGACAACGTATTATCCTTCTCATGGCATTTATGCAGGTGGAGGGAAGGATTCTGAAGGCCAAAAAAAAAAGACTAGGACAGGGGATGAAGAAGAGGGCATGGCTGCATTATAGGGGGTGGGTTACATCCTGAGGTCTCCCGTGGGCTCTCCCTGGACGCTGTGCAGAGACCCACCACCACAGGAGGATGGAAGGGGGAAGGTCCCCCGGGTCAGTGTCTGGAGGTTCAGCTCTGGGGCTTCGGGGCATCTGCCCACACCCCCCACAAGGACAAAGATCTCCCACGATGTCCCTCTAGTGGGGGTGGGGCTCTGATGGGATTCTCAGCATCTGTTCCTCTCCCCAGATGTCGGCGGCCCTGCCGACCCCATCGCTCCAGCCATCATCATTCCTCCCAAGAACACCAGCGTGGTGGCCGGGACCTCGGAGGTGACCATGGAGTGTGTGGCCAATGCCAGGTGGGTCCTGCCTCCACACCCCCCCACATTAACCCCAGCGGGTGCTCCTGACCTGCGGGCTCCGAGGAGGCCACGTGGAATTCACAAAGGTCCAGAACTGTCCCATGAGACCCCACAAAAGAAGACGGGGTATTTAGCCTGGAGGAGGGGTGATGGGTTGGTGGTCAGAGAGCTGTCGGACGCAAGCAGGGCCCGCCCGGGAGGAGAACCCAGGTCTCGAGGGGAAGTTATCCAGCAGATCTCAGCCCAGGACATCTGGGGTTGGTGGGAGATCCACACGCTTCCGACATCCAGAGCAGCCTGGGGAGCGGCCGCTCGCCTCTGCCGGCCGTGGCCTCCTTGAATGAGGGCAAGAGGAAGGCGGGACTTTCCTGCTGGTCCAGTGGTTAAGACTCTGTGCTCCCAAAGCAGGGGGCCCAGGTTCGATCCCTGGTCAGGGAACTAGATCCCACATGCTGCAACTAAAGATTCCTGCATGCTGCAACTGAGACCCCAGACGTGCATTTCAGGACTTCCACACTTTCCCACCCACTGACTTACAGTGGACGGGGCAGGGGGCAGAGCGGAGGCAGAGAGACGTGGGGAAGGGCCACTTGCCTGCTCGCGAGAGCCCTCGAGCATGAGCTGTCGCGGGGCCAGGTCTGCCCTCGCCGCAACCCCCGGGGAGCAGGGCACAGTTGTTCCCATTGTACAGATGTGGAAACTGAGGCCCAGAGCTCTGAAGGACTAGCCCACACAACGGTCTGCACCTAGCAAGTGTCAGGGGCAGGGCAAACTCAGGCGCCTGGCCCCCCGCACCTGCATGCCTCACCACGCCCTGCCCTGCCTCCCGAGCCCCTGGGAGGCTCTGTGGCTGACCGCCTCATCCCTTGCCCCGTCCAGGCCTCTGATCAAGCTTCACATCATTTGGAAGAAGGACGGGGCGCTCCTGTCCAGCGGCATCAGCGACTACAACCGCCGGCTCACCATCCCCAACCCCACGGCCAGCGACGCCGGCTACTACGAGTGTGAGGCCGTCCTGCGCAGCAGCAGCGTCCCCTCCGTCGTCCGCGGCGCCTACCTCTCTGTGCTGGGTGAGACGGGGTGGGGCTGCTGGGGTCCCCCCGACAGGAAGGGGCAGCACGGCGACCCGATCAGCGGCCGTATCAACAGGAGCCTGGCTCTGATCCCCTCCCCTGGTCTTTCCTCCTGCAGAGCCACCTCAGTTTGTCAAGGAGCCGGAGAGACACATCACAGCGGAGATGGAGAAGGTGGTGGACATCCCCTGTCGGGCCAAAGGTAACCTGGTGGCATGGTTGGAGGGGGACGAGGTCCCTCCAGACCTTCAACCTCTCCCCTCCCTGAAACGGACTGTTCTGAAGTCCGCCACCCTCTCACCACTGAGCAGAGAGTCAGCCTGGCTGTAAGCAGACAGCCCAGGAAGTAAACAGGCCAAACTACGGTAATCTCAGGGCTGGAAGTCAGCTCCGTGTTACCATAACGTGAAGGTTACAAATGAATCCAAATTACCGTAATTTCAGGATAGGTGACAGACTCAAGTTGCCCGTAATGTGAGAGATGCCAGCAATGCCACATTGTCGTAATGTCAGAACTGCCAGAACGCGGGTGTGTCTCTGCCTGGCTTCTGGACCATTCTGCTTCGTCTCCCCTCACCGTTCCTACTTAACCCCCAGCCTCTCTCAGAGTTCTTGCATACTTACCGCTTTTCCCATCCTTCTCCTTTGAGTTCAGCTGAGCTAAAAGACACCCCAAACCAGGGTGCAGTCTGGGACGAGGGGATGACAGGATGAGCAGAGCGGAGACTGTAACCCTGGCGGGAGGGAGGGACGGAGGGTCCCAAGGAGGAGGGGGGCACACCGACCCNGAGCAGAGACGCAGAGAGCTGGAGCGGGGGGCAGGGGGTGTGGGGAAAGGGTGCCAGGCTGGGGACACAGCTCGGGCAAGGCTGAGGGGTTAGGAGGAGCCCCCACACTCCTCTCTGTGAGGACGGGCCAGGACGGGGCTTCTGAAGAAACCCCCATCCCACCTGTGAGCCCCTAGACACAGGGCTGCGCGCTCACCTGGGTTTGGAAAGGCTGGCTGGAGGTTCCCAGAGCATACTAAAGACTCCGCTACATATGCCAGAATAAAATACAGTATGTCCAGCCTTTCCAAGCTGAACTAACCCCAGGAGCTTTTAAATTTTCTTGGAATACCTACTCTATGAGAATTTGGGAATCTAAGAACAACTCTCCCTGCTTCCTAGACCAATAGTGGCACCGCTGAGAAAGTTCAGGCTTCTCCAGTGGTTCAGCAGGTAAAGAATCCGCCCACAGGGCTGGGGCCACAGGAGACGCGGGTTCGATCCCTGGGTTGGGAAGCTCCCCTGGAGGAGGGCATGGCAACCCACTCCAGTGTTCTTGCCTGGAGAATCCCACGGACAGAGGAGCCTGGAGGGCTACAGTCCGTGGAGGTCGCAAAGAGTCAGACACGACTGAAGCGACTTAGCACGCAAGCACGCACTAAGGTTCTAGAAACCAGAACACACCAGGGATCCCCCCCCCACCTGCAGCCCCAGCCTCCGAGGCTGGAGCATCCCTCGGAGGCGGCTGACGGTGGGCGCTCCACCCCCTAGGCGTGCCGCCGCCCTCCGTCACCTGGTACAAGGATGCGGCCGTGGTGGAGGCGGCGAGGCTGGGCCGCTTCCGGCAGCGAGGTGACGGGAGCCTGCAGATCAGTGGGCTGGTGCCCGACGACACCGGGATGTTCCAGTGCTTTGCCCGCAACGCGGCCGGCGAGGCGCAGACCTCCACCTACCTGGCCGTCACCAGTGAGTCTCCTTCCCTGTCCTGCCCGAGTCCCTCCCCTCTCCCCCCCAACCCAGGACACAGCCCTTCTCCAAGCCAGGGGCCTCCTGAGAACAGGCCGCTGTAGATGCAGAAATAGGATCCCAGAAAGCTCTCGCCCTGGAGCGGGGTGACTCTGGCCCGTCACGCCCTCTGCTTCTGCGACCAGCACTGGTTTTTTTCTTTCGCAAACCAGAGCCTCAATTTCACCTTTAATGAAAGGTGAATCCCATTAACCTTGTCATGGAGGGTGTCGGTCACCCTTGGGAGTCCTCAGTTTCTGCCAGATGGAGGCTTGAGAGTAGAGGCAGGGCAGGGACTGGCGTCACCAAGGTGCTTCCACGGGGCAGGTGGTGAGGAGGCCCTCGTGGGTTCTCTGGTTCTTTCTGACACCGGGGTCCTACCGAGACACCTGCATCCTTCCCTGAAGAAGGACCCACACCAAGGAGAGTGGCAAGGCAGGAGAAGGACCCAGATGTGGCTAAGATGCCCCACTGTCTCCCTTTGCAGGCATCGCCCCCAACATCACCAGGGGCCCCCTGGACAGCACGGTGATTGATGGCATGTCAGTGGTGCTGGCCTGTGAGACTTCGGGAGCACCCCGCCCGGCCATCACTTGGCAAAAAGGTACTTAAGGCTGACTGACTTTAGAGGGTGACCAAAAGTCTAGGGCAGTCCTGGGGCTCAGTTCCGGAGCCAGCCAGCTGGGGTTTCCCATGTACAGTTGGGAAGGTTGTGCACTGCACAACCCCAGAGGGCTTCTTTTACACCATGGGACGTACCATGTGCCGCCCTATCCGGCTCCAGGCTCAGCTCTGCCTCTGGTGAGACCCGTGACTTTGGGTGAGTTATTTACTCACTCGGAGCTTTAAGGTTCCCACCTATAAACTGGGGATGGTAGGATTCGTACCTGGGAGCAGCATGAAAACTAGATGAGAGGGTGCATGTGGAGGGCCTGCACCGTGTCTGGGAAGTAGTAGACCAGCCCGTGCCGGCGGTTGTAATACCGTGGAGCAGGTTGTTAGTACAGGGATGGGGCCGTACCCCCTCCCCCGGCAAAGCCAGCGAAGCCCAAGCTGCCCCCTCGTCCACCCACCCCGTGCCTCCTCCACGCCTCGGCATTGTTCACGCACTTTCACAGCCCTCCCCAGAGACACACACACGTGTACACACTCTCACTCACTCCCACCCCCAGCCTCTGCCCCCATGAACCTCCTCTCATCCCGAGCCTCCCTGCTCTGTCTCCCCACCTTCTAACACACAAGGTCATCGGCATGTTCAGTCTACTGATTACCTCGCCTCCCACAATCCGAAGCTTTCAGTTTTGTCCCCTGGCGTCTCCCCGGGGCTTAGAACACAGTGACCCACAGAGGATGCTTCGTCAGTATCGGTGGGGTGTGCGCCCAGATGCAGAAATAAACACGCCCACCTGATACAGTCACCGGTGCAGGATGCCCACACGCGTGTGTGGAGGGACCCGCTCACCCACCGGTTTGCATGTGGACAGTCCCCTCTGTACAGGCGGGTGGGATTTTTTTTAAAAAACAGGTGCGGTCACCAACACCGACTGTGCTCTCAGACACACTCTGACACAGGGGTCACCCTCCCTGTCTCCCTCCCTCTCTCCTTCCAGCCACCAGGGTCCCCGGGTCCCTACTGGGAGGTCTGTCCCCATCAGGGCTGCCCCCGCCGCACCCCACGCTGGCTGCTCCCGCCCACCGCTCCCCTGCGCTCCCCTGAAGGTGACTCCAGAAGCATCCTCCTGCAGGCGGCCCGTCACCACCCTGTCGCAGCTGTCTGTCCCCTCCCCGCAGCCCAGGTGCCAGCTGCCTCCGAGGGCTGTGCCCGCCGGCGGGAGGCAGGCTGGTCTTCCTGCTGAAGGGCGGATAGCATGGTGGGAGGAGAGACAGCAGGAGAGGCTCCATCCGCGCCCCCTGCTCTGGGACTGTGTGTCCTTGTGTCTGTCCCCAGGTCAGGAAGCGGGCTGGCCGCAGCCTTGCCATCCCCCCCAGGCCCTCTCCAGGGGCGCCTGCAGCCTTCCTAAAGCTGGGAGCCCACTCTGGGGCAGGGGACGGGGGAGGGCGGGGTGTGGTCCAGGCCCCTGGTGATGGCCGAGTGCCAGGGGGCAGCGGGCAGCAGCCTGAGCCCACCCATCCCGTGTCCCCCAGGGGAGCGCATTCTGGCCAGTGGCTCGGTCCAGCTGCCGCGCTTCACGCTCCTGGAGTCGGGCAGCCTGCTCGTCAGCCCCACGCACATCTCCGATGCCGGCACCTACACCTGTCTGGCCACCAACTCGCGGGGGGCAGACGAAGCCTCGGCCGACCTGGTGGTGTGGGGTGAGTGCCCGGGCTGGGCGGGGGTCCTTTCCACGCCTGTGTGTGAGCATGCGTGAGTGTGCGTGAGCATGCGCGAGCTTGCGCTGAGCGGCCCCATGTCCGCTGTCTGCCCAGCCCACCCATCCTGAGACCTGGACAGAGGAGCTCAAGGATGGGGCAGGAAGGTCACGGCCCCCGGGGCAGTGCTGGGTGGGCGGGGCTCTCACCACAGAGCGGGTAGGCCTTAGGGCCGAAATCCGCACACTTCTGCTGGAAAGGGCCGGAGAGGAAGTATTTCAGGCTTCTTGGGCCAGACAGTCTCTGTCACAGCTCCACAAACCCTTCCCGTTTCAGCAAGAAAGCAGCCACAGGTTGTGCTAAGCGCAGCAGGAGTGGCTGGGCGCCAACACGGACGGGATTCACCCAGACGGGCCCCCGGTCAGACTCGGCCCCCGGCTTGTGGTTTGCTGACCCCTGCTCTGGGGGAACCTCCCAAGCCCCTTCCCGCCCCTTGGGGTCTGGCACCACACGGAGGGGTGGGCCGCCCTCCTAGCCTGAGTGCCAGGGGCCTGGTGGGGGATGCCTTAGACCCAGAGGCAGACAGTCCTATTTTTACCCTGGCTGGACCCCTGGGAACACGGCTGTGATCATCTCCAGGTTTCTATTTCTTTGTCCATCCCATGGGCACAAAATTAAAAGAGCCCCAGCTATGAGCATCACTTCCCAGAATTCACGTACCTTGGAAACACATGGCTCTTAGTGTTCTGGGACATTCGCCATGGGGGACCAGTCCACCGCACACCTCAGCCGCACGGCCCAGCTCACCGGAAGGACCCCCCACACACACACCTGCATCTCACCTGTCCGTCTGGGGCCCCTTCCCACCCGGCCACCTCCCTGCTGTCTTTCAGCCCGGACCCGCATCACCAGGCCCCCGCAGGACCAGAGCGTCATCAAGGGCACCCAGGCCTCCATGGTGTGCGGAGTGACCCACGACCCCCGCGTGACCATCAGGTACTCCTGCGGCCAAGGCCCTTGGAGGCAAGAGGGGGGGACAGCTTTCGGGGGTCGCTGGTTTGCTGGCTGAGTGTCCGTGACAGGCAGGTAAGTGTGGCCCATGGGGGTCAGGGAACAGCCACGTACAGACTTACTGCAGGACTGAGACTTGAGAACCCCACGGACCACAAGAGACCCTAATGCTGGGAAAGATTGAAGGCAAAAGGCGAAGGGGGCAGCAGAGATGAGACGGTTGAATAGCATGTCCATCCGATTCCGTGGACCTGAATCTGAGCAAACTCCAGGAGACAGTGAAGGACAGGGAAGCCTGGCGTGCTGCGGTCCCCGGGGTCGCAGAGAGTCGGACACGGCTGAGCAACGAAGTGTGTGTCTGGGGACTGAGCCAGCCTGAGTTGAATGGGACAGCCTGGGGTGGGCGGGGGTGAAAGGCGGAGAAACGTAGGAAGGGGGGTGGGCGCCTTAGGGAGGGGAGAGAAAGAAGCCTCCGTCCGGGAAGAGGTGGAAGCTCTGCGATGCTCAGGACCCCCCTGCTAGCAGTCGCCCGCAGGCCTCAGACCCTCTGCCCACCCGTGGACAGCAGACGGGTCTGGTGAAGAGGCGTGGCAGTCCTGACATGCCTGGGGCCGTGGAGGGCCCTGGGGTGACCCCCAGTGAGACCCAGACGGGGGCCGTCCCTGCCGTCCTCCACGGGACCTGGAGGGAGCCAGGGCCAACCGGGAAAGGCCTGGGGAGGCCTGGGAGCGCGGGGAGCAGCCGAGACAGGCCTGCAAGCTGGGAACCCGCCAGGCGGGCACAGGGACACTTCCTGGGCCATCTCTGGGCAAGGGTTCTGAGCCCGAGCCGGGAGAAGATAGCCCCTTCAGGCTCTCTTGAGCTTTGGATGCTGAGTTTAAAATAAAACCTAACTGTTTCCTTAGAGATAAATACTCCCTCCGTGCTGCATCAGTTCTATGCGCAACGTCACCGCTGGAGCCCCTCGCAGGGAGCTGGCCGGCGGGCAGCGAGGGCCGCCCCGGGAGTCACGGCCCCGCCGCCTGGGACCCAAGTGCGTCCTGGGGCGCCACCTGGTGGCCACTGGGCATATGGCCGTAGGGCCGCGCCAGGTGGGACCCCAGGAAGCCAAGGGTACTAGGCTTCATTTCTTGATATTTATATTTGCTTTCTTTTCCTTTATTTTATTTTTACTGAAGTACAGTTGATTCACAGTGTTGCGTTAACTTCTGGCACACAGCAGTGATTCAGTTCTACACATATATACTCATTCTTTTCTAAAAAAATATTCTTTTCCATTATGGTTTATTACAGGATTTTGAATATAGTTCTCTGTGCTACGCGATGGGCTTGTTGCTTATCCATTCTGTGTATAAAAGCTTGCATCTGATCTGCTAATCCCAGCCTCCCACTCTGTCCCTCCCCCAGCCACCCCCCTCCTGGGCTACCAGCCTAACCCTCTCTGCCGGAGTCTGTGTCTGTTTCACAGATAGGTTCGTTCGTGTCATGATTTAGATTCCACATTTAAGTGACATCATGTGATATTTGTCTTTGTCTTTCTGACTTACTTCACTCAGTTTGATCACCTCTAATTGCATCCACGTTGCTGTAAATGGCACCGTTTCGTTCTTTCTTGTGGCTGAGCGGTGTTCCCTTGGATACACGTACCACATCCTCTTTATCCATTCCCGCTGATGGACATCTAGGTTGCTCCTGTGTCTTGGCTGTTGTGAACAATGCTGCTATGAACACTGGGGTGCGTGCATCGTTTTGAAGTCGAGTTTTGTCTGGATATGCGCCCAGGAGTGGAATTGCTGGCGCATGTGCTAGCTCTATGTTTAGTTTCCTAGGGAACCTCCCTACTGCTTTCCAAGGTGGCTGCACCGTACATTCAAGGATACTAGACTTTTAGACCCACACCCCTTCTCAGAGGCTCTGTCTCAGGCCCCACTTAAAGAAACACCTCATTAAACAGTGAACGTCGGCCCTTTGGACAGCCAGCGTGTGGTACCACACAAACGCAGACATGAGCCCTGAAATCACATAGGTGTAGTTAGAACGTGGCCATCAAATAATCCAGAATATGCTTATCCCAGTGTTTATCAGAGTATTGTTAAACATTAATATACCAACTGTAACAATGTCTTCCAAGAGAACCCACACATTACCTCCATAGAACACAGCTGTGGGTCTCAGACACATACAGAAATAGTTGCTATCATGTTAGCCTCCGTTACTTGAAATTTTATATCATAACAAAAATCTCTGTTAATTAAGTAACACTTTTTAAAAATTGGTATTTTATTTATTAAAATGTTATCTACAAATACTTGGGAAACACGTGCACATTTTATTCATACTCTGGACAATTCCTGTGAACAAAGAAATTCAGGGACCCCTTGCAATATATCTGTAGGCCCACATTCCAGGACCCCCAGTGAACTATGGCAGAGAAGTCATGCTTCCAGCTTACTGGAGGGGACCTCGCCTTAGAATGGGCTTACCCATCTAGGACAATCTTTTTTAGATGGGGGAGAGAACAGAGTCGGTCCCTCATCCCCCTAAATTGGCAAAAATTTGTGACCAAGTCCATTTCCGCATCTCCTGCCCTTGTCTGTCTTCCATCGCCTTGGGGAGGGGAGGGGAGTCTTACGGGTGGGACTGCCGGACCCCAGACTTAAGTATTTTTAGAAGTCCCCGAGGTGTCTCGGACATGCAGCCAGATTTAGAGTCCCTATTCTGGCTGCAGGAAACATACCAGGGGTCCCCTGAGCAGACAGACTGGAAAGGATTTGAATGACCGGATCAGACTAGAGTGATAGCCGCTTAATCCTGGTTACGTGTCCTCAATAAATAACAGGTCCAGGGGAAGCAGGCTGGGCAGGTGTAGGTACCAGCATGAAAAGCCTCCAGAATTGCTTCCAGTTGGTATCTGAACCCAGATCTAGACTGAATCTGGACAGGCACTGTTTTTGTTTTATATTGGAATGTAGCCAACTGACAGTGTTGTGATAGTTTCAGATGGACAGCCACACACACACATGTATCCGTCCTCCCCCAACCCCCCTCCCGTCCAGGCTGCCCCATAGCATTGAGCAAGAGCTCCCTTGCTGTCCAGGAGGGCCTTGGTTACGCCTTTTAAATACAGCAGTGTGTACACGTCCATCCCAAACTCCCGAACCATCCCTCCTACCCTTCCCCCGGCAACTGTGAGTTCGTTCATTAAGTCTGTGCGTCTGTTTGTGTTTTGGACATAAGATGAGCAGTCCGCTCTTAATATTAATCATCATTGTTACTATATTTTATTATACAGCTAACAGATATCCATTTTAGGGGGGGAATATAAAAAATGCAGATAAGCCAAAGAAAATGGGGAGGGATTGAGAGAGAAGATGTAGGAAAGTAGATGGACCTGTGTCTCCTTCCATTGGGCTTCTCTGGTGGTTCAGACCCGAGTTCAGTCCCTGGGTCCAGATCCCCTGGAGAAGGGAAAGGCAACCCACTCCAGTATCCTTGCCTGGAGAATCCCATGGACAGAGGAACCTGGAGGGCTGCAGTCCCTGGGGTCACAAAGAGTCAGACGAGACTGAAACCTCACTTTCCTTCCAGGAGCGATAGTAATATTTGAGCCATTGGAAGAAACTAAAAACACTGTGTTCTACTCTGCTTTTTCCCTTAAGAACCTGTTACGAATCTCTTGTTCTGTCAATAAATATTTTTGACTAAACTCAATTATATGACTATTCCGTCCTCCACTGTGTGGACGCCCCATAATTTATCTTACCAATTCCCTAACGCTGGGTAATTTGATTATTTCTGAATTGTTGCTAATATTAAGAAATATCATTCTGAATGCCCTTATAACTAAATATTTTTGCACATCTTCTGTTTCCTGAGGACTATCTAATATTATTTAAAGCTAAAAGCCACTCATCAAAATTGCTTAATAGCCAGCTATATCTTTATGGATTATTTGGGGGGAAATGTCCCCTGAGTTAAAAGGACTGATGGGTTCTTTTTTTAACATTCTCTTATGAAAGTTTTAAAACATGCCCCAAAGAAGAGAGAATTGCATCCTCAGTCCTTCTGTACCACCTCTCAGCGTCAACGATCATCCGTATTTGCCCATCTTGTTTTGTGAATCTTCCCCACGCTTTTTTTTAACTGCAGATCTTTTTTAAAAGCAAATCTCAAAAATGCAGTGTCACCGTTAGATATGTCTATGTGCCTTTCTTATTCAAAAGGACTTTTCTTTAAACATAACAGCCATGTCCGCTCTCACACCTAAGACAATTCCTGGGTTTCTTCTGACACCAGCCCATGTTTCAGTCACCATGAGTGTCTCAAAGTGTCTTTGTGCACAGAGTTAGCTTAACTCAGGGTTTATGCAGGGTCTCCCCGTTGCGTTTAGTTGCTGTGTCTCCTTTGCTTTACATGGTACCCTGTCCCTTTCTTTTTATTTTTGTCTTTATTTTGGTTTTCATTTTTGTCTTGTTTTCATGCACTTAATAAGTTGGAGATACCAGGTTCTACAGGAAAGATATCCTCAAATTTTTTTCTGTAAAGAGCCAGAGGGCAAATATTTTAAGCTTTGAGGGCCATATAGTCTTTGTCACAGCTTCTCGCGTCTGTGTCTGCAGTTCAAAAGCAGTCATAAGCAATTTGTAAACAAATGAGTGTGTATCTGTGTGTATGTTCCAATAAAACTTTATTTACACAGACAGGCAGTGGGCCATAATTTGCAGAATATCCCTGCTGTAGAATAGCCCACATCTGGATTTGACTAGCTGCTTTTTCATACTGTGGTTCACCTCTTCTTCTATCCCTTGTATTTCTGATTCGATTTAAGTAATTGATCATAGGGGCTTCTCTGGTGGCTCAGCAGTAAAGAATCTGCCTGCAAGACAGGAGATGTGGTTCAGTCCCTGGGCTGGGAAGATTCCCTGGAGTTAAGAAATGGCAACCCACTTCAGTGTTCTCGCCTGAAAACTCCCCTGGACAGAGGACTACATGGCAGAGGACTACCCATGGCAGACTACAGTCCATGGGGTCGCAAAGAGTCGGACACAACTTATCGACTAAACAACAAGCTGATCTTTAGATTCCAATTCAGTTGTTTTGGCACAAACACTGCAGGTAGGGATAGATGCTTCCTAACGCATGGTGTCCTGGACAGGGTGTGTCTGCCTGTCACAGGTTGTTCTGTAAGCAGGCACTACCCTCTGCAGCTAGATTTGCTTTTAAGGAAAATCTACCTATCCTGTCAGTGCCCGTGAGGATGACCCTTCTCTAAACAAAGAGATGAATGGACGGTGATCACTTTTGGTGATTTGCAAAATATGTATAAAAAGCCTTAGCATTTAACTCAGTAATTTACTGCTGAGAATTTATACCCAAGGGAGTGATTTAGAATGTGGCAAATATTTTGCCACAGAGGTGTTTATCACAGCATTAGCCGTAAGACCAGAAAACAAGGAGCTAGGGACTTCTCTGCCTGTCCTGTGGCTGAGACTCCCTGCCTCCAGTGCCAAGGATGCAGGTTCAATACCTGGCTGGGAAACTAAGGTCCCACGTGCCGTGTGATGTGGCCAAAAAGAATTTTTTTTAAATAAGAAAGAAAACAAGGAGGTAAATTGGATGCCCATCATTACAAGATCAATTACAGAGGAATGATTATTTGAAGTACTATGCAGCCAAGTGAACCATGGTGAAGAAATGTCACATTAAATGGAATTTATGATATCGTCTTGGGTAGAAACGGCAGCTTTAAAATCGGGATGGATGAATAGCTAGGTATTGTGTTTTTTTTTAATTGGAGTATAATTGCTTTACAATGTTGTGTTGGCTTCTGCTATACAACAAAGTGAATCAGCCCTATGTCTACATATCCCCTCCCTCCTGGAATGCCTGCTCAACCCCCATCCCACCCCCTAGGTCACCACAGGGCCCCGGGCTGGGCTCCTTGTGCTATCCAGCAGCAGCTGGGTATTATTTATACTCAAGATATACTGTGTCAGTAAACATGTATCATAGCTTCTACCAATCACCATGCTTCCAGCGCTACTCCAATATTTTATACTAACTCACACAGTCCTTACGGCAACCCTATGGGGTGGATGGTATTTCTTCCGTCAAGTGACAAATGAGAAAAGTGAGGCATACCGTATCCGATAAACACCCCCAGGACCACAACACCAGTAAGTGGCCAGCGAACATTCAAGCCCAGAACACAGTGGCACTGTGGTAACTGCCCAGGGGCCAGGAGAGAAGCGTCTGGAAGGTTTACCCTCAAATGCCAACCCTGGATGTCCATCAGAAGGACTGATGATGAAGCTGAAGCTGCAATACTTTGACCACCTGATGTGAAGGGCCGACTCGTTGGAAAAGACCCTGATGCTGGGAAAGATTGAGGGCAGGAGAAGGGGACGACAGAGGATGAGATGGTTGGATGGCATCACCAACTCAATGGACATGATTTTGAGTAAGCTCTGGGAGATGGTGAAGGACAGAGAAGCCTGGCGTGCCGCAGTCCGTGGAGCCACAAAGAGTCAGACACGACTGAGCGACTGAACAATAGGGGAAAACTGTTGAACTTTCTGTTTTTCCTACTCTTTTCTCATCTGTACTTGCTACTTTTCTGAAATTTTTTTTAAACTTTAAGTTAAAAATAGTACAGGCTCATTCTCTCCAGCCATCTCACCCTTCCTAAACCCAGAGAGTTCTAGGGCTATATAGACAGTCCCTGTCCCCACACTAAGCGATTGATGGCTTATTTGCAAAGCGCCCCAGCCCAGCCCCGACCCTGGTCGCCCTGACCCACCTTCCCTGGGGGGCAGCCGCCCAGCGTCCTCCCAGGAGCCGGCACCCTGTGTGTGTTGATGACAATTATTGTGTCTCCTCCATAACAAATCCAGAGCAGGCGTTTCTCATTGTCAGGCGCAGGGGTGTGTGTAATTTCTCAAGTCCCCCTTTGTACTAGCCAAAGCTAAAGTGATTTTTTTTTTTTGGACACTGAGGTCAATTTGTCACAGTGATGCATTGATGTGATGGTTCTCTTCATAAAACTAATCCCCAAATGTAGTCTAGGCGGAAGCGTTCATTCTTTTTCCAGCCTTAATCTTTTAACCTCTTTGGGAGAATAGCTTGTGCCCACTCTGGGCGGCTTGGCGGTGGCTTTGGGTCAGAAGCAACCAGGCTGGGACCTGGACCTGAACTGAAGGTGTGAAAGCTGGATGTGCTTCCGCTCCCGGCCCCACCCCCACCCCCGCCGCAGGTGTGATGGTGGGTGCCCCCGCCCGGCTCTGGAGCCCCCGGCTGCAGACCAGCCCTGGGCTGGGCCCCCTCGCCCCCGCAGCCCCAGCCNAGGCTTGGCTGGGGGCTGCGCGCCAGACATCAGGGGGCTCAGACCGAGTCCTGGCGTCCCCTGACTCGAGACCTCCCGGGGGGGCCCACCGCGTCTCTCTCCTCCAGGCAGCTGCCTCACGCCCCCGAGCACCCCGTGGCGACCCTCAGTACCTCGGAGAGGAGGGCCATCAACCTGACGTGGGGCAAGCCCTTCGACGGCAACAGCCCGCTGATCCGCTACGTCCTGGAGATGTCGGAGAACAGTAAGGCTCCGCGCCCGCCCCCCGCACCCACCGCAGGCAAGGCTGCCCGGTCCCCAGTGCGGAGCCGCGGCGGCCACCTCCCCGCGTCCTGTGACGAGGGAGCGGGGTGAGGCAGTTGCTGGACCCGGAGCCCGGCACCCAGCAGCCTCCCAGACGCTGGGCATTCGTTTTTTTCCTTTTTCTTCTTATCCTCCACCCCCAAGCTGTGAGCTCCCAAATTAGCAGGCATCACTTGAAGGGTGTTTTAAATACAGTTTGCTCATCAATTTGAGCGGGGAATAAAGGATAGAAAAGACAAATACATCTCAGTTCCAGTGAGCCCAGCTCCATCCCCAGTGGGTACTGTCCAGCCCTGGGACACGTGGGCTAAGAGGACCCAGAAATGTGACATGGCCAGCCTCTACTGGACCAAGCTGGGAGGGAGGTATTAAGTATGAGGCTGGAGCGCTGCAGGGAGTAGGAGCAGGAGGAAGCATGCCCCCCAAAGGTGCGCACCGCTGCCTCGACCCTCTGTCCATGCAGATGCCCCCTGGACGGTGCTCCTGGCCAGCGTGGACCCTGAAGCTACTTCCGTGATGGTCAAGGGCTTGGTCCCCGCACGGTCCTACCAGTTCCGTCTTTGCGCTGTCAACGATGTGGGGAAGGGACAGTTCAGCAAGGACACGGAGAGGTGAGGGGCGCAGGGGTGGGCGTCGGGGACTCCAGTGGAGGGCGGGGGGCCGGGCGGGGCCACCTGCTGCCAAAACCGCTGTGGCGGAGGGAGGCGGGTCCACGTCCTGGTGGCTCCTCTCGGACCCCTTGAGGCCTCAGTCGGTGCATCCGCAGGATGGGGGTAACTGTACTGACACCAGTCTCACAGGAAGGCAGGAAAATTCAGGCGGACGAGTGAAGGGCAGTGAGCAGCCCTCTCTGTGAGCCATGCAAGTTGCAGCACTCGCCCCATTCTGCTCCACATCCCCGTTGCTAAGTGTGCGTGAAGTTCCAGAGTCACCGAGGACCTCCTTGGGCCTCTGTGTGCGTGCCTTGCATGGCTCAGACCCCAGGAAGCCTTCATCAGTCCTTATTTTTAAATGACGACAATTGAACAGCAACATAGTTCATCCCCTCTAATACCCGCTTTTGTAGGAGGTGCATTCTACCCACCTAGACCCCCATAGGGCAAGCAGCGTCCTCCAGTGAGAACGGAAGCATCTGATCAGGATGACAGTGACTCCCAGTCCCAGGCCCCAGAGCTGTGTGCTTTGCTCTTGGTTTTGGGGTTTTTTTTTTTTTCAGTTTATATTTTCCCAGATGGATTGAGAGATCATGGACAGGAAACACAGTATAAGTTTGAGACCTGCAGTGTGGTTTGACACACTCCTGTGTGACAAAATGGTTCCCCCCGTGGTGTTAGCTGACACCCCCATCCTGTCACATAATTACCGTTTCTTTTTTGTGGTGAGAACATTTAAAATCCCCTCTCTTAGCAACCTCCAAGGGCATAGTACAGTGTCATTAGCTGTAATCACCAGGCCTGCATCCTCTCCCCAGAACTGGTTACTCTCACCTCTGCAAGTTTACACCTTCTCAACAGCGTCTCCCCATCCCCTCAACCCCCAGCCCCTATTAGTCACCACTCTCCTGTTCTCTGAGCTCGGCTCGTTCAGCTTGCACATAGCAGTGAGGTCACGAAGTGTTTGTCTTTCTCTGCCGACTGCCTTCATTGAGCACAGTGCCCCCTGGCCCATCTGGATTGTTGCAGATGGCAGAGTTTCTTTCTCATGGCTGGAAAATACTTCATTGTGTAGAGTGTTACATCTTCCTTAACCATTCATTCCTTGATGGGCATTTAAGTTGTTTCCATCTCGGCTGTTGTGAACAGTGCTGCAGTGAATATGGGGTTGCAGACACGTTGTTGAGATCCTATGGATGGCTGGATTGTATGGAGGTACTGCTTCTAATTTTGGGCGGAAGGAACCTCTATGCTGTTTTCCATAGTCTCTAGACCTATTTATATTCCCACCAGCAGTGATTAAAGGGTTCCCTTTAGCCACATCCTTGCCAACATTTGTTATCTCTTGTCTTTTAGATATAGCCACTCTGTCGGGTATAAGGTGATACCTCACTGTAGTTTTGATTTGCATTTCCCTGTTGATTTGTGATGTTGAGCATCTTTTCATGGACCTGTTGGTCCTTCATTTGTCTTCTTTGGAAAAAAATGTGCAGCCCATTTGTTCAGTTTTTTTTATCAGATGTTTAGTTTTTGGCTACTGAGTTGTATGAGTTCTTTATATATTCTGGATATTAACTCCTTATCAGATACATGGTTTGCAAATATGTTCTCCCGATCTGTAGGTTGCCTTTTCATCTTGTTTCTTTTGCTATGCAGATGCTTTTTACTTTGCTATAGTCCTGCTTATTTATTTTCCTTTTGTGACTTGTGCTTTTGATATCATATCCAGGACATTACTGCCAAGTCCAATGCCAAGGAGCTTTCCCCCTATGTTTTAGTCTAGGAGTTTTATAGTTTCAGGTCTTAAGTTTGTCTTTAATCCATTTCGAGTTAAAAAATCTTTGCGAGTTTTGTAAGATAGGGGTCCAGTTACCTTCTTCTGCATGTGGTTTTCCAGTTTTCCCAACATCATTTATTGAAGAGACTGTCCTTTCCCCGTTGAGAATAGTTCATGTTGTTAAAATGTCCATATCACCCTAAGCCATCTATTGAGTCAGCGCCATCCCTATCACAATTCCAATGGCATTTTTCACAGAAACAGAAAATCCTGAAATTTGTATAGAGCCACAAAAAACCCCAAATACCCAAAACAATCCTGAGAACAAAGCAGAGAGCCGGAGGCATCAAACTTCTTGATTCCAAACTGTCCTACAAAGCTACAGTCACCAAAGCAGCTTGCTGCTCCTCCGAAACAGACACCCTGAGGGGTGAGGACTCAGCACTTTTGCTGCCATGGCCTGGGTTCAATCCCTGTTCAGGGAACTAAAATCCTACAAGCCGGGTGACACAGCCAAAAAAAAAATAGACACACAGATCAATGGAGCAGAATTGAGAGCCCAGAAATGAGCGGTCATATTTGCTAAGGGAGCCGGAATGCACTTTGCTCTTAGATGTGTACCCAGACCCCTCCCCACACGCGGGTTAAATCAATCCTTGTGGTTTCCCTACAGTTCCCGTGAGCTTGAGTCCTTCCTGCTTTTATGAGCAAGATGCCATTGAGGCGTGACACTCTAGCAGGAGGAAGAAGCGGCAGATAACGGCCTGGCATGGAGCATTTAGCCAGTCACCGTTTTGTTTTGTTTTTTGGCAATCATGCTCTCTATTTTTTCTTTGCTACAGCAGGCCTGCGCGGTGGCCCCGGGATCTCTCCTCTCCGTCCTCAGGCTTCTCTCTAGTTGTCGCGTGCGGGCTCCAGAGCACACAGGCTCAGGGGTTGTGGCTCGTGGGCCTCGTTGCCCCGAAGCACGTGGGATCTTAGTTCCCTGACCGGGGATCGAACCTGCATCCCCTACATTGGAAGGTGGATTCGTAACCACTGAACCACCAGGGAGGGCCCCCATCCACTGCTTATTGAGCATCTACTCGGGGCCAGGCCGTGTTCGGACCGTGAGAGGTGGTGCAGAGGACAAGATAAACAGAGACCCAACCTTTCAGAGCTATGAACTCCCACTAACAAGAAGCCCCGAAGTGTAGGAAACCATTCTATAACTTCTCCAGCCACTCAGGCTTCCCTTTGTAACACTGATTCATCTTCCTACTGAATCTGCATCCTGACGGTTAGGCCCTGAGTCACACGGAAAAAGCTTAAATTACCCTCATTTCAGGCTGTACAAAGACATGGGAGGGTGCGGTACATTTTAGAAAAGCTATCCGCCAGGGAACAAAAACATAAACAAAGAGGGAAAGGCATCATCAGAAATAATTAACTTTTGTTGTTCATGGATGCCTGTCGGCTATGTGAAAAATACACGGAGGTGGAACGCTGCGTCGCCTGGCCATGCCAGAGAAAGAAATGTAGCAGCCCCGGGCTTCAGGGTACGGGGTTGGAGGAGGCTCAAACTCTCACCCCACCCGGCCTGCCCCGCCCCGGTCAAGGCTCAGCTGGTTAGTAAAGGAATTCTGTTTCGAGTTCACCCCCAGCTGGTAACGGGGAAGTGAGTGTTTTAAACACTTCTGCTTCTAAAATTTTCAAGCACTCATGACCTGCACCAGACCCGGCGGCAGCTTCTTTGACAAATGGGAAACCCAGGCCTGTGTCCCTCGACCGCACAAAAAATACACTCATCTGGTGCTTCCCAGGGACTTCCCCGGCGGCTCAGTGATAAAGAACCCGCCTGCCAGTGCAGGAGACGCAGGTTCAATCCCTGGGTCGGGAAGGTCTCCTGGAGGAGGAGATGGCAACACACACCGGTATTCTTGCCTGGAGAACCCCGTGGAGCCTGGCAGGCTATAGTCCATGGGATGGCAAAGGCTCTGCCGTGACTTAGCGAGTGAACAACTATTTGCCAGCAGAGAGAGTTTTGAAAAGACATTGCATCATTTGCGCTTCAACCACTTTTTTTTTTATTTTTTTTCAACCACTTTTATAAAGCAGACAAATGGAGCTTTATTATACTGCTTTTTCAGATAAAGAAACAAGCTCAGAAAGGTTAAGTGACTTACCCAAAGGCACACAGCAATTGCGCAGAGTCTGCAGGGGTGGGGTGTCTTCATATCCCATTAAACTTCCGTGTTTGCCGTCGAGACAAGGAGTGAAAAGACCTGTCCGTCCTTGGTGTTTTCCAGGGTCTCCCTTCCTGAAGAGCCCCCCACAGCCCCTCCACAGAACGTCATCGCCAGTGGCCGGACCAACCAGTCCATCATGATCCAGTGGCAGCCGCCTCCTGAGAGCCATCAGAATGGCATCCTCAAGGGCTACGTCATCAGGTAGGCGTCCACCCCGGGGGCAGCAGGGAAGAGAAGGGGCTGCCCAGACTCAAGGGGACAGAGATGGGGAGGGTCAGGAGTGGGTTGCGAAATAGAGCAGATTCGTGGCAGGTCCTTCTAACAAGGACCAGACAAGAAATGCCTGCCCTACAGTAGGAAGAATTGAGCTAGACATCCAGAAGAACTTCCAGAGGTGAGTGCCTCGGAAACCAATAGGAATGGTGAGAGAGATCAGTGTAGTCTCCTTAAGGCTGTATGGATGGGCAAGTCTGTCGGACATCAGGGCTACAGGGAGACAGGTAACTATCCGAGGCCAGGTTTCCCCAGTGGGCAAACTACTTGGCCAAGAATGGTTAAAAAGTGGAAATCTGGGGACTTCCCTGGAGGTCCACTGGTTAAGACTGTGCTTCTACTGCAGGGGCCACGGGTTTGATCCCTGGTCAGGAAATTAAGATCCCACATGCTGCATGGCACAGCCGAAAAAAAAAGAGTGGAATTCCTTTCTTTGATCTTTACTGCAAAATGAAGCCCAGTTTTACAGCCTTTTATTTTTCAGTTTGACTGTGGACACTTTGAAAAACTGAAAGTATCAGTCATTCAGTCGAGTCCGACTCTTTGCGACTCCATGGACTGTAGCCCACCAGGCTCCCTACTGGTAATCTAAAAGTGTATTAAGTTGTAACTAAAATTCAGTATTCAGAAAAGAAAGTTTTAGCCTGTTATTTGAAACTACTGAGAACTCTCATCAATATTCTGAACTCTGGCTGTTTGCAAAATGCTAGGCAACTTCCCATGTCTCTTTCCTGAACACTCACAGCATTGAAATCCCCTAATTTTGGAAGAAGTTATTATTGGTTTGGCTATTCCGGTATCAGTTATTATTAGTTTGGCTACTCCATAATCAGTTAACTATGTTGTAGGTTTTCTGGTGACGCTATAAAGGGCAGAGGTTCTCAGAGTGTGGTCCCTGGACCAGCAGCATCAGCATCACTCGAGAGCTAGACAGGAATGAAAATTCTCAGGTCCCACCCCTGAACTATTGAACAGGGAGCTTTGGAGTAAGCCCAGCAAGCTGTGTTTTGACAAGCTTTTCAGGTGTCCTTCAGGCACACAAAGGCTTTGAGAACCATTGATGTGGGGTTTTGTGATGCAGCAAAATAATTTGGGGCCTCTAATTCCCTAATAATTAGAACCAAAAATATGTGTGCATTGTGGTTCTCCTGTAAGCTATCCATCCTCCAAAATGTGCCGGTTCCGATCCCATTTATTACCCTGTGTTCTTTTTCCCAGTGGAAAGTGGAACTTGGTAGAGCAGGTAGCCTCAGGCCTTTTTGTCTCCACCAAAGTGAGTGGCTGTTAAAAGAGGGAGCCATTCTCCTAGAGCAAGAAGGAAAATGAGTCCAAGGTTTGGAGACCACTCTCCCATCAATGACCCCTCAAAGCTGAGACCAGTGAGATCTTCCCAGGAGCTCTCAGCATCCTGTTAACCATCCCACCGTCCTCCTCCCCCATCAAAAACAATAGTCCAGACACATCTCCTAGACCTGTGTTATCCAGTAAGGTAGCCTCTGGACACTTGCAACTACTTAAATTAATAAAAAGAAATTAAATGACAAACGTTAATTCCTCAGTTGCACTTAAGCATATCTCAGGTGCCCAGCAGCTACTCGATTGGACAGCACAGGTGTGGACCATTTCCACCATCACAGACAGCTTCCTGGACGCGAGGCCGTGCAGGCCGACTCTCATCCCTGGCATCCTGGCTTTCTCCCCTCAGGTACTGCCTGGCCGGGCTGCCTGTCGGGTACCAGTATAAGAACATCACGGATGCCGATGTCAACAACCTGCTGCTCGAGGACCTCATCATCTGGACCAACTACGAGATCGAGGTGGCCGCCTACAACAGCGCCGGGCTGGGCGTCTACAGCAGCAAGGTCACCGAGTGGACGCTGCAAGGAGGTGGGTGGGGACCGTGGCCGCTGCTTCGCCTTCTCCCAGGTCTGTGCCTGTGGGGTCCTGGACTCACCCAGTCCTGACGCGGGCTCCCCAGGTGGCTCAGACGGTAAAGAACCTGCCTGCGATGCAGGAGATCTGGGTTTGATCCCTGGGTCGGGAAGATCCCTTGGAGAAGGAAATGGCAACCCACTCCAGTATTCTTGCCTGGGAAATCCCATGGACAGAGCGGCCTGGTGGGCCACAGTCCAGGGGGTCAGAAGGAGTCGGACAGGTCTGAGTGACAGCAGCAGCAGCGCCAGTCCTGACCGCCTCAGCCATGCCGCCTGTTCTGTCCAGCCCCAGGCTACTGCGCGCGGTGCCCAGTTACCCTGTAGGGTGGGGGGGTGGAGGAGGAGATGAAGAGGTTGGGGCAGGTGTGATGAAGGCAGAGGCTTTGGGGGCATAGGGACCTTCTGCGAAGTTTCCCATTAACTGGATCATGAAACAGCTTACATTTAGCGTCATACCTAAAAACCACCCTGAGCATTTTCAGATTCATCACTTGTATTTATGGGCGTGCTGTGAAATGGGCCAGACCGGTTTTATTAAACCCAAACTAATCTACAGAAGCTTCCCATGTGGCTCACTGGTAAAGAATCCGCCTGCCAAGCAGGAGACGCCGGTTCAATCCCTGGGTTGGGAAGATCCCCTGGAGAAGGGCATGGCAACCCACTGCAGTATTCTTGCCAGGAGAACCCCATGGACAGAGGAGCCTGGCGGGCTACAGTCCGTGGGGTCACCAAGAGTCAGACTCAACTGAGCAACCAAGCACACAGGCAATCTGCAGCCAAGAGAGCATCTCAAGTCTCCATCGGGGAGCGGGCGGCAGGGGGGGATGGCGGGGTGGTGTAAAGCTGTGTCTGCAGATCTCGTGTGCTTTCTCTGCTTCCCTGGGCCAGACAGAGACAGTGGCCCCTCCACCCACACCCCCACCTCTCTGCTCTCCCCCAGTCCCCACAGTCCCTCCGGGCAACGTGCATGCCGAAGCCACCAACTCCACGACCATCCGCTTCACCTGGAATGCCCCCAGCCCCCAGTTCATCAACGGCATCAACCAGGGCTACAAGGTACGTGAGGGCTCTCCTGGTCCCGGGTGGAAGCCTGCAAGGAGGGCGCAGGCTGGAGCGGAGGGAAGAAGGTGAGGGAGGGTGCAGGAGGGCATCCCTGCTGTGTCTCTGAGATCATTGGCTCAGGCCAAGCAGAGGGCATGTTCGTGATCAAGGCAGAGGGCCTCGGGCTGTCCCCAAGTCCACGTCCAGGCCCCGGGGAGCACGGACCTTGACCTGCCTGCGACCAGGTGAAACAGCACAGTCTCAGTGAGGCTGGGTTAGAAACAGAACCAGGTTTGTTTCAGTCTTGGGACCTCCTCAGAGCCGTGGCCCAGCAGGAAAAATCTAAATCGCACTGCTTACCCCTGAGCCATGAGCTAAGGGGAGCGTTCAAGTCCTTGGACTGAACTTGACCCCACCCAGCGTGTTTAAGGGCTGGACCAGGACTCAGAGCCTGGATTAGAGTCCTGGCTGTGTCTCTCACCGGCTCTCTGGACAAGTGCGATAGTCCATCTGGGCACCCTTCCTTCAGTAAATATTTACTGAGCCCGACTCTATGCACATCTAGCTGCTGGGGAAGCAAGATACATTCTGTTCCCTCATTTGTGCAAGAAAATGATGCTAATTTTTATTCCTTGGGGTTATGTGGGGATTAAATGAGGATATTTGTAATTTTTTGAGCAGAATGGCAAACACCTAACAAGCATTAGGGAAACGCTAGAAATAGGAGTGGAAGTGGGCTTGCTGCTCGGACTGTCCTTATGCAGTACCACAGTCTGGGCGGCTTAAACACCGGAAGTGTAGCCCCTGAAAGTTCTGGAAGCCGAAGCTCGAGGTCCGGGTGCCCTCGGGGTTGGTTCTGTCTGAGGCTTCTCTCCTTGGTGTGCAGACGGCCGCCTTCTCCGTGTCCTCACGCAGGCAGGCAGCACGGTTGTGCAACAACCAAGAGTGTCTCTAGGACCTGCAGTCTCAGCCTTTATTACTTAAGGTCAAGGGGGCTGGACAGGAAGAGACTGAGATTAAATCACCGAGAGAATTTTTCTGCTGGTAAACAGAGGGGGGCTTCCCACGTGGCTCAGTTGTAAAGAAACCCCCTGCCAATGCAGGAGATGTGAGACGCAGGTTCGATCTCTGGGTCGGGGAGAGGGCATGGCAACCCACTCCAGGATTCTTACCTGGAAAATCCCACGGACAGAGGAGCCTGGTGGGCTACAATCAATGGGGTCGCAGAGTTGGACACGACTGAAGTGACTTGGCACAGCACGGCACAAAGGAGGGATGGTCTAGGTTGGGACTCACTCCAGCCGTGGCATCTTCCTCCCAGGAAGGCGCATCACCGAGGCCGAGCCAGCCTTCCCGGGCCAAGGCTGCAGCTCTCGCCGGCAGTGCTGGCTGGCTGGAGAAACCTCTTAATTGGGACTCTGGGGGGTGGCAGGGGAGGGAAGAGGGAGGCTCGAATTGTGCAGAGGAGCTGAGCTGGGAACAATTAGCTTCTTGTTGCCGACTCTAAGTTTCCTTCCACCCTGGGGAGCCCTGGGCTGCAAACTTCTAAGGCAAATGGCTCCCAGAGGACCAAGGAGACCAGCTCAGTGGCCGGGACAATTAGTGCAAAGACCCGTTATGTGCCAGAGCCAGAGGAGGCTATAGCAGCCCACCTGATTCCCAGGTCTGGGCGGTGCCCAGCACCCACTCCCTGCTCCGTGAAAGTCAGCGGGAAGGAACGGTCCAAATAGCTGGAGCATAGAAGCAGGTGAGGAAGACTCGTGCTTAGACAGGGTGCTTTCTACCCGCCCTCTCCCACACTTGTCTCGGGCAAGGTGTACAAGAGCCCTAAGAAGGAAGGCTTGTTACCATCACCCCCATTGTATTTCTTTATTTTTATTATTATTTTCTGGCCATGCAGCATGTGGGATCTTAGTTCCCTGACCAGGGGTCGACCCCACACCCCCTGCATTGGAAGTACGGAGTCTTGACCACTGGGCCACCAGGAAAGTCCCTCGTTTTATTTTCTTTTAAACACTGATTTGTGCTGGGTCTTAGTTGCAGCGTGTGAACTCTTAGTCGCAGCATGTGGGAGCTAGTTCCCTGCCCAGCTCCCTGCATTGGGAGCTCAGAGTCTCAGCCACGGGACCACCAGGGACGTTCCCATCACCCCACGTTGTAGAGGACGAAACTGAGGCATGAGGACAGGTAATTTGTTCAAAGTCAAAGTAACCGCAAAGCTCAGATTCAAACTGCAGAGCCTACCCCTTGCCTTGCATTAAAAATAAACTGTCATATGATTTCATCGTCAAATAATGACTGTAACTGATTCTTCCCTAAGTACAGACGGATACAAGTGGGAATTTTGCTTCTTGCTCCTTCCACCTTCAGTGTCACAGGGAGAAGAAAAAGCAGTGTTTATCTCTTCCATCTTTCAGTGAGAAGGGACCTTTTTCCCCCTTTGAATTGTGAAAAAATTTCAAGCACCTACAAAATTAGAGGGGAGACTAAAGTGGCTAGATAAAACCATAATGCACCCTGGCTTCAACAGTTACCAACACATGGCCCAGCGTGTTCCCTCTGATTTCTTCTTATTTATTTACTTGGCTGTGTGAGGTCTTCCTTGCTCTGCAGCATGTGAGATCTTAGTTCCCCGACCAGGGATGGAACCCACGTCCCCTGCATTGGAAGGTGGATTCTTAACCACTGGGCCGCCAGGGAAGTCCTGCTCCCTCTATTTTCCAGCCTCTGTCCTAGAATATTTTTAAGACAATCCTAGGTAGTGTGTCCTTTCATCCATTCATATTCCCGCAGAGAAACGTTATAAAGTCTCTACTTAAAACCTCACCACAGTAACCACATTCTCATTATGGTGCCTTCAAATATCAATGGTCCCCGTAATAGCATCAGATACCCAGTCAGCGTTCAAATCTCCTGGTCTCCAAATCATTTCCTTTACTGGTTGGTTTATTTGCCTCAGGATCCAAAGGAAAGCCACACAGCTGCAGTTGGTTGGAGTTTTTTAGGTTTCAGTTGATCCACGGGTTTTCTGTCCCCCTCTTTCTCCTTTTTAGTTTATTTTGTAGAGAAACTTAGTCATTTATCCTATAGAATTTTCCACAGCCTGGCTGGATCGGCTGATTGCATCCCTGTGGGGTCATTTAATTTATTCCTCTGAATAACTATATTTGCAGTAAATTGGAATTTAGAATGAGAGGTTTGATCAGATTCAGGCTCGAATATTTTTTTTTCAAAATATTACTTCCTAGATGGTGCTGTGCATTTTCATTAGACAGCAAAGCGTCCGACTGTCTCTCTTACTAGGATGTATCGGCCACTGATGGTCCTTGTGTGGTCCGTTGTTTCAGTAGGGGTTGCAAGAGGAGGAGACGTGCATGTTATAGTTTTGTCTTGATTTATGAGCTGAAATACTTTCCCCCCGCCCCCCAAAAAAGAGCATTTTTCCCTTAACAGCTTTTTGGTTACCTGAAGCTTTAGTTCATCTAGGAAAAGCATGATAAGTGCTCAAGTCTTTTCCATAACTTAACAGTTTTCAGAGGAATGAACTGGTTCCTCAGCATCTTCTAAGGTGATAGATGAGTTTGGATGGGGGCAGAAGGAGGCATCTGTGTTGTTGTTGTTAGTATTATTATGTCCTTAGGGATTTTTAATACACGGTTATGTTTCAAGCCACTGCTGTTATTACTTTTATTGATGCCAGACTGACCCATCACTTGCCTCTTCGAGTCGGTGAGTCCTTCTGATGTGGGCTCAGGAGCCTTCTTTTTCTCTTTAGCCTGCGCTGGGTCTTCGTTGCTGCGTGCAGGCTTCTCGTTGTGGTGGCCTCTCGTTGTGGGGCACAGGCTTTGGGAGTCATCAGCACGCGGATTCAGTAACTGTGGCAACAGGCTCGGTTGATCCGAGGCATGTGGAATCTTCCGAACCAGGGATCGAACCTGCGTCCCCTGCGTTGGCAGGCAGATTCTTAACCACCAGGGAAGTCCCAGCCCCAGGAATCCTTGATAGCTTCCTTGCTCTCTGCTACGACAGGATGGCCCAAACTATCTTCTCCTGCAGCGTGCCTGGGACCAGCCACGTCTTCAGGGGGCCCTTGTTTCTTTTAAATGACAGTTGGATACCAGAAACTGGGCAATGGGGGCACTCCTGGTTCTAGTATGGATTGTTGTTCTGAAGCTCTGTGAATGGACAACTCAAAATACTGTTTGAAAAGATAAAACATATACTCATACTTCCCATTCAATTTCAGGACTTTCAGATTTCTTTTAAAATAATCTCGTGGGTCTTTTCTCTCTTCTCTCCATACTAAACATCGAATTCTTTTCACACCAAAGAATCACTGACCTACTTGATCCCACAAACACCCAGGACAGTTTCAGAACAGCAGCACCAACACTGTGGTTGCTGAAAATAGCTTCAGATGATCTGTAGGTCTTTCTGTTCTTAGAGTGCATCCCAGCAGGATGTACTCCCCCACCCCTTTCTGTGCTGCAAAGTCTTCCAAAGGGTTTCTTTCTGATTTTGCTATAACTCAATACACTGTGAAGTTCATTTGTTCCATTTTGGTTTTGATTTTTAGGGATTGATTTTTTAATTTAATTTTGTTCTGTAATTATGTGGCATATTTACATGGTTCCAGGGTCAAATCGACAAAGAAAAGTTATCAGCCTGAATTCTGGTTCTCTTCCTTCCCAATAGAATTCATTTCTTTTTGTGTGTTGGTTCGGTTTGATTTTCCCCTTCCATTTATTTAACATAAACAAATGCATGCATACATAAATGTGTCTCCTCACCTTAGATGAATGACAGTGTTCAATACATGCTTTCTCCATCTTGCTGTTATTTTCACTATATCCTGGAGATCACTTTGTAGGCGTATATAGAGATACTTCATGTTCCTTTTTAAAAAATCTGTATTGTATTCCATTATGTGGATCTCGCATTGTTTAGTCAACCAGCTTCCTACTGAAGACATTTTGGTTGTTTCCTGTCTTTTCCTGTGACAGACATTTCTACAGTGAATAGTTTTATGCATACATCTTTTCATATTTTCACGTATAACTTTGGAATAGATTCTTAGAAATAAGGTTGCTAAGTCAAAAGGTAAATATATATAAATTGCTGATATTGCCAAATTGCCCCATTATTTTTTTCATTTTTTAATTCAATTTTCAACCAGAAATACATTTACACAATTCTAAACCCAACAAACATAAAAAAGGTAAATTTAGAGCAGAGATCTTCCATCCCATCCCCTCCCACCCTAGCCCCCCATCTGCCTGGTTCTTTCCCACCCAGCCTCTAAATTCTCCCCACTCCAGGGAATCACTGTTGTTAATTTCTTACATATCCTTCCAGGATGTTTTATACAAATCTGTGCAAATGCAAAGAGATAGAAAAATAGAGGAGGGGAGGGAGAAAAAGAGAATTTCCCCTCCATTCTATTTTTTTAACTGGAGTATCTAGCCAGCCAAAGGTACTATCCTGGTCTCTCAAGCCTGTAATGTACTGCCTCCATCAGAAACAAGACACATCTATTCAGCCCTTTTCTCTGCAACCATCAGGGTAGACCACTGAGTCTCCTGTAATCCTGAGGCTCACAGAGGTTGACCGATTTTCCCAGTAAATGACAGAGTTGAGCTTTAGCTTCCCCATGGCAGGTGGGAGCTTAGTTAGTTCTCTGACCAGGGATCAAACCCACGCCCCCTGCATTGAAAGACAGAGTCTTAACCCCTGGGCCACCAGGCAGGGCCCTTGGTTTTGGCTTTGTAGCCGCGCAGGGCAGGGATTCCCATCTGGTCCTCGTTGCGATGGTGACACGGGACTCGTCGGTGATGGACTGACTCGGTGCCAGGCCCAGAGTGTGTGCATGGAGCACAGACTCCTCCCCGTGGCGGCCCCGAGCCCGGGTCCTTCCCGGCCCTGAGGGAGAGCCCTCTCAGCCCCTCCTCTTCAGGTGCAGCTGTGGAAGGACAGGTGGTCCACACGCCAGGATAAACGTCCTGAAGCCGCCCCCGCCACCTTGGTCTCTGGCCTGCGTGTGCGCATGCCCCGGGCGTGACTCCACCACGCCGGGCTTCCGTCACCCTGGGCCCGTCTTCCGCGTCGTTTCTGAAGACGGTTCCCTGTGATGTTGTTTCCAGGCCCTCGTCAGGACGTTCCTTCTCCCTTTTTTTTTTTTTTTAATGGTAGTGATCATAATTGGTCTAAACCCAGTAAGATTATATTTACCTAGATGTTGCACTTACTGGAGAATACACCGCACAATTAATTCCAATGGCGTAATTAATTTGAATTTACATTAATTAAATTAAATTAAAACATCAAACTTGTTTCTTCATCTACTCCAAAGAAGTTCAGCAATTTAATTGCTATGAAACAAGATAACCGAAATAAGGAGGGTATTTAACATACTTATTAAATGCCACTTAGTATTTCTGATTAGTATTTTTAGGGTCTAATTAGTGTCTAATTAACTTGCTATCGGCTATCTTTTCACAATACCAATTAAATTTCCAAACATCCTTTATAAACAGGCGGCCATGAAAAGGAGCAGATTAAGCATTGTTATGGGTGTGAGTTAATCAGGAAACATTGGCATGGTATTGTTTTATGTCTATAAATACCCGGGCTTATTAAAACTCATCCCGTGTTGCTTTTCACCATTAATTGCTATTTAATCAACTTCAAATAAAGGAGGAAATCTCTGAGACCAGCTGTCATTGTTAGAGACAGACGAAGGGCCCAGAAAAAAGGGGTGGGGGCAAGAGACCAAGAGGCAGAAAGAGGTGGCCACATGGACGGATCTAGAGATGATCACACTGACTGTGTCAGAAAGAAAAAGGCAAATGCCGTAGGATATCGCTTACATGTGGAATCAAAAACATGACACGAATGAACTTATCTGTGAAACAGAAGCAGATTCACAGACACAGAACACAGACATGTTGCCTCGGAGGGGGAGAGAGGGATGGATTGAGGGTCTGGGATTAGCAGGTGTAAGCTAGTGTACGTAGGATGGATAGGCAACAGGTCCTACTGTATAGCACAGGGAACCATATTCGCTATCCTGTGATAAACCGTAATGGAAAAGAATATTTTGAAAAAAACGCGTATATATATATGGGGCTTCCCCAGTGGCGCTAGTGGTAAAAATGCTCCTGCCCCTGCAGTAGACGTAAGAGACGCAGGTTGGATCCCTGGGTTGGGAAGATCCTCTGGAGAAGGAAATGGCAACCCACTCCAGAATTCTCCTGGAGAATTTCCATGGGCAGAGGAGCCTTTCAGGCTATGGTCCACAGGGTCGCAAAGAATCGGACATGACTGAAGCGACTTAGCACGCATGCACACATATATATGAATCGCTGAATCACTTTGCTCTGCAGCAGAAATTAACCCGACGCTGTAAATCAACTCCTCTTCAGTTTTAAAAAACAGGAGGCAAGAAGAGATGGAAGGGGAGGCGGGGAGTTCATGCAGCTGTGGGTGGGATGTATAGCATGGAGTTAAATGAAAAGTGATGCTGAATTTCCAGACAGGGTTTTCCTGTTGACACTCCACCTCTAGCAGATGGTTAAGATTAAAATCCCAACTCAGAACAAGTTTAAAAGGATTAGAGTTAGCTACACACTGAAGTTCCAGGGGAGAACTGCCCTAGCCCAGACAGAGAAAGACAAGGGAGCCCAGGTACTGGAAACAGAGACCCTCAGCTGCTAGCCGCTGGTGGTATAGTAAAGTCAGTTAGCCTCTCTGAGCCTATTTCATCATCTGTGAAAAGCAAGTCTGGCTTCGTGCTTATGTAGTCACTCAAGGCTCCATACTCAGAAGGACTCCATATTTGGTTTAGCACTTTGCTGCTGTCTCTGAAAATTCTTAACAATTTTTAAACAAGGGGGTCTCCATTTGCCTTTTCTGGATCTGCAAAGTATGTAGCCAATCTTGATCAAGTCCCTTCCTCTGGGGTTGCCGTGGGGACGGAGAGACGACTCGGTGAAAGCACCCTGCCGGCTGCCTTGCTTAGAGTAAGTCACTCAAGGAATGGAAAAGCCCCCCAGAGTGAGCTCCCAGAGGACAGATGCTCCAGGGGCCTGTGGGTCCCAGCACGGCCTCCCTTCCCTGGGAGGAGGGACCCCACGGGGCTGGGCTCCCGGACACTGTCTGCGGCCCAGCCTCCGGGAAAGCGCTGGGGCTTCGCTGGGCCCGTTCTTGCCGCCCTGCTCGAGCGCCTGGCCTCTCTGCAGCTCGTCGCCTGGGAGCCGGAGCAGGAAGAGGAGGTTACCATGGTGACCGCCCGGCCCAACTTTCAGGACAGCATTCACGTGGGCTTCGTGTCCGGCCTGAAGAAGTTCACGGAGTACTTCACCTCGGTGCTGTGCTTCACCACCCCTGGGGACGGGCCCCGCAGCACCCCGCAGCTGGTGCGCACCCATGAGGATGGTAGGCAGCCCCCGGTCCCGGCTCCCTCTGCCCCCGACTCCCTGCGTGGCCCCCCCCCCCCACCATGGGCCAGGCTGCGCGCTCCAGGCGCAGGGCAACCCTGCTGTTGTCTTCCAGCCTGGGGTGCCCCTGGAGCCCCGCGGGCCCTCCTGCAGAAGGTGGTCTCTCTCTGGCTCTAACTGGCCTTGGGTGGGGCGGGGGGCCTTCTCGGGGTGCAGTGCCTGGGCCTGTGGGACACCTGAGTTTCAGTGACGTCCTGGACACCTCGCTGAAGGTCAGCTGGCAGGAGCCAGGGGAGAGGAACGGAATCCTCACAGGTAGGCGCCTCAGCGTTGCCGCCCCGGGGGGTGAGCCGGGCTGGGAAGGGTCATCCTGTCCATCCCCCTGCCGCCGACCCGGCGTCCCTCAAGAGCCTCTCAGCAGACCAGTCTTTCTTGGAGAAGACTCAGAGGAGGTTCTCAGCCCCTCTGCTCTCTGACACACCCCAGCTCTTCACCATGGCTGCAGTCCCCACACAACACGGGCGCCCCCACCCACCCATGATGCTTCCACCTCCCCGGAGGCACCTCGCCTCCAGCGCGTGTCCAGCCGCCAGGCTCGTGGGGGCGTGAGCAGCAGAGCCGAAGGCTGAGGCCACCGCAGGTGAGCTCACGCCGCGCCGCGGGCTCTCCCCAGGCTACCGGATCTCCTGGGAAGAGTACAACCGCACCAACACGCGCGTGACCCACTACTTGCCCAACGTGACCCTGGAGTACCGCGTGACCGGGCTCACCGCACTCACCACCTACACCATCGAGGTGGCCGCCATGACCGCCAAGGGGCAGGGCCAGGTGTCGGCCTCCACCATCTCCTCGGGGGTGCCTCCAGGTGGGTGCCCTCCGTCCTCTCTCCTCCTGGTGGCGGCTGCTTCCGTCCCACACAGCCGGCCCCTCCTGGGGGTCTCTGGTCCCTGGGTCCCCCCAGGGCCGGCCTCACGCTCATGATGGCAAGGCTAGGTGGACTCTGCCGCTTCCTCGCCTGGCTCTCGGGAGCCCAGACCCCGTGGGCCCCCACCTTCTCTCCTCCACCCCTACCCGCCCCCAGTCCCCACACCAGGCTCTGCATCATGCACTGGGATCTGTGATTCAGGGAAAGAACTCACTGTCACCTGAAGGGTCCAAACGGGATTCCAACTAGTGGGAATGTGTGCTGGGAGCGGGGTAGAGCAGGATGCGAATAATCCCACCCCCAGTTTAAAGAGCAAGCTGAGGCCCCTTCTCAGCCCCGCTTCTGCCAGACTCTGCAACCTTGAGCAAGTCAACCTCTGTGCCTCAGTTTCCCCATCTGTATCAATGGGGAGATGCACTGGATACCCACACATTCCTGTCTGGGTCTGTTAGTCTGTGTTTGTGCGATGTGGCCAGGATGCCTGGAGCCGGCCACCCACCGGGATGGTTGAGATAACTGGGCTTCGGCCAACCCCACCTGATAATAAAGGTGACAAGAAGGAGATTGTTTGTGGCCCATTGTGTCCGACTCTTTGTGACCCCACGGACTGTAGCCCACCCGGCTCCTCTTCTGTCCAAGGGATTCTCCAGGCAAGAATACTGGAGTAGGTTGTCATTTCCTTCTACAGGGGATCTTTCCCGACCGAGGGATCGAACCTGTGTCTCCCACATTGCAGGCAGATTCCTTACCGTCCTAGCCACTAGGTAATTATTAAATTACTTGATAATTTAAAGCAGTGCTGACTGTTGATGTAGTGCCCACCCAACCCAGAGCTCCATGCATCAATGCACTGAACCCCCCCAGTAACCCTGGTGGCTCAGATAGTAAAGATTCTGCGTGCAATGCAGAAGACCTGGGTTCAATCCCTGAGTCAGGAAGATCCCCTGGAGAAGGGAATGGCAACCCACTCCAGTATTCCTGCCTAGAGAATCCCACGGAGAGAGAAGCCTGGTGGGCTACAATCCATGGGGTCGCAAAGAGTCGGACACAACTGACCTACTAACTCGCACACACAGTATCCCAGAGGTAGGCGATGTTATCATCTCCATTTTACCAAGAAGGATACTGTGGCACAGAGAGGTTAAGTAACTTGCCCAAAGACACACAGCACCAGAAGCAGTCTGACCCTGAAATCTGAGCTCCTTCTGTTCATCCTGAACCTCAGGGCTCCTGGTTAGGATAGAAGGTCTCTTCCTTCTCACCCCTCCTCCAAATCTCCCTCAGCCAGTATTGTTTGGGGAGCACTGTCGTGGGTTATGGGTGGATGGAGAGGAGGATTCTTTCTAGGAAGCCCAGCCCCTGTTGCATGGCCCTGAGGTTGTCTCAGCCCCGAGCCTGCCCCGTCCCTGATCTGAAAAGCGAGCCGTAAATGCAGGACAGAAGCCTGTGTTGGGGGCGGGGGGGTGGTGAGGCCTCGGTCATGCTCGGAGGAGGAGGCTTCTAGGAAATATGTGACACAGCCCCTTCTGTGCCCAGAGAGCCATGTTCGATGTGGAAGGACCTTCTTCTTAATTTCCCTTCCTGCTCTGTTTCTTTTCTGCAGAACTCCCCGGAGCCCCAACTAACCTGGGCATTTCCAACATCGGCCCGCGCTCCGTGACCTTGCAGTTCAAGCCAGGCTACGATGGGAAGACCTCCATCTCCCGCTGGCTGGTGGAGGCCCAGGTACAGCCTGCGGAGGGGAGAGCAGGCAGCCTGCCCTTCGCTTTGGCCATGCCCCTGCTCTTGAGAGCAAACTGTGTGCGTGTTTACATCCGTGTGAATTCCATATGAAGGTACATAAGGCCAGGTACACCAACAGTGTCCACAGTTCCCCTCCGCTTCACCTGTACACACACACACACACACACACACACACACACTCACTCTGATCAGGGTGGCGACCTGCTGGCCCAGAGAAATGACCAGGTGCCTCCGTTACACATGGTTCTCAGCTTGGCTGCACCAGGGGAGTGTTCAGAAATTCCAGTGCCTGGGTCCCACCCCCGGAAACTTTGATCCAGCTCGGGGTTTTGGCTGTGCTGAGCCTTTGTGGCTTTGCGTGGGCTTTCTCCAGTCGCGGTGCACAGGCTTCGCACTGCGGTAGCACATCTTGTTCTGGAGCCCCGGCTCTAGAGCCAGGGCCTCAGTCATTACCGAACGCGGGCTCAGCGGCTGCAGTTCGCGGGCTCCAGGGCCCAGGCTCAGTAGTTGAAGCACCTGGGCTTTAGTTGCTCCGCAGCACGTGGGATCTTCCCAGGCCAGGGATCAAACCCGTGTCCCCTGCGTTGGCAGGCAGATTCTTAGCCACTGGACCCCCAGAGAATCTGCTAAGTGGGGTTTTAAAGAAACATGCCGGGTGTTCAGGAGAATCACCTGGGAAGCTTACTTACTAAACACGCAGGCTCCTGAGCACCACCCACAGGGGTTCTGACTGACTTTAACGGGCAGGGCCCAGGGGTGGGTTTGTATGGTAACAAGTGTCCCATGAGATTCTGATGTAGGCAGGCTCGGGGTCGCCCTTGAAGTCATCTTTAAGGGCCTGGAAAGAAGGGGGCCCCAGCTGGTGCCCTCCAGGTGAGCCCTGGGGTTTGTATCAAAGCCTTTCACAGGCCAGGCTGCAAATCCCAGGAGCTGGGGCTTGGAGCACCCCCAGCTCAGCCTGATGGGCTGGCCAGCTCTAAGGGGGTCTCATTTTGCAGGTGGGTGTGGTCGGGGAGGGAGAGGAGTGGCAGCTGATCCACCAGCTCCCCAACGAGCCCGACGCCCGCTCCATGGAGGTGCCCGACCTCAACCCCTTCACTTACTACAGGTACGGGGGCGCGAAGGCGAGGGGCTGCCCTGACAGCAGCGGGCTTTGGGCCTGGGGTCACCCTTGTGCTCACCCTCCCCGCCCCGTCTCAGCTTCCGCATGCGCCAGGTGAACATCGTGGGCACCAGCCCACCCAGCCAGCCTTCTAGAAAGATCCAGACCCTCCAGGCACCCCCTGACATGGCCCCAGCCAACGTGACCCTGCGCACGGCCAGTGAGACCAGCCTGTGGCTCCGCTGGATGGTGAGGCTCCCGCGAGCGCGGGGGGCGGGGTGTGGGACGTCTCCTTCTGCCTCATCACCCTGCAGAAGCGGGCGTCCACTGGATCATCTCCAGCCCCCTTCTCAGTTCTGTTTATCAGTCTTAGCCAAACGAACAAATGTTCTACATGACAAGGAGTTAGCAAACATTTTATTGAGCGTTGCCATGTGCCGAGCATTTTACCTTTTTTCTTCCGTAAAATCCTCCCACTAATCCTGCAAAGGACACATTACTATCCCAACTTACAGCTAAGAAAACTGAGGCTCAGAGAGGCTACGCGTTCACCCAGTCACACAGCTCCCTGGGGTGGTTCTGGGATTCAGACCTAAGTAGTCTTGCCCACCAAATCCGAGAATGAGGGGCTCCTCCTGAGGTTCAGGGGGAGTTGGCAGAGGCATCAAGCTCTGTCCCCATAGACCGGGGCTCCACGTCCATGGTCATTACCCCACGTGACCCTGCATGAGCTAGTAATACACGTGAGGGGTTCCCCTCCTGCCAGGCACTGTTCTGAGTGTTCTGAGTGCTGTCGGTGTTGACATTGAGCCCTCTCCATGGGAGCCTGTGACAGTTATCCTGGCCCCACTTTACAGATGAGGAAACTGAGGCAGAGAGAGGCGGGATAACTTTCCCAAGTAGCCTTCCCTCCATCCTCCCACACCCCCTAGTTAACAGTAGGGCTCAGAATTCCAACCCAGGGAGTCTGGCTCCCGAAACCCACTGCCATAAACCCTGAGCATGCTTTTGTTCCTGGGGAATAAAAGAGAACATTTCTCCCCCTGAACATTCCCCCGGGGCAGCATTTCCGGGATGAAGCCCTGCAGAGCNGCAGACAGGGGGAGAGAGTTTAGTGGCAGAGATAACGCCAAAGGTGCCACGTGTTAGACAGCCTTTACGCCTCTCCTCTCTGGGCCAACCACATCCCTCCCCCGGCAGGGTCGTAAATTTGTCATATGCATGGTAGAGTGGATTCTGCCTCTCCTCTGAGCCCAGGGCGATAGTCAGGGGGAAGGTGGGGCCATCAGAAACACAGAGTCACACAAGCAAGCCATGCTCAGCGATGAGCCTGCCTCACACAGGTGCCGACAGGCTGGACGGTGGGCTGGGTAGTCCCGAAGGCTCCCTGGAAGAGGCAGCAGGAGCCTGGCAGGTCTACACAGGGTGGGGCGGGCCTCACAGCAGTCTGCCCACCCCGCCCCCCTGCAGCCTCTCCCGGAGATGGCATACAACGGGAACCCCGAGTCGGTGGGCTACAAGATCAAGTACAGCCGGGCAGACGGCCACGGCAGGACGCTGAGCCACCTGGTCCACGACCGCGTGGAGCGCGAGTACACCATTGAAGACCTGGAGGAGTGGACGGAGTACCGCGTGCAGGTGCAGGCCTTCAACGCCATCGGGAGCGGGCCCTGGAGCCAGGCGGTGATGGGCCGGACCCGGGAGTCAGGTACCGCTCCCCTCCCTCCGTCCCGAGAGCCTCCCGGTCCCAAGGGCACTAAGGCCAGCGCTGCTGTGCAGAGATGCCCTGGGCTCATTCTCCTGCTGTGCTCGGCGTCTGGCAGAGCATCCTGTGTGTGTGTGTTTCTGTGTGTTTGCGTGTGTCTCTAGTACCCGATCCTTCCCTGCACTGCTTCCAAAGTTAGGGGGACAGGTTCCCGGGAGGAGATTCCTGGCTCTGTGCCCTTTAACTCTGATCCCAGTGATGCCTGCAAGACTCCATGATTGGAGGTGGGGGGGGGGAGAGGGTGCGGGTTGGGTTAGCTCTCAGAACATTCCAGAAACCCAAGCAGTGGCTCACAGGAGCCTGGCAAGGGGACACCCTCAGAATATGTGCCCCCAGCCTGCAGGCAGCCCTCATCTGTCCGCATGTGGTGGGTACCCTGTGGCTTCTTCTTGACGCCCTTTAGATGATGGCTCCCTTCCCACTGGGCTCCCCCCGCCCGCATGCCCGCGGCTGCACTCGCAGGAAGTGCAGGCTCGTCCTGAGTCTGAGTCTGAGCGGGGGTCACAGGGGTCTCACCTCGAGCCAGAAGTAGCACGTGTGATGCTCCAGAGCCAAGAGCATCACAGTCACGGGATAATTTGCTGTTTGGGGACTGCGCCCCCGTTCCTTCCCCGGACCCCCTCCACCCTCCACCGCGGGGTCCACACTGGGTCCTGAGCACCTCCTCCCCTCTCCCTCACCCCCAGTTCCTTCCTCCGGCCCCACCAACGTGTCTGCGCTGGCCACCACCTCCAGCAGCATGCTGGTGCGCTGGAGCGAGGTCCCCGAGGCCGACCGCAACGGGCTCGTGCTGGGCTACAAGGTGAGGGGCTCCCTGCTTCCCCATCCAGGCACCCCATCCTGGCGAGCCCCTGGCACCCAGGACTCTGCCTTTCAGAGTGGACACGGGGGATCTGCCTGCCAGCATCCACAGGTCACCACGGCAACCAGAGAGTCCTCCCTTGGGGGTGGGATAGCTTCCCATGAGGGCCGGGGGTCCTGGGGGGCAGCTCCACCTCCCCCAGGAGGCCACATTGGGCCACTCACTCTCAGCCCCCATGGGCCCAGATTCAGTTTCCGTCATCTTCTAGAATTCCTCCCGAGCCTGCACCTACAGCCCCAGCCTGGAAGTCATGAGACATCCCAGCTCTGCCGCTCCTGGCTGTCTGACCTTGAGCAAGTCAGGCCCCTCTCTGGGCCTGTTTTCCCAGCTGGATGCTCTCCCAGGAACCTCCAGTTTAGTGCCTCTCTGTGTCCCCCTCCCTCCCCAACACTAGCTTGTGTAACCTGGGGACCAAGCCCCTCCAAGGAGCCCTGGGTCCACCCACTCATCCTCACCCCCCCACCCAGCTCCTGGGGAGGAGACAGGAGACGTTCTGGCAAGACCAGAGCCCGGCCCGTGGCCCTGACCCCTGCGCTGGGCTCTGACAGGTGCTATACAAGGAGAAGGACTCGGACGCCCCGCCCCGGTTCTGGCTGGTGGAGGGGAACTCTTCCCGCAGCGCCCAGCTCACAGGCCTGGGCAAGTACGTGCTCTACGAGATCCAGGTGCTGGCCTTCACGCGCATCGGCGACGGGGGCCCCAGCCACCCTCCCATCCTGGAGCGGACCCTGGACGACGGTGAGGTCACACCCCCGGGGGTCTGGGGGCTGCACTTCCTCCCCACCCCCACTGCCCCTGCCCAGCCCTACCCCTCCTGGGGTCCCCCTCTGCCCCAAGGGGAGCTGTGGCCTCAGGCTTCCCCCGGGGGAGTGGGTCTCTGAGGGCCACCTACCCCTGCAGGGAAGGCTAGCTACAGACCTCACCCCTAAGGAAAAAGAGTGTGCAGGGGCCTTCTGACATCCAATCCACCCTCTCGGGCAAGAAAAGGGAATCTGCGCCCCTCTGGATTCTTGTCCCCCTGGGGCAGGCTCAGGCCGAGCGCAGGTCTGTGCAGGGGAAAGGCCTGGTTTTCCCTTTGCACAAGCCTATGGGTCCTGTTTGCCAACGAGTGACGCCAGCCGAGCTCCAGGCAAAACACCCCACCAGAGGCCGCCCTGACAGGTCCTTTCCCCCTGCGTCCTGCCCACATGCACCCTCACACGCTGCTCTGCACAAACATTGGTGGGCTCGGGCCAAGAGGGCCAAAGGAAGCCCAAACACCATATGTCTCTGTGCTCGAAAGCGATAAATCAAGCTAATGATCTGTTAAATTAAATATGTTCTGTCCTCCCGCCTTGACAAATGTACCCTTCTAATGACCTGGAAGGCCAAGTTCAAGTTTAGAAATCTCAGCTTCCTTGGCGTTCCCGGTGGGATGGAAGCAGCACAGGAAAACCTGTGTGCCCTGGTTCTCTCGCCTCCTCACCCCTTCCCCTCTGGCCCCTACCCGTCAGTCTCCATCCACATGCGTGCCCCGAAACAGCCGCCCGTTGGCCATTCCCAGGTCCAGAAGGGCAAGTCTGCACCCTCGGGAGGGTGGATCCAGGGAACAGACCCAGGAAGCGTGCTTGGGGCTGTTTGGACAGGGCGCCCCAGATCTGAGGATTCCAGAGAGAGGTCTGGAAAGAGGAGTGGTGCGGGCTCGGGATGGGCACTTCCATTTGCCCCCAGGCTGGAGTCTGGGTCCCTTCTACTTCCTGCCAATTAATACGTAAACCTCCCTGGTCACATGTCCGTGCCCCGTGCTCACACGCAGACACACACTCCCCCGCAGCTCACTGAGCTGAGCGGCCCCGTCCCCAGCCTCCCCCGAGCTGTCCCGTCCTGCGAGAGCGGGGTGGGTCATCCCCCGCCTCCCCCCGTCCTGTCCTGTGGGAGCAGGGTGGGTCGTCCCCCGCCTTCCCTGAGCTGTTCTGCAGGAGCCGGGTGGGTCTGGGCCCGAGCGGCGGCCGCACCGTCACCTGCTCCTCCCTTGTTCCCCCAGTCCCGGGACCGCCCGTGGGCATCCTGTTCCCAGAGGTGCGGACCACATCCGTGCGGCTGGTCTGGCAGCCCCCCGCTGCCCCCAACGGCATCATTCTTGGTAAGGCTTTCCCCTTCCTGGGCCCTGGCTGCAGGAAGCAGGAGGTGTAAGATACAAAGGAGGCAGATTCGGCGCTGGCAGGAGGGAGACTGAGCCTAGGCAGCACTGACATATCCTGCAGAAACGTTCTGACTCCTCCCACCGGAAATCTCAGTCTGGCCGAGGACAGATCTGTGGTGGCCTGGGGGGAGGGGGGGTGGAGGGGGGTTTGGGGTCAGCAGATGCGAACCCTAGAATGCACGGACAGGGAGGTCCTACTGTGTCGCCCAGGGAGCTGTGTTCAGTGTGTTGGGATAAACCACAATGAAGAGAATGCTATAAAAGAATGTGTGTGGACACATATAACTGAATCACTTTGCTCTACTGCAGAAATTATCACAACATTGTGAATTGACTAGACATCAACTTAAAAAAAAAAAGAAATTCCATCTGTAAGATGATCAGCTGGAGGGCACGGTCCGGTTCAGGTCTCTTAAGGACCATTGATTAGCTCTGTACCCCCACAGAGGGGCAGGAAGGACCACTGATTAGCTCTGTGTCTGCACAAGCCTCAGGGCCCCAGCCGACGGGCCATCTGATAAACCTCGGCCACGGTTTCTAAGTGTGGCCAGGTGAGGGTGCCCTGATGGGCTCAGCCCAGGGGCTATCAGAGGTGGGAAACGGGCTCCCGGCCCCCAGCGGGGATGCTGTAGATGGGAAGCGTCATTTCATATGCAAGGCTGCTCCCCTCACACACACACTCAGGAGGAGATGCAGGGTTGGGATCAGCAGCTGTGTGGACTTGAGCCCATCAGTTCCTCCCACGGCCTCAGCCCTCACCTGTCACGTGGGGGCTGGACCACCTGCGTCCAGTCCAGGGCTCTCGATCCCGGCCCCTCCTGGTGAGAGCCATGCCTCTGAGACAGTGGAGGCAGGGAGGGCACACGACTTGGACTCAGAAAGACCTGGGCTGGCTGGACTTCCAGCTCGGTCACTTCCTGACAGGTGGTCTGGCCTCTCTGAGCCTCAGTGTCCTCCTCGGGGGGCTGGGCTGGGGGGTGGGTCAAAGACAGTGCACGGAGCACCAGTCCAAGACCCCCAGAGTCACACTTCCCGGGGGGCAGCTGAGGATGGGAGAGAGACCCAGAGGGCTTCAGGATGGACCACAGCCACAGCGGTCGTGGGCTCGGGGCCCCAGGGGCAACCTGCTCCACCTCCCAGCACTGTCCCCCCCACCCAACAGCGTACCAGATCACGCACCGGCTCAACGCCACCTCGGCCAACGCTGCTGCCGTGGAGGTGCTCGCGCCCAGCGCCCGCCAGTTCACGGCCACCGGCCTGAAGCCAGAGTCTGTCTACCTGTTCCGCATCACGGCCCAGACCCGCAAGGGCTGGGGAGAGGCCGCCGAGGCCTTGGTGGTGACCACCGAGAAGAGAGGTGACCATCCCCTGGGGCCGGGGAGAGGGTGGGCGCTCACCCCCTTTCCTGGTGCCCCGCTGGGGGGTGGGCCAGTGACAAGCTGTGAGTCTCTTGTCCTGGTCCCGAATGGAGAGTGGGCTCCCATCTCTGTCCCCAAGGCCAGCACGGGCTCTGGTAGACTTCCGGGGAGGTCCCCTTCCCAGGACCCTGCTCTGAGCCGGTACTCGTTTTCCCAAAGGGCAGGTTGGTGAGGCCAGCTTCCCTCCTCGCTCCCCAGCCCCTTGACAGAAGGGTCCAGTTGGGTGCAAAACAGGGCCGCAGCCTGGAGCCCTGGCTGCCTTCGCCCTGTGGCCCTGAGCCGGCTTCTCACCGCGGATCGGGCTCCCCAGAAGCAGGCCTGAACCCCGGACCCCTGTGAACCTGATTTACCAGACAGTGTTCCCAGAAAAAACCCAGAACAGTGGTTCTCAACCAGGGTGACTTGGCCCCCTGGGGGCCACTGGGCAAAGTCTGGAGGTGTTTGGGTTCACACTTGGAGAGGAAAGCGTCCTGGCATCTAGTGGGTGTGGGCACACATCCCTCAATGTGCAGGACAGGCCCTGTCAATAGACCCATCCACCCAAAGCCGAAGCACAGAGAACCACGGGAAGCGAGAGGGGACCACGCAGGGGCGGCAGACACGCCGAGTCCCGTTGCGGGAGCCGAGGGTTCAGCCTCACTCCATCAGGGCCAGCCTAGGTCCCATCGCATCCCCGTGCGGACACAGGGCAAAAGAGCCTGCATCCACACCTCTCACTGTCAGCCCTGGGGGGCGGGTGGGGTGGATTCTCAGACACCAAGGCCTCTCCTAGCCCAGGGGGGCTCCCGTGGTGCTGATGGTCTGGGCGTGGAAGTGGGATGGGGTGGGGAGGCAGGCGAGAAAGTGCATCTCTCATCCCCGCCGCGTGCTCACCTGCTCCTCCCCCCTGCTCTGCGCCCCCCACCCCAGACCGCCCGCAGCCCCCCAGCAAGCCGGTGGTTCAGCAGGAGGACGTGAAGGCTCGCAGTGTGCTGCTGTCCTGGGAGCCGGGCAGCGACGGGCTGTCCCCCGTACGGTACTACACGGTCCAGACCCGCGAGCTGCCCAGCGGCCGATGGGCGCTGCACTCGGCCTCTGTGAGCCACAACGCCTCCACCTTCGTCGTGGACCGGTGAGGCCCGGCGGCCGCCAGCATCTCCACCCCCGCCCCGCCCCTGGGGCAGCACCACCCGTGGAGGGTCCCCTGGGAGCCTGGAGCCCACCCTGACACGGCTTCCACAGCCCCCATCCCCCAGACCCCTCCCCATCCACGCACATCCCCTACAACTGTGTCCAAACCTCCCTCCACACCCTCCCTGGAGCCTTGTTAGGGCTGCCTCTTAATTATCTATTTCTGGAGCCTAGAAGCCCCCCTTTGAGAGAGGCTGGCCACTCTTCATTAGCTGGATCCCGCCAGCCAGCCCATGTCTCCCTCTCCATCTTTAATAGGGGAGTGGAGCTCCGCTCCGAAATCCTGCCTTCAATTTAATTCCTACTGGGATGTATTTTTAATATTCCAGTTGACGTGACCGCGAGTTTTGAGCAATATTCTTCTCCTCCCCACCCCCACACCGCACCCCCAATAAATCAAAAAGGAAGCCATTTGCCTGGAGAGGAAATGAGCCTTATAGAGATGAAGTGCTGGTTAACTCTTGAGACCCTCAGCTCCTTCTGAATTTACTAAGCGCAAAAGCAGGCAGGCAGTTCTTGGGGGCGGGGTCAGCTCCCAGTGGGGTTACTCTGCCTGCAGGCCCCTCCAAGGTAGGAAATATGTGGATGTTTCCACTTGGGGGCCCCTAGCGTCTAGCTGGGACCAAGGGTGACGCCACGCCCCGAGCCGGCCCAGTCTAGGGGGCCCCAGGGCCTGGCCTAAGCCCCAGGTTGCTGCCTTCATGGCAGACTGTCCTTCTGAGCCTCCCTGCTCCTGTCTGTGTAATGGATCCGCACCCTCCGGGGCTGCCCTGGGGAGACGGCGAGCAGAGACGAGGGACCTAGAAGGCCACCTCCAACGTTCGTGTCCACCCTTCCTCTACAGGCTCAAGCCGTTCACGTCCTACAAGTTCCGCGTGAAGGCGACCAACGACATCGGAGACAGCGAGTTCAGCGAGGAGTCGGAGCCCCTGACCACCCTGCAGGCCGGTCAGTGCCCGCCGCTCGGGGCTCGCTCTCGGCCCGCTGGGCCGTGGCCGGGCGCTGGGCATTCTCTCTGTGGGGAGGGGGCCTCCAAAGATGGAGGGACCCTAGGCCTGCTGGATCCTTGGTCTGGCTCCCTGGGCAGAGTCCCAAGGAGGTTTGGGTCCGAGGGGCCTTCTCCAGGGCTCAGCACCCACAGCCAGCCTGGCGTCCTCACATCCTCTGTGCTCCGAGCTCACGGCCAACCCCAGGAAGCCGCGTCAGTGTGGGGAGGCCTGTGGCTCTGGAGGCAGAGAAGAGAGGCTCCACCCCCAGGTCTGGGCTGGGGTCAGGGTCCCGGCCCCTCCCCCCATCCACACTGTCTCTTCTTGTGCAGGAGTTGGGGCGGGCGGTAGGGGTGGACTGTGCCTGAAGCGGGACCAGTGTCAGCTGAACCCGGTTCCCACGGCCTCCCAGGGGCCCCCATCCCGCCCCCCAGAGCTCACCTGTCTGCCTTTCCCCCCCAGCCCCCGATGAAGCGCCCACCATCGTGTCGGTGACACCCCACACCACCACCTCGGTGCTGATCCGATGGCAGGTACCGTTGGCAGGCGGGGAGGGGTCCGTGTCCCACGCGGACTCGGTCACACTCTGTGCTCGGACCAGCAATTCACCAGCCCTGGCAGGACTGGAACAGTACCCACATGCATAGACACGCACGCTCACATGTACACGGACACACCCTTCACTCCTCTCCCCGGTAATCAGATCCCACCATGTACGCTTGTGTGGATGAGGACCCAGACTTGGGGAGGTGATGAGAAAGTCCCAGGTCACACAGCTACTAGCTGGCACTAGGTTCGGTGCCCTGAGGTCAGCAGAACCCTCGGACAGAGACGTGTGGGGCGTCCACAGTCTCCGTGAACCCAGCCCTGCTCTGAATGAAGGGGTTCCCAACAGAGACCAAACACAGCTGTGCATGCCTCACCTGTGCCCGGACAGGCTCTGTCCTGTGAGCCGGAACCCACTGTCCAGGTGTAAAGAATCCCCCTTCCATCCCTGCCCACCCCCAGCCACCGCTCATGTGGGCACTGCCTCTCACATGGCCCGAGGAAGACCCAGGACACTTCTCAGAGAGCCGGCTGCCCTTGGGTACCTTCGCGACCCTCCCCAGCCCCCTGAAGTCCAGCCATGGGGCTCAGCAGGTCACCCCCAGAGGCCCCAAAACCAGGAACTAGTGTCTCCTTTTCTCAGGATTAGAGAGGCAGGTGCTAACCTTTGCCCACCTGCAGTCCCCCTGAAGGGGAAGCCTTTGAGGAAGAAACAGGAGGGATCCCCCAACCCCCACCCCCCCAGCCCCAGGCCCACCTGAGGAGGATGGTCCAGGAACTAGGAGCCCGGGGAAGGCTGGAGCAGGGCGGGGCCGTCGTGATGGAGCGGCAGGGAGGTGCCAGCTGCAGCCAGGGATGCAATTAAGGAGCTCATAAAAGGCTGAACTGTTGCGGCAGGTTTTTTAGAAGAGGTGTCATAAAAGGTAGTTTCCACCTTCTCCAGAAGCCTGTCCTCCAGCTCATCTGAGGATGGGAGCAGAAAGCAAAGCAGAAAACGATAAAGACATAGAGGAGCAGCGCAGGGAGACACCCGCCCCCGGTCTCGCTGAGCAGCCGGCCAAGGGCCCTCCCTAGCTCCCTAATTCCTGGGAAACTCCAAGAGAGCTCGGGCAGGGTGGGTGACCGTGTGAGGCAGTTGCTAGACAAGGAGTGACGCTTTAAGACACGCTTTGCATCCAGAGTCGTGCTCAGGATCCCCACAATGCTGTGTGACCTTGGGCAAGTTCCTTTCCATCTCTGAGCCTCGTTGTTCTGCTCTGTTCAATGGGAATGGCGTAGTGATTCCTGCCGTACCCTGCCTCACAGAGAATGCTCCAGGGATGGAAACGCTCGGAAAATTAAAGATGCTCAGTGCCACTTTGATTGCTTTTCCTGGTCCAGACGCAGTCGCTGCTCTGTGACTGCGGGAGGCGGGGTGGGGAGGAAGGGAAGGAAGGAGGGGCCGAATGGGAGGGGACGTGCCGCCCGGTCCAGCCCAGCCGGCTCCATCCTCCCCGCCCCCTCTGCCCTGCAGCCGCCATCGGAGGACAAGATCAACGGAATCCTCCTGGGCTTCCGGATCCGGTACCGGGAGCTGCTCTACGACGGACTGAGGGGCTTCACGCTGCGCGGCATCAACAACCCAGGGGCCAAGTGGGCGGAGCTCACCTGTGAGTGACAGCGGAGGGAGTTGGGGTGGGCGGAGCCTGAACCTCCTCGCTGCCCGGAACTTGGTTAACCTGAAACCCTGCCGCCCGTCCCTGTGTGCCTGTCACCCCGTCCCATTCAGTCATCACCAAGTGCATGTTTGCTTAGCACTTCACATGCCCCCGGAAGCTGGGGGGACACCAGGGAGCAAGACAGACAGGGTCCCTGCGCTCTCAGAGCTGGCAGGCTGGAGAAGGAGCCAGGTGCTGGAGAAGAAAACCCTGGTAGGGGTGTCTAAGACCGCTGGCATGGCCGTTGTGCCGGCATATTCCAGGGGAGCCTAAAGCCAGTGTCAGAAAAGACGTCCCAGGGGATGGCCGTGGCGATGACCCTGTTGGATGATTCCAGGTCTTAAAGAAGCCGGGGCGGGGTCCTGGCATGTGCAAAGGGCCTGAGGTGGGAAGGACCCAAAGCCAAGCCTGGTCGTGTCCCAAGAGCAGCAGTCTGGCCCCTTCTGTTTCCTCGGGGAAGTTACTCTTCTGCCTTGGGGTCCTAGGAACTCAGCCTGCCTCTGCAACTGGAAGGAACACACGAGCAGCCGAGTAGAAGCCCTAGAGAGGCATTCAAGCCAGGGAAGGATGTGCCGTGCTTTCGGTTAGGACACTTACTTTGGGGCCTTGAGGATGATGGCTGGTGATGGGGCAGGGGGCCTGGGTAGAGAGGCAAATACGGTGACGTAGGTGAGAGCGTGAGGTTGGTATCGAGGCAACAGGCCTGGGACAGAGTTGAACCAGTCTGGGTGATGGCGTGCTGTGGTCCACGGCCCCCCACCACTGATTCATGCTGGGGACGTGGAAGGGGGTCAGAGGAATTGGTCCCCAGATGGGCAGTGGGACCAGACCAGAGACGGGCGGGAGCAGAGGAGCAGCTTAAGATCCTCTTGATCCATCTTGACGCTTCCTCCCATCCTTCTCTTAAACCCTCTGCGCCTTGTCTTCCAGAGGGTATTAGCAGACAACAAGATGATTGAACGCGCAGCCAAGGAAAATTAATAGAAAAAAACTCAGAAGGAGCTGATCCAACAGCTTGCATTCTTTTTTTTTTTTTTATCTTTTGGCAGACATGTGCTGGTGGTTGTGATTTTATAGGCCTGTGTATAATACAGTCATATTTCCTAGTAGTAAAATGGCTTCTGGTTCATATGAGGAAATTAACGACACCACTCCATCACGGCAGGAACTCAACCTTTAGACAAGGGCCCAGAGGGTCCCTCAGAACCATCTCCATCTGGGGGTGCTGGGCTCCCAGGGGCTCCTGGTGCCCTATGACCACCGGCGGGTGCACGCCAGGGTGGGGCAGCACTGTCTGCCCCCACCCAGCCTCCCTCCNTGTCAGCTCAGCTCTCTTGCCTGCCAAGTTCCACCCTGAAGTGAGCAGAGCTCCTTCTTCCCCCAGGGACCAGGACAGGTCCCTGGCTGATGCCCCGGCCCCCCACCCTCACTCTTCCTAACATCCCGGAGGGTGCTCAGTTCTCCCCAAGACCCGGAGCCAGGGGGCCTCCCGTTAGGGGCCCACGTTGGATTGAGTTATTCATCTCCTTCCTTCCTCATGGGTGCAGGGCCGAGGCTGTCAGGGTGGTTGGAACGCCCACCTGGGGAGGGGGAACAGAGAGGAGCTCCCCCCGCTGCAGGCAGTGATGCCCCCAAGGTGTTGGGCCCATTTTCCTGCAACTGCCCTGTCTCTCAGCTTCTAAGTGTCTCCCCCGAAGCACCCCAAAATAAGCAAGAACAGAGGGTTTCTTAGCCCCAGATTCGCACCCAATAAGCCCCTCTCTTTAAGGCTGAGCCCCGCCCCCATGTTGAGAGTTGGTTTAGGGAGACGCCCTGGGACGGGGGTGATGGGGAGGAGCTGGGAACCCGGCACCCCTGTGACCAGGGAGCCTGGGACAGGCAGGGAAGACGCAGCCTGTGACCCGGCGTGTCCAGGAGAGTTTGGATTCGCACCTGTTGTCTCAGCATGCATGTTAGCAGTGCCCCTTTCGGTCCTAAACACGTCTGGGATGGTCGCAGCCTGTGCGGGGTCCCAGGGGTGAGCCAGGGCGTCCCCAGCCCTGCCGGCCGCCCCTGCCCCCCAGCTCTTCCCAGTCCTTTCCTGGGCCTGCACTCCGGGGCCCAGGCTCGCCCGGGTGCGGTGTCTCAGTGCCCCGCAGCCTCCGCCCTCTGTGACGTGAGCTCTGTCTCTCCCCTCCCCAACTGTCGCCCCCAGACCTGAACAAGCACCGGCGCTACGAGATCCGCATGAGCGTGTACAACGCGGTGGGCGAGGGGCCCTCCAGCCCCCCGCACGAGGTCTTTGTCGGGGAGGCAGGTGAGCCCCGCTGCGCTTCCAGCCCTCCCCACCCCGGCCCTCCCCTGCCCGGAGAAGCCCTGCAGGAGGGGGTCTGGGATCTCAGGGCCCCCACACACTCAGGACCCCTCTCGCCCCCAGTGCCCACGGCAGCGCCCCGCAACGTGGCCGTCCATGGCCCCACGGCCACACAGCTGGACGTGACGTGGGAGCCGCCCCCGCTGGAGAGCCAGAATGGGGACATCCAAGGCTACAAGGTAGGGGTGCCCAGCAGGGAAGGGGGCCCAGGGGATCCAGGGCCCGGTGGGGCTTGGGAGGGACCCAGGTGTGGTGAGGGGGAGAGGCCCGGGTCTGCACCCGCTCCCTTGGCTGTTTGCATCCAACCCACTGAAATACACGCAGCTGGAGCAAAACGCTACCCATCCTCCCGCCATCCCTGGGGCGGGCGGCACTCAGATGCTAGAAGCTCGGGCCACGCCCCAGCTTGTACCATCCCCGCAGCTTCCACAACCCCTGCCCAGCCCACCAGCTCCCAAAGCCAACGTGAGACCCCTTGAAGTGGTTATTTGGCCAACTCTAGTTACAGTATGGAGGCTAACTGAATGGCCAGTTAGTAAAGGACCACCGACAAGGTCTTGGAAATCTCTGTTTAAAGTTACTTCTAGATTTTAGACATCGAGGTGTGTTATGAAAGGGTTCTATTTGTCTCCAGTATTTGCTAAACCCTTTAGAACTTCCCTGGTCGCTCAGATGGTAAAGAATCCGCCTGCAAGGCAGGAGACCCGGGTTCGATCCCTGGGTTAGGAAGATCCCCTGGAGAAGGAAATGGCAACCCACTCCAATATTCATGCCTGGAGAATCCCATGGACAGAGGACCCTGGCAGGGTAGAGTCCACGGGGTCACAAAGAGTTGGACACGACTAAGCAACTGACACTTTCAGTTTTCACTTAAGACTCCTGAAAGCCTGCTAGAGTTGGTCGGTTATAATGATTGTACCCATTGCACAGATGAGGAAACTGAGTCCCATGTTAGTGGCTCAATGAGGTCACCAAAAAAGCTGGCAGCAGAGAGGCAAACTCCAGGTCTGCTCGTCCTTGCCCTGTAGGGGGTGGGGAGGAAGCGCTGGGCACACAACCTCTGGGATGTGCTTAGTCACTCAGTCGTGTCCGACTCTTTGCGACCCCACGCTATAGCCTGCCAGTCTCCCCTGTCCATGTGGATTCTCCAGGCAAGATACTGGAGTGGGTTGCCATGCCCTCTTCCAGGGGATCTTCCCCACCCAGGTCTCCCTCATTGCAGGCAGATTCTTTACCATCTGAACCACCAACCACTGGAGGAGGTGGCCACAGTGATGACAGTAACGATGGGCTGCTTGGCTGGACGCTCAGCCTGTGGCCATGTCTGCAGCCTGGCTCCCACGCCAGCGTCCGGCGCCGCCCTGGTTCCTGCTGGTGGTTTGTTGTTCCAGAGGGCGGTCCAGTGCGGTGGCAAGGTGGCGAGGGTGGGAGCCGCTGGGAGCTTCCTGGCTCTGCCTAGGTCACACAGGCAGAAACTGAGTTTCCGCAAAGGCCTTGCCGGGTCACACGGCTTGTGGAGACCCCATATATAGGAGTCTGGCTCTGTGTGGGGTGATGAAGGCGGGAGCGAGAAGGAGAGACGTCTCGCCAAGGATGCTCTGAAGATGGATGACGCTCCTGAGCAGTGCCAGCTGGGAGAACTAAATATTGCGCCCCTAGCATATGCCTCCCCAGGGACGACAAAGGAGCCCGGCGGGGCCTGCTCTAGCTTGGCAGACACCAGGCTGGGGAGGTGTGAATGCCTCCAGTTAATGCACGATCCCCGGAAATGTGTGGGTGCCCAGGCACCATCCATCACACCGCCGACGTCCACGTGTTCAGGGGAACGTCACAGCCAAGCGTGGACGCTGATGAGGGAAAGAGAATTGCCACCTCCCAGACCTGCATTAGGAGTTCCCTGGTGGTAAAGAATCTGCCTGCCAGTGCAAGAGACATGGGTTCAATTCCTGGACTGGGAAGATCCCCTGGAGACAGAAATGGCAACCCACTCCAGTAAGCGTGCCTGGAGAATCCCCTGGACAGAGGAACCTGGTGGGCTGCAGTCCATGGGGTCGCAAAGAGTCAGACATGACAGTGACTAAACAATAACAAGACCTGCATTAACATCCACGCTTGTCGACCTTAACGTCAACCGTGTGTTCACACCACCAGCCAGGGGTCGCGTCAGGGTGAGCTGTGACATGTGGGGGCGGGCAGGTCGATGCAGACAGCCTTTTCAGGAACACATGTTTATTGACTAGTTATCTTGTGCCGAGCTGTGTTCCCAATACTGAGATTAACTCAGAGACAGTGTGAGCTTAAACTGTAGGAGAGGAAGGCTAGTGACATACAAAGCAAAGAGCAGCTGCAGCTGGTAAGTGAAGAGGGTTAAGGGGCAGGTTTGAGACTTTAAATAGGGTCTTCGGGAGAGGACTTAATGAGGAACTGCCACGTTGAGCAAAGACGAAGGTGAACTGGGTGTGAATCGCGTGGATCTGAGAAAGAGTATTCCAGAACAAGGGGGCTGACGAGCAAAAGCCCTGGGGTCGGTGGGTGCTTGACGCGTACAAAGCCCAGCACAGAGACCCGCATGTCCCAGCATGACGGAGAGCATTACCTGGAGCCTTCTGAGCTTTCACTGAATGAGATGACGGCCATGGGGGCCTTGGGGACAGAAGATGGACCTGGGTGACTTGGGTTTTTAAAGCTTGTGCTGGCTGCCGCATTGAGGGGAGTCTGCATCNCCAGCATGACGGAGAGCATTACCTGGAGCCTTCTGAGCTTTCACTGAATGAGATGACGGCCATGGGGGCCTTGGGGACAGAAGATGGACCTGGGTGACTTGGGTTTTTAAAGCTTGTGCTGGCTGCCGCATTGAGGGGAGTCTGCATCTGGGCAAATGCGAATCCATGAAGAGGTGGCGGCATCATCAGGTGATGGCGGTTTAGACCAAGCAGTAGCTGTGAGAAGCGTTTGCTCTAGGTTCCATTTGAAGGGGAGAGCCAGCAAAATTTGCTGATGAGCTGAACATGGAAAGTGAGAGGAGGAAAAGCAACAAGCAGCTGGATTTCCAAGCAGTTGGATAATGGAGCTTCCAGTTACAGAGCGGGGCAAAAGGAGGAAGTGAAGCAGGGGGTAGGGGAGCCGGAGAAGGTTTGAGACATTTGTTGAGTGTCCTTGGGGAAACACTGAAGGGAGCTGGACACACAGGTGCGGAGTCCAAGGGAGAAGTTCCATGCTGGAGGTGTGAATGGTGAAAGCCTTCAGCATACAGATGGTACCAACAGCCTGGAGATTAGGCATGGTTAGATAGAAAACACCAGATGTCTGAAAACTGAGCCCCTGGACCAAAGCAAGTGATCGAATTCTCAAAACCCACATGAAGACTGTGCTTTCAGAAGGAGGGAGGAAGCAGATGTGCCAACTCTCCTGAGAGCTCAAACAAGAAGAAACCTCGGAGGCAGTTATTCAGGGATGGGCAGACCACAGCCCATGGGCCTAATCTGGCCCAAAACTTGATTTTATAAATAAAGTTTTATTGGCACACAGCCACACCCATTTGTTTACAGATCACCTTTGGCTCCTTTCAAGTCACAGGCAGAGGTGAAAACTGCAACAGAGACCGTGTGGCCTGCAAAGCCTAAAATGTTTCTTACCTGGCGCTTTACAGGAGTTTTCCAGAGCCCTGGATGATTACATTAAACCGGCCAAGTTCACGGGGGCTCTGATAAGAGTTCGGGGCAGGGGATGCCTGCTTGGAGTGGGTTCGAGAGAGAATGAGGAGAGGCAGCCAGTACTGACATCCCTTTTGAGGAGTTTTGCTTTAGGGAAAAGTGACGAAATAGGGTAGAGGCTGGAATAAGACAGTCAACGGAGGTGGTTTTAAGATGGGAGGAATAACTCGTGTGTGTGCTGATAGAAACGGTTCTGGAAAGAGGAAGAATCTCGTGATTCGGGAACGAGAGGAAGCTGTGGTGGGTGATGCCCTGGAGGAGGTGACAGGGGCTGGGATTTAGGGCAGGAAGGTGGGGTCACCTCAGTAGGGAGCCAGCAGTTCCACCCTGGCCGCAGGAGGGAGGCAGAAGGTAGGGACACAGGGTGGGAGGTGGTCCAGGTGGCGAAGGGAGCGTGTAGAGTCTCCCGTGATGGCTCCGGTGCTCCGTGAAGGGCCTGCAGCTAGGAGCAGGGATGGGGAGGAAATGCGTGGAGCCATGAGGTGGGATACTGCGGCGGGTGGGCCAGACCAGTGTAACACAGTAGCCGGCCGCTTGAGGCCGCTGAGTCACACTGAAGGTGTGACTTTTCTCCAGTGACAGCCAGCTATGTGACGTGAGGGCCTGGACCTGACTTCACTGAGGCTGAAGTCCAGCCTGGTGCCTGTGATGAAGCCAGAAGGGGCAGGGACCCCGTGCTCTGTGATGACCTCGAGGGTTGAGAAGGGGTCAATGGCAGGGAGCTCCAAGAGGGAAGGGATATATGTTTACATATAGCTGATCCGCATGGTTGGACAGCAGAAACTAACAACGGTGTAAAGCAGTTATACTCCAGTTTTAAAAAGCAGGCATGGAATTGAGAATAAGAGATAGAAAGTAGTGATTATCATTCATTCCTGCACCTGTTCCCATCAACAGACAGTGTTTATCCATCAGCAGATAGTTATTGATCACCAACAGGTGTGCCAGGCATGATTCTAAGTGCTTAAGACACAAGGGAGCCAGAGATGTGGGCCCTCCGAGGAGCTGTTTCCTTGCAGACACCTGGCCACCACCGGCCCGTACGGCAGCTTGGCCGTGTGCCACCTGCTGGGGTGCTTGAGGCTCAGGCCCTTGGGCTGCTTTGCACAAATGTCATTGAATCGTCACCTAACAGAAGTCTGCTGGATTCAGCACACGCGGGTGAGACCCACCTGCGGAGGGTGCCCATTTATGGACATGTGGTGGCTTGGGTCCTGGACCCCCCTCCCTCGTGCCAAGAACGTGATGCCAGCGACTGGACCCCCCCTCCTGCATCATCGCTTTTCTTGTTGTCAAACATGTTCCATCTTTCGAACGTCTATTCCTGACCTCACGTTTGCTTCAGCCATTTTTCCTGGTTGGCCCCTTTCTAGCATAAACCCTCCCCCAAAATGTCTGTGCCCCTTGCCTCTTCCCCATCTCTCTTGAATCCACTCCAAGTGGGTTCATTTATTCTTTCCAAACAGCGAACCCATGAACGAGTGATTTAATGAGGGACTATCTCAACTCCCACACGTCTACCCATGTCAGAAGACTGGAAAAAGAAAGAAAAAGGGGTTAGAAAAAAAAACACAAGGATTTTATAGTACTGAGGCATCCTAACTGCCAGTTCACACATGCCAGGTGGGGACAATTTTATTAGCTTTTTCTCACTTTTATCAGCTTTCTCCAGGCAAATTGAGAAATTGAGAAACCAAGAGCATGCAGAAACGCCTTTGGCCAGCAGGTGGTGCCAAATGCTCTCTAATCCACGCGGCCTGGGGCTCCCGGCGTTCCACGTGCTCCGGACAGAGTTCTGAAGCTGGGGAAGGATGCTCGGCCTCTCTGGCCGCTAGCGAGCCCTAAACCCCGGTTAATAAGAAGTAGAGGCCTTCTTCGGAATCCGCAGACGGCTCTCCATATCCGCGGTTCTGTGTCTGCCGATTCAACCCACCGCGGACCCTGTTGTACTAATCTGTTGAAAGCAATCCATGTAGAAGTGGACGTGGGTTCGATCCCTGGATCGGGAAGACCCCCTGGAGAAGGAAGTGGCAACCCACTCCAGTATTCTTTCATGCCCCCAATGCAGGGGGCTTGAGTTCGATCCCTGGGCGGGGAACTAGATCCCACGTGCTGCAACTAAAGATTCTGCATGCCCCAACAAAGATCAAAGACCCCGAGTGGCACAGCTAAGACCCAGCATAGCCGAATAAACACATTTTTAAAAAGCAGAATAAGAGAGGCCCTATCTCTAGAAAGCCTTGGCCAGGGCCCACGTCTAGCCCTTCTTCCCCTCATCTTCCCACCAAAGCCCTCCTTGCCGACGGCCAGTCCACAACCAGCCAGCCCCCTTCTGCTCCCTGCCTTCTTCCCACCCGACTTGCTTTTATCTCCCCAGCTCTGACCATGTCACCATGTACTGTTTACTTACGAGCACCTTCTCTGGGCCTGCACTGTGCTAGATGCGGGGAATACAACAGTGAAGGAAACTGATGAGGCTCCCTCCTAGGGGGGCAGTCGGCTGGTAAACAAGCATCTAGAGGAATTAACCTCGGGTGGCAGGGGGTGTGAGTGGTCTCAGGACGGAGGCAGGCGGTGGGCAGATGGCTTCGGAGAGGTGGGCCTGCCGAGGCCTGGCTGAGCGGCTGACATCCGGGCTGAGATTTCAGTGGGAGGACGAGGCTGGTCACGGGAAGTCCTGGAGGCGGGGAGTGGGGGTTTCCGGACCCAGGGACCAGCAGGTGCCAAGGCCTGGAGGCTGGAGGGGCCGAGAGACCAGAGAGCGGGCCAGGTGGCTTGAGAGAACGGGAGTGAGAGTCAGGGGGTAGCGGGTCTGGGGGCCTCGGAAGGAAGTCCAGCATTAATTCTAAGCGTGATGGGGAGCTGTTGGTGGGGATAAGCAGCTGGGCTACAGGATCTGGCTTATGGTTTTGAAAGATGGCTCTGGCTGCTGAACAGAGGACAGGCTGATGGGGTGGCCGGAGGAGGCAGGGCGGTCCCTTAGGAGGCTGCAGGTCACGCAGGGGAGGAGCGGGTGGGGTGCGAGGCCTGCAGCCCACACGGGGAGGGCACCCCTCCAGACGGCATCACTGCCACTCGAGCTGCTGTTCCCAGGGGGCACTGGTGGTAAAGAGCCCGCCTGCCAATGCAGCGGACGTAAGAGACACGGGTTCCATCCCTGGGTCGGGAAGATCCCGTGGAGGAGGGCATGGCAACCCACTCCAGTATTCTTGCCTGGAAAATCTCATGGACAGAGGAGCCTGGTGGGCTACAGTCCACGGGGTCACAAAGAGTCGGACACAACCAAAGCGACTTAGCACGAACACACACTCATGCGCCTTCTCAGGCTCTAGTGTGCACTTGATCTTGTCGGAAGCCCCCGGATGGGCCCGTTTCACGATGAGCACAGGCGGCTCGGAAAGTGAGGCTTCTCCCCACAGTCCCCCCGCTGGTCAGTGCGCGGAACAGAGGCTGGAGCCCCAGATATCTGAGCTTGTCCTGGGCTGTCTTCACTGCTCAGTCCCCTCCTTTGCCTGTCATGGAGCTTCCTCCTCGTGGATTTGAATACAAGCCTTTGGTCCTAACCTCGCCTCTTTCTCAAGCTGCTGCTCCCCCTTCTGTCCATCATCTTTCTCTTAGACAGACAGCGAGACCCCGTGGAGTCTTGGTTCCCAAGTATTGTCCTCCTCGGGGACCAGCTCTGGCTCCGGGGGTCTGTCTGCCTGTCCCCACCACACTCTGTCAGTGTCATTGGCCGGATGTGGACCCCCGGGAGCCTGGATGCTTCCATCACTGGAACGGAGTGTTCCGCCTCACGTCCCTCTTGCAGAGTGGAGGCAGGAAGGGCCTGCAGACCTGACCTCCCCCCTTCACAGACGGCTCACTGACGCTGCCTCCCGGGGCCTGAGCGGAAGCCAGCCCGGATCAGCCCCGGCTCGGTGGGGAGGCAGCACTGGACAATAATAGCCTGGCCGTCCCCCTGCCGGAGCCAGATCGGGATGCTGCAGGCCGGACACTTCCCTCGCTTCCTCTCTGTCCTCCCCCTCGGGCCTCTCTCCTCCTATGGCCTCAGGGTCGGGTTCTCAGGCCAAGAAAACATCTTCCAGATAGTTGACAGGTCCTGGCTCCGGCTGCTTCAGCCAGCGTGGTCTCTCTTGGCAGTAATCCCTGGGGCCTCATGACAAGAGAGAGGCCCTGTCCATGGCAGGGCTGGTTGTCTAATGCCCACCTGATGCTCAGGCCCAGGCACCCGCCCTGCCCCCCCAGAGAAGCCAGGACATAACCTGGCACCCCCGCCTCCACCGCAGTGACCCCAGGGGTCCTGCTCTCAGGGCCCATTAGCAGGAGGAAGCCTGAGCTCTCCCCCTTTCTGAAAACAAAATCCTCCTTTCTCCCAGTACTTGGACCCTGATGTTGGGGAGAGTGGGGAGGGGAGGGACCCGCTGCCCTCCAGTGACCCCTCCCGCCCTCTGTTGCTTCAGACCGCTTTCTTGTTTGTCCAGGGGCCCTCACGCCCCTGCTGGTTCCTCGGAACCAAACCCAGGGCTTAACTTCCAGAAGGGAGAAAACAAAGCCCCTCTGCTCTCTCCCTCCAGCCCCCAGCGCTCCCAGCTCCGTCAGGTTCAGCGAGCTGACCACCACCTCCGTGAACGTGTCCTGGGGGGCCCCGGAGTTCCCCAACGGCGTCCTGGAGGGCTACCGGCTGGTGTACGAGCCCTGCACCCCTGTGGATGGTGAGTGGGGCCCCCTCCAGCGGGGCTCCCCAAACCTGCCTTCCGCATGGCTCCCCTCCTTCGTCACTGCGCAGAGGCCACGCGATGAGCCTCTCCCACGTATAAACCGTATAAACCGGAGAGTCCGGGCAGGGCAGGGGCGGGGCCAGGGTCAAACAGCGGCAAGTTGAGGGCAAACTGGAACAGCAGCCCCAGCCTCCTGAGTCCTAGGAGAGAATTTTTAAGTATGTTCTCCCCCATCAGCGGATAGAAATGGGGAAGAGGGAAGAACACCGCATCCCGAGATGGATCACAGAGATGGACCCGGGGCCTTCCCTAGGGGCCCAGCAGTTAAGACTCCCAGTGCAGGGGCCACGGGTTCAGTCCCCGGTCAGGGAACTAGATCCCACACGCCGAAACTAAGAGGCCACTTGCGGCAACTTAAAGATTCTGCATGCCACAACGAAGAACTGTCAGTGCAGTCAGACTCTCGGTGACGCCAGGCCTCCCTGTCCATCACCAACTCCCGGAGCCTACTCAAACTTACGTCCATTGAGTCGGTGATGCCATCCAACCCTCTCATCCTCTGTCGTTCCCTTCTTCTCCCGCCTTCGATCTTTCCCAGCATCAGGGTCTTTTCAAATGAATCACAGCCCACAGCCCAATAAATAAATATATTTTTTAAAGGATAAAAATTTTCAAAAAACAGAATAAAAATAAAGATGGACGCTCCCCCGAGGTTCCATCCTGCGTGTGACCCCCGGCCTTAGGGACTCATCTTACCCTGAGTTAGTTCCCTGCCTTTCGTGGGGCCAGGAACCCCTCTGAGGCTCTGATCAAGGCCCTGGAGCCTCCCTGGGCAGATGCAGAAGTCTGGGGCCACTGCACCCCGCTGCCCTCTGGGAGCCTAAGCTCCAGCCCCTGGCTCTGCAGGTTGCCCTCTGCTTCCCTGAGCCCTGGTCCTCTGAGTGATGCTCAGAGCTCTCCCCGCAGCCCCTGCCCCAGCCCTCCCTCCAGGCCCTGGACAGGACCTTGCCCACCTCCCGGGCCCCCCAGGGGCTGCCCCACCGCTGCTGAAATCACTGCTACTGAGTCAGAAAGGCAGGAAGGAGACTGTGCCCGGGGAGGCCTGTGCCCAGGTCCAGGGCCCAGCGAGGCCTCGGGGGTATGGCCGGCCACCCCTCGCAGACCACAGAGCCCGACCAGAACAAGGCTGAGCCCCAGGAGCTGAGCCCTTCTGGGGCAGCCCAGGGAACACTGGCCTCAGTCTTCCCACCCCACCTGTGTGCCAGCAGCTCCCCGGGACCTGGAGGGCCCCAGGAGGAGGGGTAGTCAGGTGCAGGACCCAGGAAAGGAGCCGTCCCTCCCACGGAAGGAAGGCGAGGACAGAGGTCATGGGGGCTAGACCCCTCTCGGGGCTGTGTCTCAGGGGGTCCACACCCAGAGAAGTGTGCTCCCTTCGCCTACTTGTCACTCCGCCCAGCGGCATCTGGACCACGTAGCTCCTCCGAGGCCTTCCAGACTCCCATCCACCCTTGACAGCCCAGTAACGGGAACTTCAAGCCTGGGCTGGCAAGACGGTGCCCAGCTGGGCCAGCAGCACGCCTGCGCCCCACTCCCACCTCCACCCTGGGCTCTGGTCAGCAGCAAACAGGCCTCACTCGGATGCAGGGAACAAGGACACTGCACCCCTGGCTCCCTGTAGGGAAGACCAAGACCCAGGCCAGTGAGGGGTTTGCTCCAGAAAGTCGAGGGGCCTGTACCCAGGGCCGCTCACCCAGGTCTCAGGGCACATCCACCCCGTGACCCCACAGGCCTGTGACCCCTTCGGGAAGCCCCCCTGGAGCACCCACCGATCTGTCCGTCAGGACTGCGTTCCCTGCCCCCAGCCAGGTGCTCGGTTACTTTCTTCCACCTCATAGCACCTGCCTAAGATGCTGCTGATACCCTCTCTCGTTAGCCCAAACTGAAGCCAGGGCAGGAGACGTGCCCGGAGAACCCGGGGCCAGCCCTGCGCTCTGAGCCCAGCCTGCTGGCTGCAAAGTCTGTCTCCCAGGGATGACCAGCTCCTCCGTGTATGTGGGAGATGAAACCGGGTCCCGGAGAGGCTGGTGGTCAGGGGGACTTTGACGTGGGTTTATGCACAGAGCATGAACTCTCACCTCCTGGAGACCGTCCCAGCCTCCCCTCTAGTAGCTAAGATTTGGGGTGCCTTTGGCGCTAAAGAGTCTGCTGGGTGCAACTGATGGAGGACTGGCGTGAGCCCCCAGCTTTCACTGTCACTGAGGAGGGAGGGAGCTGGGTGGGATCTGAGGTTCTCCTGGGCTGTGGGTGTAGCCACGCATGTGTCCCCTCCAGCTCCGGATGGCGGCGTCTTTACAGAAGCGCTTCCTGAAAGATGGTCCTTGGGATGTGATTTCTACGGGATGGGATGTGGGGGATCAGCGTTTGCAGTACGATGGTTACATGAAACGAGATGTGAGTTGATTTTCCCCTCCAGATGCTAAAGGATGCTGTGGTTTTTCACTGCACAGACAGGCAGGCAGCATGAATGTACATATTCTTGAGGACAGCCTACCGGACTCTGTTCTGAGAACGGTCTTGGAAACACTCCATGTGGTCAAGGGTGCTGGTCCCAGCTTGACTCCAGGGGGTGCGGCCCCTGGCCAGTGCTGACCCTTCCCTCCCTGACGGCCTTCCCCGCCAGGGCCTGTGGCCCTCACACGCCACGTGCTTCCCCCCCGCCAGGGGTCAGTAAGATCGTGACGGTGGACGTGAAGGGCAGCAGCCCCCTGTGGCTAAAGGTGAAGGACCTGGCAGAGGGGATGACCTACAGGTTCCGCATCAGAGCCAAGACCTTCACTTACGGGCCCGAGATTGAAGCCAACGTCACCACGGGTCCTGGAGAAGGTAGGGGAGTCTTGGGTGGGCGTGGGGACCCCCAGGTTGGGAGGGGGCGTCCAGAGCATGCATGGGGATGCAGAATTGAATAAGACGGGGTCTCTGGTGGAGCTCACGGGCCCACGAGGACTTCAAGGCAGCACTGTGGGGTGGGCCTGGGGGGAAGGATCGGGGAGGAGAAGAGGGGCACTTAAAGGGGGGGACATCCCTGATGGTCCAGCAGCTAAGACTCCTCGCTCCCAATGCAGGGGGTTCCATCCCTGGTCAGGGAACTGGATCTCACAGGCCCCACCTGAGGGTTCATATGCCACAGCTAAGATCGAAAATCCTGCCTGCCACAACTAAGATGCAGTGAAGCCATATAAATTATTAAGAATAATTTTTTTAATTTAAAAATGAAATAAACAAAGGCAGCAATTCCAGAAGACCTCATGGGGTCATTTAGATGGATGCATGGGAAAAGAGACCAGCGTTCCCTAGGATTCTGACGGGGGCTGGGGCAGAGGAGGGGTGGGGTGGCCAGCTGTGAGGGAGGGCCAGCCGGGCAGCGAGGGTCACCCTTGCCATCACAGCGGTTCTCAAGGGGACAGTGATGTCAGAACCCCCGGGCTTCTCGTGATGACGCGGAGTCCTGGGGCCCGGGTAGTCAGCATCCCTGGCGTCCCTGGGAATGTGCACTTGAACAAAAGAGCCCAAGTGGCTCTCTGGTACCTGCTGTGAGAACCAGGGCTCTGGGGGTCTTCAGGCGTGGGACCAGGTCCAGGGAGGTGTGCCGGCTGCTGCCCCCTAGACAGAAGGGACAGAGGGGCAGCGTTAGGGGGCGGGGCAAGAAAGGAGCCAGGAGGTGACAGGCCCTGTGCACTGGGCCCGGGGTGATGGGGAGCACTGGGGACCAGGGAGGAAAGACTAGCTTAGTCTGGGCTTCGTGACGCCCCCTGGGGTCGTCCTCAGGCTGGGGGAGCTCTTCAGGGTGCCTTGAGGTTGAGGCTTAGCCCACAGGGCCTCTTTCATGCAGGATGTCCCCTCCTGATGTAGAAGCCGCCTCTCAGGCTCTGTGCATTCCTGCCCCCGCCCCGACCCCTCAGAGACCATACACAGCTCCCCCAGACTCCCCCTGAAACCCCCCTCCCCGTCCTCCTTGCCCACCTCCCCAAGCTGGGAGGCACGCTGACCTGGCCAGGCAGCCTCCGCTGCCCAGCGGGTGCGGGTTTCAGGTGGCCACCCTTCACTGTCTCTTTCTAGGCTCTTTCTCCTCCCTGCCTCTGGTTCTGAAGAAGGGCAGGCTGCCTCCTGGGGCTCCCGGGGTTGGAACACAGCCTGCAGGCCACAGCGGGCGGCTTGCCAGGGAGCTGCCCAACCCCCTGCCCTCCACCTGCCCCCAGCCCCTCCCCGGGCGGTCGGGCGCCTCTCACCTGAGCTGCTTCCCAGGGAAACAAAAGCAGGAAGGGAGCTGGCGGGGGACCAGGGGACAGAGCAGGGGCGGAGGACCTGGAGAGGCCGGCCTGGAGAACACGGTGTTCTAACCTGAGCCTGAAGTGTTGGGGTTTGGGGGGCGGGGAGGAAGTGCGGAGAAGGGGGGAGGGGCTCTGAGACAGCACAGTGCTGCGCCCGCTGGAGGAGGGGGTCAGTGGACGTGCGGCGGTGCCCTCTTCCCTCCAGGCCAGCCTCAGGGCTGGAAGCTTCTAGTCTGGAGGTGCTGTCCTGGAGGGAATGAGAGCCCGGGGTCCTGGGAGCCCCGCCCCACCGCTCACACCCGCCTCGGGCAGCATCCCACACCCCCTGGGCAGCATCCCACACCCCCTGGCCCTCGCCGCCTTTGCCCCGGGCTGTGGGCAGGATGCTGGTGCGGGAAGGGAGGGAGGGAGGAAGGAAGGCACGCTGTGAGGCCCTCCGAGGTCGTGGGGCTGGGCGCCAGGCTCAGGAGGTGAGCCCCTGGCCTGCTGTCTGGCCGGTCCTGCCACAACTAAGATGCAGTGAAGCCATATAAATTATTAAGAATAATTTTTTTAATTTAAAAATGAAATAAACAAAGGCAGCAATTCCAGAAGACCTCATGGGGTCATTTAGATGGATGCATGGGAAAAGAGACCAGCGTTCCCTAGGATTCTGACGGGGGCTGGGGCAGAGGAGGGGTGGGGTGGCCAGCTGTGAGGGAGGGCCAGCCGGGCAGCGAGGGTCACCCTTGCCATCACAGCGGTTCTCAAGGGGACAGTGATGTCAGAACCCCCGGGCTTCTCGTGATGACGCGGATTCCTGGGGCCCAGGTAGTCAGCATCCCTGGCGTCCCTGGGAATGTGCACTTGAACAAAAGAGCCCAAGTGGCTCTCTGGTACCTGCTGTGAGAACCAGGGCTCTGGGGGTCTTCAGGCGTGGGACCAGGTCCAGGGAGGTGTGCCGGCTGCTGCCCCCTAGACAGAAGGGACAGAGGGGCAGCGTTAGGGGGCGGGGCAAGAAAGGAGCCAGGAGGTGACAGGCCCTGTGCACTGGGCCCGGGGTGATGGGGAGCACTGGGGACCAGGGAGGAAAGACTAGCTTAGTCTGGGCTTCGTGACGCCCCCTGGGGTCGTCCTCAGGCTGGGGGAGCTCTTCAGGGTGCCTTGAGGTTGAGGCTTAGCCCACAGGGCCTCTTTCATGCAGGATGTCCCCTCCTGATGTAGAAGCCGCCTCTCAGGCTCTGTGCATTCCTGCCCCCGCCCCGACCCCTCAGAGACCATACACAGCTCCCCCAGACTCCCCCTGAAACCCCCCTCCCCGTCCTCCTTGCCCACCTCCCCAAGCTGGGAGGCACGCTGACCTGGCCAGGCAGCCTCCGCTGCCCAGCGGGTGCGGGTTTCAGGTGGCCACCCTTCACTGTCTCTTTCTAGGCTCTTTCTCCTCCCTGCCTCTGGTTCTGAAGAAGGGCAGGCTGGCTCCTGGGGCTCCCGGGGTTGGAACACAGCCTGCAGGCCACAGCGGGCGGCTTGCCAGGGAGCTGCCCAACCCCCTGCCCTCCACCTGCCCCCAGCCCCTCCCCGGGCGGTCGGGCGCCTCTCACCTGAGCTGCTTCCCAGGGAAACAAAAGCAGGAAGGGAGCTGGCGGGGGACCAGGGGACAGAGCAGGGGCGGAGGACCTGGAGAGGCCGGCCTGGAGAACACGGTGTTCTAACCTGAGCCTGAAGTGTTGGGGTTTGGGGGGCGGGGAGGAAGTGCGGAGAAGGGGGGAGGGGCTCTGAGACAGCACAGTGCTGCGCCCGCTGGAGGAGGGGGTCAGTGGACGTGCGGCGGTGCCCTCTTCCCTCCAGGCCAGCCTCAGGGCTGGAAGCTTCTAGTCTGGAGGTGCTGTCCTGGAGGGAATGAGAGCCCGGGGTCCTGGGAGCCCCGCCCCACCGCTCACACCCGCCTCGGGCAGCATCCCACACCCCCTGGGCAGCATCCCACACCCCCTGGCCCTCGCCGCCTTTGCCCCGGGCTGTGGGCAGGATGCTGGTGCGGGAAGGGAGGGAGGGAGGAAGGAAGGCACGCTGTGAGGCCCTCCGAGGTCGTGGGGCTGGGCGCCAGGCTCAGGAGGTGAGCCCCTGGCCTGCTGTCTGGCCGGCCACCTGCCCTGGGACCTGGAGCCGCTTCAGTCTGAAGCTGGGCGCTCAGCTCCTTCCCCCGAGGCGTCTGCAGGGGCTGTGGGGCCAGCCTGCTGCCCACACCCCACTGTCTGGCTCGCGCCCTTGTCCCGAAGGCATGGGGGAAGCACCTGCTGTGTCCAGGCCCTGGGAGGCGGGGCTCCAGGCGCCTGGGGACCAGCAGGCAGCGGGAGCCAGCACGGCAGGGCCCCCCGGAGAGGAAGGGGCACAGGCCTCTGTGGACAGAGTAGGCTCCTCCCTCCTGCTCCGGGCCCTGGGGCCAGCACCCCTGGCGATCCCTGAGGCACCTGTCACCCCAGGAGAGCCCTTCCCGGAGCAGGGCTGGGTCCTTTCTCCCTCCTCATGGTGGCAGGGGCCCCGGATCCTCTCTGGCCTTGCCCTTAGAGCGAGTGCAGCTGGGGGCCTTTGAGGCATCACCCCACACACCTCTCCTGGAAGGCAGGGGCTGCGGGTGACCCGGCGGAGAGTAAGTCAGGTCCTGCAGAACTGGCCAGGACACGCTCCTCGGGGGCGTGGTGCGTGGAGGGGTTCCGGAGACCCTGGCCGGGGTTTTGCACTCGGGTCCTCATGCTGGAGCTCAGGGAGACGGGTGGGGGCGCCTGGCACCACTCTGGGGCATCCCCTCGCCCACCGTGTGTGTGTGCAGGTGCCCCCGGCCCACCCGGAGTGCCCATCATCGTGCGGTACAGCTCGGCCATTGCCATTCACTGGTCCAGTGGAGACCCCGGCAAAGGGCCCATCACCCGCTATGTCCTCGAGGCCCGGCCTTCAGGTACGTCCACCCGGGCTGAGCCGGCTGGGGGTCATCGCGTGACACGGCGCTTGTGCTCTGCCAGGGGGCAGCGAGGGGGGGCCCCTGTGGCTAGTGGGACACGGAACTTGCACCCTTAGTTAAGGAACACCCTGGAGAACAGGTGAGGACCAGCTTGGGTCGGGGTGGGGAGTTGTCATCCAAGAAGCCAGAGGAGCAAAGGTCTGGGCTCCCGTTGGCTAAACGCCCACCGCCTCCACGCAACCCCACGCCCCAAAGCCCCACGAGGAGGCTGGCTGGCCATCCCCCGGAGAAGCAGCGCCTCTTTGAGGCCATCGCTGCATTCCGGCTCTCACCACAGTTCTTGTCACGTCACGGGCTCTCCTCCCAAGGCTGAAATCAAATCACGAGAACCTCTGAAGACATCAGGAGACGAGCGGCTGAGAAGTCACTGACGGGTTCCAGTGACACCCGAGGCGGCCTCTCGGGGCTCCTCTTCCCCCCAGGAGCTCCCAGCCTCAGCCAGCTCCCTCCGTTGCTAGGTTCCCGATTCATCAGAGGTGCCAGGGTTAGTGCAGACTGGAGGCTTGTTCTCGATGGTCCATGGATGCGTGATTAGGTAACCCAAGTTGAGAAAGAAAGGAAAAAAGAAAAGGCTGTGTTGCTCCAGCTCAAGCAGCAAAGACTAATCGGGAAGCTGGCATCTTAGGAGCTAATACTTCTAACGGGGCCTTTGGCACCTCCCAGTGACATGGTTGGTACCACAGGGTGGCTGAGCGCTAATCATCTCGATAGCACATAATTCACTCCGGCAGTTCCAGGAAGCTGCCACCACCCGGTCATTGCCTTAATCTTGGGCTAATAATCGCAGTTGTAAATATCATGTAAACAGCTATTATGTCCAGCAGCTCAGATCCAACGTGTAGCCGGAACATACAGGCAGCCTTGGCTCCCTCCCCACTCCAGATGGTCCCTCCCTGGCCCTATAGGGCCGGCTGCTGACTTGGCCGGGAGACCACCTCCTGCTTCTCCCATCCAGGGCCTGGAGCCTGTTTTTTCCATCCAAGTTGGCCTGCCGGGGTGCCAGGCTGTGGAATGTTGGCCCAGGACTTCAGCCCTGTGGATTTTCCAGTGTTCCCTGGGAGGCCCAGCGTGGGACCTGGTGTTCTGGGTTTGGGGGCCGTGACTTGGTCCACGTAGTTGCGGTCAAGGGCAGAGCCTAAGAGGAAGGATCAGGCCAGGACCCCCTGAAGGCTGGGGGTGCAGATTCCTCATTCTGAGGATGAAATCGCCCTCGTCCCCGGCTCCCCCTGCACCGCTGTGCTGGATTTGGGCAGAACCGACTAGACCGGAGAAGCCAAGTCCTGCAGAGCAGGGAGGGACCCACCTGACGTTTGGGGCCCATGGGACCCGCCCTGCGCATCAGCTGAGTCCCGGGACTGCAGGCCAGAGCCACAGCATTTCGTTCCAGAGCTTACGGTCTGGCCACACCACTTGTTCCTACATGGGGGGATCAAGGAGGGGGCAGACCGCGGGCAGGAGCACTACCCTGTGTGGCTTTTGTGGAAAGGAAGCAGAAAAATAGGAGCCTGGCTAAGTGAAAGTGAAAGTGTTAGTCGCTCAGTCATGTCCAACTCCACGACCCCAAGAACGGTAGCCCATCCGGCTCCTCTGTCCATGGGATTCTCCGGGCAAGCATACTGGAGTGGGTTGCCATTTCCTTCTCCAGGGCATCTTCCCCACCCGGGGATCGAACCTTGGTCTCCTGCTCTGCTGCAGATTGCCTGAGCCTCCAGGGAAGCCCAAATAAAGGAGGGCGTACCCTAATGATAGAACATTGTGCTCAGTCGGGCAGGCGTGTCCGACTCTCTGCGACCCCACGGACAGTAGCCCGCCAGGCTCCTCTGTCCCTGGGATTCTCCAGGCAAGAATACTGGAGTGGGTTGCTGTGCCCTTCTCCAGAGGATCTTCCTGACCCAAGGAACAAACCCAGGCCTCCTGCATTGCCAGCGAATTCTTTACCATCTCAGCCACCTGGCACTCATGATAGAATATTAGGCAGCCTCTTAAAGGCCTGCTGGCCAGCACTTTTTACTGTCATGGGAAATGAGCCTATAGATTTCTTCTGCATGAAGTGCTGGATGGTGAGGCTCCTTCGCTGGACGGTGGCGTTGGATTGGGTGTTAAAAAGTTTTCTACTTATGATACATTTTTCAGTATTTTACAGAGATTTTAATTGAAAAAAGGGAGAGGGAGTTCCTGGTGATCCAGTGGTTCGGACTCAGCCAGGGTCTGGGATCAACCCCTGGTCAGGGAACTAAGATCTCACAGGCTGCATGGCATCACTTCAGTTCAGTCGCTCAGTCATGTCTGACTCTTTGCGACCCCATGGACTGCAGCATTCCAGGCCTTCCTGTCCATCACCAACTCCCGGAGCTTGCTCAAACTCATGTCCATCAAGTCCGTGATGCCATCCAACCATCTCATCCTCTGTCGTCCCCTTCTCCTCCTGCCTGCAATCTTTCCCAGCATCACGGTCTTTTCCAATGAGTCAGTTCTTCGCATCAGGTGACCAAAGTATTGGAGCTTCAGCTTCAGCATTAGTCCTTCCAGTGAATATTCAAGACTGATTTCCTTTAGGATTGATTGGTTGGATCTCCTTGCAGTCATGGCTGGGATTAATTAGTCAATTAATTAAAGTATAAAAATATTAAAAGAATAAAAGGGTCAGATACTTGGAAAAAGTATCTCCCGAGGACCTACTTGGTGCCAAGCACGGAGGATTCGGCGTTGAGGGGGCAGACCCGACAGGCCTGGGGTGAGGGAGCACCGGTTGGGGTCAGGCAGACCACCCCCTCCTGACAGGTGCCTCCCTGTCTGTGCTCCCACAGATGAGGGGCTCTGGGACATTCTGATCAAAGACATCCCCAAGGAGGTCACGTCCTACACGTTCAGCATGGACATCCTCAAGCCAGGCGTGAGCTATGACTTCCGGGTCATCGCAGTCAATGACTACGGTTTTGGGACCCCCAGCAGCCCCTCCCAGTCTGTGCCAGGTACCGCCCACGGGGGTGAGGAGTTGGGGGTCTGGGGTGAGGACGAGAGAGGAGAGGCAGCAGCCCCAGAAGCACTGGGCTGGGGACCCAGAAGCCATCGTCCTCTCAGTTCTCTAAAGCCAAGAGCCCTGGCCTGGGGCCCGGGTCAGCCTTCAACTCCGGAAGGAGCTGGGGGGCAGAGGTCTTAGGGTTCCTTTCCAAGGACTCCAGAAGCCCTGGGCAGGAGGCCCAGTGGGCTTCAGGATGAACTGGCAGGCCCAAGATGGGAGCTTCCGTGGGCTCATCACCCAGGAAATCCGAGGACATCAGGTCATTCACTGTGTTTATCCATGAAACTACCCCCCAACACAGAGCTTGCAGCCTGTGAAGCTCAGGCCTGAGCGAGCAGCTCCTGCGAGGGCAGGACTCTATCCCTCCCCCTTCCTTCCTGCCTTTCCTTCCCGTCACCTTTGAGTTCACGGAGGACCAGTATCGAAACCCACGGCCCCACATCTAATCACTTTTCATGGGCACTTCCCCTGAGACAGGAATAGTGTTCAAAGTTTCTACTCACTGGGCCAGTTTCAGAAACCTTGTGCTTTTGCCCTTGGCCTGATTGATAGAACCAAATGACAGGAAGTCAGCACTTCAAGTCTGAAATAGAAGAGCCCGCCCCCTCAGTCAGCAGCATGGATTAGTACCAGCCGGGTGCATGGAGCACAGCCCTGGGGGCTTTGAAAGAAGGGGAGTCTCCCTGGAGGAGCCTTTCTGAAGACCTGCTCATGTCCACTCTCTTGGCTAGCAGAAAAGATTCTGTCCCTACTGACCCTTGGGAGAGAAACTGTCCCAGGCCCACCACAGTCCAGGCAAGCACCTTTCTAGCAGACATTGATGTCTATCAAGGTAGCCCCTGGGCCATAAGTGGCAAGGAAAAATAGGAAAGAAAAAGTAGTAAGCACACAGCCCTTTCTCATCCTGTATCTTTAGCAAACATCACTAATCAATCCCAGCACTCAGGAGTCGAGAAACTGCCTCAACTCACTCTTCCTCCTGTCTTTGGTAGACATCACTAATCACTCAGTCTAGAAATGGCCTCAGCACTTTCTCAAACCAGCCCTCCAGGCAGCCCCTTTACTGATAAACCAGAGCTGGCCCTTGAGATGAAACCATCCCTACCAACCCGAGATTCTGCCTCATTCAGAAGGCACAGACTCTCCTGCCTGTAAAGTGTGAGAGCAGGTGGTAGGGTCCCAGCTGGAGCCGGAGGCTTGGAGGCAGGCCAGGTCTGAGCACCACGGACCTGACGCCCACTCCGTGTTCTAGCCCAGAAAGCCAACCCCTTCTATGAGGAGTGGTGGTTCTTGGTGGTCATCGCCCTCGTTGGCCTCATCTTCATCCTGCTTCTCGTCTTCGTGCTCATCATCCGAGGCCAGAGCAAGAAGTACGCCAAGAAGACAGACGCAGGTGAGCTGGCTGGACGGACTTTCTCGTGACCGTCTCCCTTTTCGGCAAGGGTGGTGTTGGGGAGGTCTCTCTCCCAGAAAAGCACGTGCTCTGATGAGGGTGGGGGTAGCCTAGGGTTCCTACACACAGTCTCACAATCTCCATCTCCAGTTTTGGTTTCAACCCTAACAAAAGAAACGGGGGCAGCCCAGCCACAGGGGGAAGGGGCCACCTGGTCTAAAAGGGTGGAGTGAGTGATGGATGTCAATCTCTGCCCTCCCCAGGCAGCAGTGCCAAGTCTGGTGCCCTGGGCCATGGGGAGATGATGAGCTTGGATGAGAGCAGTTTTCCTGCTCTGGAACTCAACAACCGACGGCTGTCTGTCAAGAACTCCTTCTGCCGAAAGAACGGCCTGTATACCAGGTAGTGGGCTCCCTGTGTGAGGTACTGGGCGGGTGGGGGTAAGGAGGCCAGCATCGCCTGGGCCACAGAGCAGGCAGGATGCAGCTGGCTTCACCTTGTCCGGAAGCAGCATGCTCAGTTGTGTCCGACTCTTTGTGACCACATGGACTAGACCGCCAGGCTGCTCTATGTAATTTCCCTGGCAAGGATATGGAGTGGGTTGCCATTTCCTCCTCCAGGGGAATCTTCCTGACCCAGGGATCAAACCTTCTGCATTGGCAGGCGGATTCTTTACTACTGAGGCACCAGGGCAGCCCCCCTGGAAGCTGCATTCGCTAGGAATGGTCACTAGGCAGAGAGAGCGGGCCCAGGCAGCTCCACAGTGGGGTGGGGAGAAAGTCACGAGGAGCTGGGGACAGGGTGTCTGCCCACCACGGCAGGATGCAAATCGCTTGCACAACTTTGCAAACCACCAACTGCTGTCTGGGGCCAAGTGGTCCGGGTACAGGCCTGAAGCAGTGATAGCTCTCACCTGGCCCCAAAGGTGAGAGCCACCCAACAAAGGTGGGCTGGGCAGACCCACTTAAGAGCTGCCAGGAGTCCCCCATGACTGCTGCTGCCTTACCCTGACCTTCCTGTTCTGGAAAGAGGGGATGCCCTCTGCCCAGGTACCTACTCACACCCACTGTAGCTGTAGACAGTTTTCTCCCACCCACCGCTCAAGTCTACACACTCCACATTGTCCTCAAAAGGTAACAGCCAACCAGGAAAGGACCAGGCTGCACTCAGCTCCTATACTCGCCCGGCTCCCCTCCACCCAGGGCCCCTCCGAGCCCCACCCGCTGTGGCCCGCCCGGCTGCCGGTTTCCAAGATCGGGGTCAGTAGCTAGGGCTCACCTGAGCTTCGCCGGATCCACCTGGCAGTTTCAGGCGCCGAGAGCATGAGGGAGAGGCTGGGGCTGCAAGTCAGGGTCTCCAGCCTCGGCCCCATTAACATTCCCAGCTCACCGGAGGTGCCCACGGGCCTGAGGGGACGCCTCTCCCAGGGCCAGCTCACAAAGCTTCCCTCTGTCTGGTCCTGAAAGGAAGAGGCGACGTGTGTGTTCAGCAGGAGGACTTCTAGCGGGAGGGGTGCGCAGGCCAGGCAGGCCGAGCTCTCATCTCCCGCCAAAGCCAGCTTTCCAAAGAAAGAGCCATTTGAGGCCACGGTGGCGGGCCCAGCACGGCCACCGCGGCCCCGCCAGGCTGGCTCCAGGGCCCTGCCACATGGAACAAGAGGGCGTTTCACCCACAGCCTGGCCTTGGCCGCCTCTCACACCCTCTGTGTACACACACCGCGGGCCCTGTGTGTCCCCGCCATCGCTGTGTACACACAGAAATCCCACGTGCCCCAAACCGGCCCCAGGCTCCTGAGGCCGGACCCAGCCACGGCGCGTGTCGCCTGCCCTCCCATCTCCCCTCTCTTTTCGGTGTCCTGTGTCTGCCTGTCTTGTTTAGTGATGCTGCTGCTAGCGCTGCTATTTTTAAGTAGCTTAAAGATGCAGCTTTGTTGATTGGCATAAAATCCACGCAGATACGGTACAAAGGGTTGGAGGTGGCGGGGGTATTGCTTTTGACACGGTCACCAGCCACCAGGTTGTTCTCAGAGCAGCATTTCAGCAGGAAGCCACCTCTGGCTCAGGCGGGGCAGCCGGGGTTCAGGGCCTCTGTGCTAGGAAGGTTTCCTGGAGCCGACTGGGCCGATCATGGGGCATCAGGCCGTGGGCAGGGCCCCCTGGTACCCCTTCCTGGGAAGACATGAAATGAGGCCGAGTCATGGGGGACCCCAGCCGCCTGCCCAGGGCCCCTGGGAGCTGGCGCAGCCCCCAGCCCGGCCCCCTGCCTCTCACGCACCCCACAGCAGGTGGAGCGCCCGAGGCGCCCCATCCTGGGTGTTTGTGAGATGACAGAGCCAGCGCCCAGCCTTCTCCAGGGCTGGTTTCTCAAAGGTAGGGTGGGCCTTAGCCCGTCTCTGGGCTCTGAGCAGACGTGGAAGGAGGGAGGCCGTGGGCCCCTTTTCTCCCCAACCCTTGGCGTCCACTCTCTAGAGCTCACCTTGTGAGTGGGAGTCCCCTGGGGAGCTTGTCTGCGGGGCAGGTGTCCAGACCTCACCTGAGACTCCAGCGCCGGAGGTCTCAGTGGGGCCCAGACACGCTGTGTGACGTTCACCGCCACGTCTCCCCAGGCCTGGGGTCTTGGGAGCACCGCTGGAGGATCAAGGTGCAGCCTCCCCAGCCCCCCATTCCCTGAGCGGATTTGGGAGGCTGGTCCTGCCTACAAGCCCTGGACACACACACACACACACACACACAGAGACACAGACACACACAGACACACACACACACACAGACACATAGATACAGACACACAGACACACACAGACACACACATAGACACACACAGACTTACACACACATAGACACACAGACACACACACACAGACATAGATACACACACACAGACACACATATAGACACACACACACACTGGGAGGTTGGTCCTGGGCCTATGAGCTCTAGACACACACACACACACACACACACACACACACAGGCTGACACACAGACACACACATAGACACACACACACTGGGAGGTTGGTCCTGGGCCTGCAAACCCTAGGGACAGACAGACACAAACACACTCGCCATGGGGCCTCCAGGCAGAGGCCCTGCACTCCAAGAGCCCAGACTTGTCAAAGCGCAGACACAGGAAGGAGAGATGGAGGGTCCCGCAGAGGGCCTCCCACGGCCCTGGCCCCCACCCCACTCTCTCCAGGTCTCCCCTCAGTCCCCCGTCCCCCACTCTCTCCAGGTCTCCCCTCAGCCCCCTGTCCCCCACTCTCTCCAGGTCTCCCCTCAGCCCCCTGTCTCCCACTCTCTCCAGGTCTCCCCCTCGGCCCAGCCCGGGCAGCCTTCACTACTCCGACGAGGATGTCACCAAGTACAACGACCTCGTCCCGGCCGAGAGCAGCAGCCTGACGGAAAAGCCCTCCGAAATGTCCGACTCTCAGGTGAGGGGCAGGAGGGCCTGGTGCCCACACACGGTTGGGGGGAAGCCCCCACCCCAGAGTATGGACCTGCCCACCGCTTCCTGCTCTCCTTCCCTTAATGGGCTGCAAAGACCGAGGGGCCCCAGGAAATCCCCCGGACGGCACACTCAGGTCAACCACCATGTCCGAGCTGCGCTCAGCCTGCACCTGGGCTGGTGGGGTCCCTGGAACTCCCAAGAGCAAGAGTCTTGTAGGATGCCCCCCACACGCTCCGTCCGCCAGCCGTCCTGGCCTGTTTCTCCTCGAAGACAAGGAGAGGGATGCAGACACCAGAGCCCTGCTCGGCGGGAGCCGGAAAACAGCTGACCCTAGCTAATCGGGGTCAGGATGAGCTCCAGAAATGGGGGGCTGGGCCCCCACGGTTGGGAAGCAGTGCGGACCATTAAGGCATTAAGCTTTGGAGGTTCAGACCTGAGTTGCATCCTGGCTCTGCTGCCTAGGAATCAAGGGCCTCGTGGGTGTACTGAGTAATATCTTGGAGCCTCAGTTTCTCTACCTGTAGAATGGGCTCATGGGATGGTGGGGAGGATTTGCTGAGGTTACGTTCAGTGAATGTCAGCTCTTAATACTGAGAAGGAGACGATGCCTTTAGGAGACACAGGGCTTTAGAGAGGCTGCCATTGGGAGGTCAGGCGGGGTCATGTGTGGACACTCTGCCCCAGGCTTTGGGGAGGGGGGTCCAGTGCATTCCAGCCGAGTGATGTTACAGCCTCTCGCCCCAGCCCTCCCAGCCTCGGCCAGGCCTGCTGGTTGCCAAGGAAGGGGCCACAAAAGGCCACAGTGTCCCATGCCCTGGACCTTCCTGTCCAGTCCTGGGCGAGGGTGAGAGGAAGAGAGGCCGGCGGGGAGTGGGGCTGCCGGCCTGGCAGGAGGTGCTGGCCAGCCTGGGGTCTGGTCGCGGCCCCGTGGACCGAGGGCCTCTCTTGCACTCACTGCTGTTTTGCTCAGCTCCAGGGTTACCATTGGGCTTGGCAGAGCTGGTGAGGCTGGAGCAGACACCCCCGCTCAGAGCGGACACCCCTGCTCAGAGCTGGCAGGGGCCGAGAGGCAGCTTAGCCTGGTTTACATGGGGACCCACGTGATCCAGGTTATGGCATCTTGTGAGCAGTTAACTGTTTGCTGCCACGTCCACCCTGGGGACTTACACGGCCCTGCTTCCTGACGCATTTTTCTTTCTTTCTCCCCAAAGATGGTGATGAGCCTCTGGCTTGTCGGTACCCAAGGTAAAAGTCAAAAAGGTAAAGGGAGACTTCCCTGGTGGTCCAGTGGTTAAGACTCTAGGCTTCCAATGCAGGGGGCACAGGTTCAATCCCTGGTCAGGGAGCTAGGATCCCACATGCCTACAACGCAGCCAAAAAAACAAAATTAAAGGGATTCCCCGTGCCAGTGGGCTGGTCACCAAGAGTGACCAACAGAAGAGGCTCCCTGTTTACTCTGCCCCCCTGACCTTCTGCAGAGGGCATTGTGGTCCATGCTCATCAGCTGAGCCACGACCTTTCAGAGAGTAACCCCTCTGGGTCCACAAGGGACGGCCCCAGTCCTGGGACCTCTCTGTGATCACCCTGCGTGAGTCTCAGGAACACCCACCTGGGATGCAGAGCTGGCCCCTGAGGCCATGCCAGGGCCCCCCAACCTTGAAGAAGTTTCTGGGAGAAGAATTCCCATCCCAGGAGCACCCCACTTCAGAATTCACCCCAGGACGGACAGAGCACCTGGAATCCTCCATGTAGCTATTGGTCTCATTTATTCAGAACAAGTCCATCACTTGAACACTGTTTCCATAGCAACCTGGGACCAGTCACTACCCTGCCCCACCCCCCACCTCCGCCCTCCCCAGGAGCACACACCCTAGAGAGGAGGCTTTCCTGGTTCCAGAATGCCAGATCTGAGGACCACATCCCAGGCCTGGAGCTCCGCGTGCAGCCTTTGGGATAGTTCAGGGTTTGATTTGGGGCTGGATTCAGTTGACTTCGGTTTATTTATTCTGTCCTTTTCCTTTTTTGGCTACACCATGCAGCATGTGGGATCTTAGTTCCCCGACCAGAAATCAAACCGGTGCCCGTTGTAGGAGAAGCATAGTGTCCTTAACCACTGGACCACCAGGGAATCCCCGGGTTTGTTTACTCTGAAAGCTAGGTTCCCTGAGGGCAGGAGACCTGGATTCAATCCCTGGGTTGGGAAGATCCCTTGGAGAATGAAATAGCAACCCACTCCAGTATTCTTGCCTGGAGAATCCCGTGGATAGAGGAGCCTGGTGGGCTACAGTCCATGGGGTCAAAAGAGTTGGACAGAACTTAGCGACTAACCCGCCACCATGAGACCCCTGAGGGCAGGGACCAGGTCAGTTTTGCTCATGGTGTATCCCCAGTGTCCCGCACGTCACTGGGAGGTGGTCACTCTGTGTCTGTTGAAACCATGGAAGGGTGATTGGAAAAGGTCATCAGGCTGAACAGACTCGAGACCAAGTATGGTTAGCAGGACAGAGAGAATTTGTGGTTGTGCATTAATTCCTTTTCAACCAGAATCAGATCTCAGACCTTCCAGGAGGCCCTTCAGAGTGGCAGTGATGACAACAGCTGCACCCCCTGGGCCACACTGACTGCCCCGGGCGCCTCACCGCAGTGTAGCTTCCCAGCTACACCAGGCCTCGGTGGCGGCAGCTTTGTACAAATGGGGAAACCGGGGTCGGAGAGCTTAAGCGAGTTGACTCAGGTCCGAAAGTGCAAACACAGGCTCCCAGGGGCTTCGTGTGGGCTGGAGTGGGGGACGTACGGGAGACAGAGCAGCTGGCCTCCTCGGACGTCCGCTGAGCGGTGCAAGTGTACCCGTGCCCTGGGGCGGGGGGACACGGGTGACTGGCGGCCGAACCTCCCAGGGTCTGCCTGGGCCCTTTCATCTCTGAAGATGCCAGCGCTCTCCATAAATAACTCCCTATGCTGCTTACTCACCCCCGGGAGAAGCAGCTGGACTGCACATCAGTGTCCAGAACGAGCAGCACCCAGCCTCGCGACTTCTAGCTCCGGGCTCACGGGAGAGGCGCTGCTAGTCCTGCCCTGGGAACCTCCCTCTGGGTCAGCAGCCAACCCCCAGCCCCGCGGGCCCGCTGTCTTTGTGAAGTCCCTGCCCCCAGGCCCCCGGAGAGTGAATTCTGCCCGTGCCACCTGGTTGGAACTCTAAGTCAGACCACCCAAAAGTCACCCTCCAGAACTGGATTCTTCCGTTTCTAGCTACCCAGCCATTTCCCTGTGATATGGGGATAAACACAAAGTCAAGGTTTCTTATAAACAAACACACACGCTGCCATGTGGGAAAAGCCATACGGGGCTGTGGGTGGAGGCAGGGAGGGCCGGGTACCCTCCAGAAGGCACAGCGTGGGGCCAGGGGCCGTGTCTCCAGGGGTCTAGGAGAAGGGGGTTCCCGTCAGGGGGACCCACAAAGGCTGAGGCTTATGTGACAGAACTTATAAAAAACAAAGTATGCCACAGTCCAACTTCATTTCAAAGTCAGAGCCCACATTGGGTGGAAAAATCACATAGCACATAAGTAAATCTCAGTGGGAGAGAAATTCCAAGGCGATGGCAAGCCTCTTCTAATCGGTACTCAATTCTCTGTGATGTCCTGGATCAGCCGTGTAAGCTCATTATCATGAAATTGAGCCTATAAGAAAAAGGAGTTATCAATCAATTCAGTTCACTCAGTTGTGTCCGACTCTTTTCGACCCCATGGACTGCAGCACTCCAGGTCTCCCTGTCCATCAGCAGCTCCCAGAGCTTGCTCAAACTCATGTCCACTGAGTCGGTGATGCCATCCAACCATCTCATCCTCTGTCGTCCCCTTCTCCTCCCGCCTTCAATCTTTCCCAGCATCGGGCTTTTCCAGTGAGTCAGTTCTTCACATCAGATGACCAAAGTATTGGAGTTTCAGCTTCAGCATCAGTCCTTCCAATGAATATTCATTGGACTGATCTCCTTTAGGATGGACTGGTTAGATCTCCTTGCAGTCCAAGGGACTCTCAGGAGTCTTCTCCAGCACCACAGCTAAAAAGTATCATCAATTCTTTGGCTCTTAGATTCCTTTATGTTATCAATACATAGGACATGTTAGATTGTATATACTGTTTATTGAGCACCCAATCCGAAGAGTTATCCAGGAATGGCTCTAAGGATTGTTTAAGAATGGCACTTCTTAACCCATGACCCCTGGGGGAGGCCTGGATGGAGTTAGTGGCAGCGCACAGGTTGGGCCCTCTGTAGCACCTGGGAGTGGTAAGGAGCCCAAGAACCCTGGAGAAAAATGTCCTCCAGGGGGAACCTGGACCATGGGAGGGGGAGGAGCTCCAGCTGCCAGCCTCCAAAGGAGCTGCCCAGGCTGACACCTCACCTGGGGCAACACTTTCCCACCAGGCTTCCTGAGGTTCTACAAGATAAGGGCTCCCCGGTGGCGCAGTTAGTGAAGAACCTGCCTGCCAGTGCAGGAGACACAAGGAGATGAGGGTTCTATCCCTGGGCCAGGAAGATCCCCTGGAGGAGGGCATGGCAACCCACTGCAGTACTCTTGTCTGGAGAATCCCGTGGACAGAGGAGCCTGGCGGGCTACAGTCCATGTGGTCACAAAGAGTCAGAACTGAGCGCACACACACACCCCCAGGTGCTTTCTGCCTGGTCCCCAGCCCTCAGCGCGGGTCCCCAAGCCCAGGACAGCGCTTGCCTCGTCGCCTGCTGATCAGATACCACTGTCCCTGCTTCTAGGAAGAGACAGAAAAGAGAAAGGCCTTCCTTTGCTCCCCCTCTTTTGTCTCGGTCCTTTCTCAGGGTCCTCCCTCCCCCAGCCCCCCACCTCACTCGCTCCACGCCTGGAGTCTGCCCTCTCCCCCTTCCCCAGGCCCCGGTAATTGCTGATGGAGTGGCTTTGAGCTGCTGCTAAGGCCTGGGAGCTGAAGCGGTGGCCTGATTGCCTGGCAGCCAGGGACTGGCCATGAAAGGCCCCCTTTGTGCTGGGCCGGCGACTGGGAAGCTGCATTCAATTACCGAGGGCCGGGCGCTGGTTGAAAGCAGGAGTGGGAGCCCCTGGTCCCCCCCTCGCTTGCTTTCTTCTTTTCTCACCCTACCCCCATCCAGAAAAGAAACAGATGTTCGAAGAGGTGGAGACAGAGGGGAGTGCGTGCAGAGACCCCCTCCTTCCGCGTTGGGGAGCTGGGGGAGGGGCGGGCCAGACTCTAGCTGCCCCCCCCACACCCCTCCTCCGCTGGCTTTGCTTTTCCAGGCTGGTGGCACACAGTAGGTGCTTAACAGAGGGCAGGAGATGATTTGGATGAATGGGCTTTGGTTTGGGCCCCCAGGAGGGCCAGAGAGGCCCCTTCCCCACCCTGCTGGTCGCGGCTTCATCCTGGGGGTGGCGGTGGGGTTGTGGGTAGGCAGGAACCAAGCATTCTCCTTTCTGGGCTGTTTGAGCACTTCCGGGTCAGCGTGCCCTTGGGACTTCCCTGGCGGTCTAGTGGTAAGTCTGCGGTGTGAGTTTAGTCCCTGGTCAGAGAACTAAGATCCAGCAAGCTGCACAATGCGGCAAAAAAGAAATTTAATTAAAAATGTGAGTCAGTCTCCCCTATCCCGTGCCCCTGTGATCCTTCCCAGAGGGGCTTCAGGCGCCATGTCACACAGACCCCTTTCACTTTCTCCCTAATGATAGCTTTACACTGTTCTCGCATATGTTAGCTCAGTTCATCCTGTGAGCATCAGGATCCACCCATTGTACTGACCGGGATACTGAGGCCGCGCGAGGGTAAGTGGTAGGTCCACACTTACCCAGCTGAGAAGGGACAGAATCAGGTGGTGCCTCTGTCTCCCCACCCCCGCCCCCAGCCTGGAGACTCACTCACTCCAGACCCACAGTGATTTGGGGATGCCTGTCCAAGGCTGAGGCCTGGGGCTGGCTAAAGTTCTAGAACATCTAGCAGTCACTCCAGCGGTGAATAGGTGCCCTCCAAGAGAGAGCTAATCTGTAGGGAAATCCGTGGGGTGCCCCTCTCTTGATCCCCACACTCACAGACCCTCACTGCGCCCGGACCCCAGGGACACCCCCCCCCTACCTCCTGCCCCTGGGCCGGCCTCACTGTGGCCCCGGGCTTCAGGTGCCCACCCCTCGGCCCCGTTGCCCGCCCTTGGCATACGGAGCCCTGGGTCTGTGCAGCCCCTTTGTTTCCTCCTGGGCTGGCAGCTGGGCTGTAGGCAAAGAAACGCTTGTATTGTGCTGCTCTGCATCACGGGGAGAACGGGTGAGGGACTTTCCATTGTCGTGGGCAGCCGGCCCTGCCTGCCAAGACGATGGGGGTCCTGGGAGTGCCTGCTGGAGTGGCGGGGAGCGCCGTGGGGGCTGGAGAGGGGGAGGGGGCAGAGGGGAAGAGCCAGAGCACATGAATCAGCAGATCAGTCTGGGAGCGTTTAATCTCCCCCTTGAGGACAGAGGAGTTCCCCTTCCCGTCTTGTGACCTCCAGGCAAGAGTTCGGGAGTTCAGAGCATGTGTAGGTTTCAGAAAATCAGGCCAATCTGTGTTCAGGTCCAGCTCATCCTTTCCTTGGGCAAAGCCCTCCCTCTTTCATCAGCACTCAGGTAGTGGCATCAGGTAGTGGCATCAGGTAGCTGAAGCCCAGAGGTGTGAAATTCAAAGATGAGAATGCAACTCAGCGTTTCCTCCTGTCTGGCAGAGAGCCTGCCCCAGAGTTGGTATCATTTTAGTTCTATGCTTTGTACCAGTTCCTCTTGAAGTCTTGGGTGCCGTAAAGGACTTTGAGTTCCCTAAAACAGGTGCACACTACCTTTCCCATACATAGCTCAGAACCTTTGGGCGACGGCAATGCTCCGTTTTCTTTTTTCCCTAAGATTTATGTGTTTAGTTTTTGGGTGTGGTGGGTAGCTGCCGCACGCGGGCTTCTCACTGCGGTAGCTTCTGTTGTTGGGGAGCAGGGGCTCTAGGCGTGCTCAGGCTTCGATCGTTGTGGCTCACGTGCTTAGTTGCTCCGGGGCATGTGGAATCTTCCCGGACCAGGGATCGAACCGGTATCCCTTGCATTATAAGGTGGGTTCTTAATCACCAAACCACCAGGGAAGCCCTCCATTTTATTTGCCTGTAGAGCAAGACGCAGATGATTATCCTGGACTTGTTTATACTGGGCTCACTGGACCACAGGGTTTTCCCAACGTGTATTTCACTCCAGCTGATAAAATGAATTTACTGACTCTAAGCATGTATTCACTGGGTGGAGATGAGGCAACTCGAGCTTGGCCTTCTGGAATGATATTTGTTGAGCATGTACTGTTCACTAAAACCAGTGCATCCCTTCCAGAGAGTTCTAAAGGCCTTTCCATCTGTTGTCTTTTAGTTCTCAAAACATCGCTGGGAGCTGGGGGCGGGGAAGAGATGCATGATATTTTTAGCTCCACAATTCAGAGTCAAATGTTACTTTACAAACCAGATGGACTCTTGTCTTGCACTGATTTTCCCAAAAACCAACTAGAGCATGGGCCACAGACCCCAGAATATCAACTGTATTAAGGATAATTTAATTTTTTTAATTTCTCCCCCAAAGCTTCGGGGTCATCACCGTGTGAAAATTCAGAACTTCTGTTGATAATCTTTCTTGTGCTTCTTTTATAACTGAGTGTGGCTTTTATTTTGGATCATACGTGGGTGAGCATCAGCATTTTGTTCAGTGCCAGGAGCCTCTGAAGGCCTTCCAATCTGGTCCTGGCTTTGTCCCCAGTCACACAGTAAGTCAGAGGCTGGACGGGGACTGGAACTCAGTGTATCATGCGTGAACCTCTACTCTATTTACTTTTTTAGAGATTTACTTATTATCTATTTGGTTGCATCGGGTCTCAGTTGCAGCACACGGGATCTTTTGTTGCGGCGCACGGGCTCCCCAGTCGGGGTGTGCCAATTCAGTAGTTGTGGTGCTCAGGCTCCAGAGTGCTCAGGTTTAGTTTCTCCGTGGCCTGGAGAATCTTTATCTGCCAGCAAGGGATCAAACCTGCATACCCTACATTGCAAGGTGGATTCTTAACCTTTGGACCACCAGGGAGGTCCCTGAATCTCTGTTTTTAAATGTAGGTTGGTTATTCTTCAGGTTTGATGAGGCCAGCAGATCAGGAGATGACTGCTAGTGGAAAGATAGCTTGTTATTCGCAGATCCCCAGAAGAGGGGACACGCCAGGCCATGTGGAGCCACATGAGGAGGCACCACGCTTGCTGAGGAGGCGGATGGAACCGGAGGAAAACAGGCCCTTTATTTAGGTTCCCACAGGCAGGGCAAGCAGGCTGAGCATAGTTTGAATAAACTCAGGGGACCCTGGAGGGTAGGGGCTGCCTCTAGTTGCCTGGTACCTGACCCTGGGGTGATTGGAGGCAGGGAATAGTGTGTCCAAGTCAGCGTGTAAGCGCCCATCAGAGGAGGTGATGCAGGCAGGGGCTCTGGGTATAAAAAGCTGCTTGCTCTCTAAGGCCTGTCTAGTCTTGGGAGGGGCAGTCCCTCCAGGGTCAGCAAAGATTGCAAAGCATCAGAAATACAGAAAGAAAAGAACCATGATGCATGCAACCTCGGAAAACATCATACTAAATGAAAGAAGCTCAGACACAAAAGCCGCATATGGTGTGATTCCATTTTTATGCAATATCCAGAATGGGTCAATCCCTGGAGAGGAGAGAGAGAGTGGATCGGTGGGTGCCAGGGGTGGGGTTGGGGGGAGGAGGTTGGGAAGGAGGAAGTGGAGAGCGACTGCTCAGTGGGTACAGGGTTTTACTCTGGGATGATGACGGAAATGTTTTGAAACGAAAAGAAGTGATGGTTGCCCGACACTGTGGATGTACCAAATGCTGGTGAATCGGGCCCTCGACAGTGGTGTGTGAATTTCACTTTGATTTTTTTTTTCTTTTTTACTGATTCATGGAGTGCTTTTTCTTTTTTAATCTATTTTTTTAAATTTATTTTTCAACTGGAGTATAATTGCTTTACAGTGTTGTGGTGGTTGCTGCTATACAACATGAATCAACTATAAGTATCAATATATACATATATATTTATATATAATATAATATATATATTATTCCCTCCCTCTTGAGTCTCCCTCCCATCCCGCATCCCACCCCTCACTTTGATTTTTTCCAAAGCTTAGAGCTTGGCTCTTCTGGGTCCCGTCGGCATCCGCAGGCTCTGTGCCAGCTCTAGGGGAGACACTTCCTACCCATCATGTGTTCTGAATGCCTTTCACCCACGTGGCAGACACGGGGCTGAGATGCCCACGGTGCAGGGCGCGGAGGAGGCTGAGAGGAGGTTCGGCCCAGAGTGCTCGGCGCCTCCCAGCCGTTCCGACCCGTCCCCGGGGTTGCTGACACCCCCATCGGTTCTCTGCCCTCCCAGGGAAGCGACAGCGAGTACGAGGTTGACGCGAGCCACCAGAAGACCCACTCTTTCGTCAACCACTACATCAGCGACCCCACCTATTACAACTCCTGGCGCCGCCAGCAGAAGGGCATCTCTCGGGCCCAGGCCTACAGCTACACGGAGAGCGACCCGGGCGAGCCGGACCACGCCACTCTCTCCAACAGCAGCAGCGCCCAGCAGGGCAGCCTCTTCCGGCCCAAGGCCAGTCGGACCCCAACGCCCCAGAACCCTCCGAACCCCCCGAGCCAGCAGAGCACGCTCTACCGCCCCCCCAGCAGCCTCGCCCCCGGCTCCCGGGCCCCCATCGCAGGGTTCTCCTCGTTCGTCTGATGCCGTCGGCGGAAGAGGAAAAAGAAGACACAGCGCCCAGCTCCTCTCCACCCTTCCCCGCACCGCCTGCCAGAAAACAAAAACACCAAGAAACCAAGTCAACTTTTCACCTCCTGAGTTTATTTTTCCAGAGATTCCAGGGCCAGCAAAGCCGGTGTGGAGAAGCATGGAGAAAAACCGCGAGGGGACGTGTGTGGCTTCGAGATTGTGGGGTTTGCTGCTGCTTCAAGGGGCTGGGCGAGGGGGGGCGGCTGCGGTGGACACCAGTGGGTTTAGGCCGATGGAGACAGACGGAGGGAAGGAGGGAGGGAAGGCAAGGACTGGAGGGCTGTCAGGTGGGCGTGGCCGGGGCCAGGAAGCTTCTGGAAGTCCAGCCCGCTGCTCCCTTCCGCATGCGCTGCAGCGCTGGGCCCAGTGCTGGCTGGTGCTGGCGCCAGGACGGGCATCCCGGGGGACAGGCGCCCCTCCCCCGCCCCATGCAGCCTGGCTCCTCACCCCCTGCTGCCCCCAACCCCCGCTCAGTGTCCCTACCAAGCATCTGGTTTATTTAGGAAAACGAAAAACCAGCTCCAGGGTGAGACTTTGCCTACCCAGCTCCTTGCTCCTCACTGAGCTTTCTGTTGTGAACGCAGGACGAGGAGGGCCCCTGGGGGTAGGGGAATGCTCCCCACTCCCACCCACTGAACCCAACCGTTCCTTTACTTGAATTCACTTTGCCCCCCCACCCCCCGAGCACAGACTCGGGAGCAGAGCCAGGGCGCCGGCCCAGCATCCCTGGAATAATGGAGCCTGGGCAGGCCGTCGGGACGGGAAGAAGGACGCTTGACTTTCTTCTTTCTTCCAATTCAGGTACCACCTGCCTCCCCCCCCTCCCCCACCTTCTTAAACGAAGACAGGAAAGGGGGCTACAGAGACAAGAGAAGGGGCTGCAGGCTAGGCTGGGGTAAGGCATGACGCCTTTACACACACACACCACCACCCCCTACACAGACACACCATGCACCCGCAAGGAAAACGGTCCAGGGATCCTCTCCAGGAGAGGTCCTCCTAGCCAGCAGGACCCTCACTTTCAGATCTGTGTCCCTCATTCCCAGCCCACCGCTCTTCGTTTCTGAGACCCCCGCGGCCTCAGCGCAGGCCGAGTTCCTGTTACAGAGGCTGGAGCGCCCAGCACCTGGTTTACAGAGGCAGAGGCCACCCCAGCCCTCAGAAACGCCTTCCAGACTCGGCCCAGCCCGCCAAGGCCCAGAGCGAGGAGGGGCCTCCTCCAAACTGCACACGGGCTCCCGGGGAGTACCGCCAGGCCGCCGGGAGGAGCGGGTCAGATGGGACCACGGGACAATCAAGCTGATGGGAGGCAGAGCTTTCACACACACGAGAGTTGCCCGGAGGAATGTTCTTTAAAAAGCTTCTGGTGCCCTGGGTCTTCCCATCAGTTCAGAGCTTCCGGATGCAGGGGTTTAAGGAGGAGCCTTTCCAGCAAATTCCCTGGGTGCCCACCCCACCCCACCCCGAGCCCTGCAAAGGGGCCCATTCCCCAGGCTGCTGTGGGACCCCTCCGTGGGGAGCTCCAGTCCCAGGCGTACTGCTACCCAGGAGGAGACCACGCCCCATTAAGGGCAACGTGGAGAACAAGGGAGAATCTGAGAAACAAGCCAAGGATATTGCAGGGCTGTCCCCCTCCCCAGCGGCCCTAACACGGGTGCCTGGAATGGAAGCAGGGCTGGGGCCCCCTCCCCAGGCACTGGGACCCCCAGGAAACATGATGGGGAAAAGTGGGGAGATGGCTCCACATACGGACTGACCCACTCTGGGGTCCAGACAGCACCTTCCCGGCTCAGGGGGTCTAGAAAGGGAAGTAGGGTCTTTCCCCCCAGGGGGGACACAGGCCTGAGACGCATCTGGCAGTTGCTCTTCCCTCCCTTTCTCTTTAAAACCACCTCATCCTTTTCTCTGCTGTGTGTTGAACCGTAGAAAGTCCTTCCTAGTTTACATGAACTACATTTTGCCCAGCCCAGGGAGGGGTTGCGGGGAGGGAGCCGGGACTGGGAGACACGCTGTGTGTACATGAATATAGAGGAGGCCAAATCCCTTTTGCCTTCGGCGGGTCACCTTGGGCATTACGACGCTCGCCCTCCCCGGCCCACGAGCTCCTCCACACCCGCGCTGACGCTTGCGTGCACCTGTGGGGCGGCGCCCACGCTCACCTGGGTTCTCGCTCATCTGGGCTCACGCATGCGCGCGGATATACACACAATGCTCGGCGTATCGGCGTCAGCAACCCCCTTAGAGGGGCTGACTGCCTCCAGTGAGACAGGGGCAGCTTGCGTCTCTCCCACATGGGGCAGGGCTGGGCTCCATTGTCTGAAAGGGCAGGGCGAGGACCCTGCCAACCAGGGCTCTTAGAGGAGCCGGAAGGCTGGCGGCCCCCGGTGAAAGCCCCACCCTCCGTCCATCCCCACCCACCTGGAATGGTGCCTCCGCCGCCCCAGCCACACCTGGAAGCCCCGCTTCCAGCCGTGGACCTCTAGATTCCCAAGAGGAGGACTCCTCGTCCTTGTTTACATATCTGCTGGGGCAGTGGCGGCTCCTGTCCAGACACCTGGCCGCCCAGGAAAGGTGTGTGTGGGCACTGCCCATGGGTCACGGGGAGCCTCCCTGCCCTTTGGCTTCTCGGGTCGGTGATGTCAGACCCCGTGTTCCCCTGAATCCCCCTGGAGCGGGTTCAGCTGGGGACAGCACCTGGCTCCTCACCTGGCCTTGCCCTCCGGAAACCTGGTGTTGCCCCGGGCAGCTCACACCTGGCGCACTAGCGAGGCCTTTGCCCTCCTGGCCGCGCCTCCTGCGTTCACCTTTCCGCACCCAGACTGCCAAGACGACCAACCAAAACGCTGCCCCGGGCTCCAGAAGCGCCCTCCTCCCGGGGCTCCGGGGAGTCCGCGTCGCCGCCGGCCGCCTCTCCTCCAGTCTCCGGACTTAGAAGGAAGAAGAGGCCTCCGGCTGCTCGCTGGCCCGAGGACTTCTGTCTCTGCCCGCACCTCCCTGGGCAGAGCTTTCAAAGGTGCCAGAGCCCCTTCCCGCCCCATGCCCCACTCTGGGCGGGGGCTTCCCTCACCTGGTGCCCAGCGGAAGGTGCCCACACTTGGTGAGGGGCTGGAGGGCGCCAGCGGGGAGGGGGGCCACCTGAACACCTGCCTCTGGCTCCCGAGTGCCTCTGTGGGGACCTACCCAGCGGTGACCCGACCATCCCCCCAGCACAGGTGCCCTCTTGGGACACCCCACCCCCCTTCTTTTTGTTTCTGTAAAAATAACCAAAAGCATTTAAATGTGTTACCTTCTTTTACACATACAGACTCCAAAAACAAAAACCAACACAAATCTTTATTTTTTTGATTTAAAAGATATAAGAAAAATTATGGGGAGAGTATTCATTATGGCAGGTGTCTATCTGTAAGAAAAAAATATATATCTATATGTCATATAGCTTGTTAGCAGGTTTATTTTTTGAATGAAAGGTAACAAAGAAATTGATTTGAAATATATACCACGAAAGGTCCCATGTCCTGTCAAACTTGTCAGTATTTTATAAATAAACTTTTTTTTTTTTGAATTGTGAAGCAACATTCATTCTTCTCTTCCCTGGAGGACAACCCCACTCCCATATCACTCTCAAGTAATCTGATCCTGAAACCCATTTTTAGCCTTGCTGTGGTTTTACAAAGAGTCAAGGGTTCAAATTTTTCTGCTTTCTTAATTCATGTGTGAGTGGACGTCTGTGCCTTCAAGTGAAATGCACTGTTTTGTTTATTTTACACTTTTTAAAAAATGTTTGTTTGGCTGCCCTCAGGATCTTCCATCTTTATTGTGGCGTTTGGGATCGCTTACTTATGTGGGATCTAGCTCCCTTACTGGGGATTGAATCAGGGCCCTTTGCATTTGGGAGTGTGGGATCTTAGCCACTGGATCACCAGCAACCGTCCCTATTTTACACTTTCAAGATTAGAGCCTCTTAGATTATGCCCAGTTAGAGGCAAAATGAAAATGATGAACAATAGTAGTAATAGCAATTGCTAATGCCCCTATTCACCGAAAGGACTGATGCTGAAGCTGAAGCTCCAATACTTTGGCCATGTGATGTGAAGAGCTGACTCATTGGAAAAGCCCCTGATGCTGGGAAAGATTGAAGGCAGGAGGAGAAGGGGACGACAGAGGATGAGATGGTTGGATGGCATCACTGACTCGATGGACATGAGTTTGAGCAAGCTCCGGGAGTTGGTGATGGACAGGGAGGCCTGGCGTGCTGCCGTCCATGGGGTCACAAAGAGTCGGACACAACTGAACAATGCTCCTATGGCATTTACCCTGTGCCAGACGCTGTTGTAATCACTATATTGATTAACTTCCTGGAATCCTTGTGCTTTACCCCCTGGGAGAGAAACTGGATCAGGGAGAATTGAAGTGGCTTGCCCCTGAGTATTGGAAAAACCAGGATTTGTTCTAGAGCAGGCTGGTTCTAGAGATAAACGCTGTCTCTCTGATACGTGAAGGCAAATTTCTTGCTCATTTCCACCTTACTTTTGACAAAGCCAGCACCTCATACCCTAGTGATCCTGAGGTAGGAAGAACCACTTTGGCATGTGGTGACTCTAACCTAGTTAATCCACCCAGATTTAGAGTTAGGGCTTGACTTGCTGAATTTCTGAGTACACAGGTCTTAGACTAGACCACATTTCTCTCCCACAAGTTAAATGGATTCAAATAAGAGAGAGTGGAAAAAAAAAGAGAGTGATGGGAAAATAATTTTAATACTACATATAACACAGGGCTTCCCTGGCAGTCCAGTGGTTAAGACTCTGTGTTCCACAGCAAGGGGCACGGGTCCAGTCCCCAGTCAGAGAACTGAGATCCTGCGTGCTGTGGTGTGGCCAAAACTGAAAACCATCATAATAAAATAGTACATGTGATGCCACTCAATTTTACATAGTATACTTCTTTTATATAGTCTACATTGTACAGTGAGTTTCTTGTTTTGTTTGTTAAGTCATCCGACTTTTTCAGTCCCATGGACTGCAACTCGCCAAGCTCCTCTGTCCATGAGACTTCCCAGGCAAGAATCCTGGACTGGATTGCCATTTCCTTCTCCAGGGGATCTTCCCAACCCAGGTATCAAACTCACATCTCCTGCGTTGGCAGGTGGGTTCTGTACCACAGAGCCACCTGGGGTGCCCTGTGCAATTCATGTCAGGTATTTATACATACAAAGGCAACTCAATAATCCAGACATAATTAAAGCAGGGAATTTAACATGTAAGTAGGTATGTACCTTCTTCACTTTATTTTTACTTAAA